TCATGCTTCAAGGTAGCCTGCATCACTGGGGAGAAGCCCCTCACTCTGTACAAGCCTTCACGAGTGCTGTGTGCTCCTCATCGTGGAGTGACACCTTTTTCCAGTTATATCTACGTCAGGCGTATTGATGTGCAGATAAGTCATGCACTGAGGCAGCCTGTATCACGGGAGAGAAGCCAATCACCTGGCAAGAGCAGTAGCGAGTGCGTGTGCTGTTCCTCATCGTGGAGTACCGTTAAAACTAAAAAACATGCGCCAATGGAAGTTGCTTCAGCTCCTTCTCTGCCATGATCAAGTTGCTACACAGGTCCTCATCGTGGAGTCGTATCTTTTCCAGTGTACGTCAACAGGCATGTTGATGTGTTCCGCGACAAAGTGCAGTGGACCCATGCTTTGAGGCGGCCTGAATCACTGGAGAGAAGTAGTGTTGAAACGAGCGTATCTATAACAAACGAGCGATCACTTCCACTAACGAGCAAGCTATCGAGCGAACTAACGAGTTTCATTGATGTGGCAAATAATGAAATCATGATTTTTTGAATATTTTTTTCTAAGTTCGATTTTTTCCAGCTGGTTCAATTAATTATCACTGCCGGCATTTGGGGTTGCTGCTGCTTCACTTCGGACTGCTGTTTGGTGTCGAGGTGTCTTTTCAGCGCCGTCGTCGAGTAGCCTTTGTAAGAATAGACCGTTTTGCAAAGATTGCAAGTAGCCCTGGTCTTCGCTGCATCGCGGGAGAATACTTCCAAACGACTGAGCGTAACTATTTTCTTTTCACTCGAATGGAGAGGTGACCGAAGCATATCCTGCGACAGGTCAGCAGATGCGGAACAAGACAGCAGTAGAGTCCACCAAAGCTGCAACGACAACTGAAACAACTCAAGTGTCGTGCAGGCATACAGTCACTGTTAACTGCGAGTGATTTTCACTTTGCGCGGGACTGGACTCTCGATCGACCAGGGGCAGGGAGTCGTAAAATATTTTTACAACTCCCGGTCGACATGTACATATATGTACTGCCATGTGTAGATCTACGGAGTACGGTGTACGGGGTTCGTTAGTGCAAACGAGCTGGCCGCACAAACGAGCCGAGTTTCTGGCGAGCGAGCTAACGAGTATCCGGTGAGATCGTTTCAACACTAGAGAGAAGCCAATCACCTTGCGAGAGCAGTAGTGAGTGTGTGTGTAGTTCCTCGCCGTAGAGTAACGTAGAACATGCACAAGTGTAAGCTGCATGGCACCCTTCACATCTCGCTTCAGCTCGTTCTCTGCCATGATCAAGTTGCTACAGACCTTGCACGCTGATTCCATACACCACTGCCACAGGTTATGTCTGTCAGCTAGCTACAGCAACAATATCCTCTTCATGAATGTTCAAAACTATTTTCTCGGGTGAAAATCAGCTCTCCACTGTCTACAACACAGCATGATCGCATGTGCATGGACAGGATCCGACTGCGATGCAGCTCTCCTGGAAGGAAGCAAAGTTCTCCTGTCGCCAATGCCATCGCTTGTCAGTGTCACTCAAGAAAAAATAAATTTCAATTTCAGAAGCTACGAATTCAACGCATTCCAGTCTGCTTCCACCAAGACTACTACAGGGCATCTGATTTGACAAGGTATATCAGTAGGACTTGGAAAAGTCACAGTAACAGTTTTACAGTTTGCAAGATCACTAGCCATTACAACAAGTACTAGTATCAGAACATCAAAACAAACATCGTGTAGATCCACAATTTCACATTCAACCCATCGATCTACAAAATAGGTTCCCATTCCCGCCAGCTGGACATGCATGCATGGGACATGCATGCATGCATGCATGCTCTCACCAGGCCGGGAGTCGTCAAACGCCGGTACTTGACGACTCCCTGGCTCTCACTTGTCAGCCAGCTCACACGTCTTGTCGTGCACGCGCAGACGTCCAGCACACACGCGTGTCGAAATGTGTTTTTTGGGGGGTAGTCGGCAAAAAATTGTGTGAGGGTCCCTTTAGTCCTTCGCGTTTCAAATCGTGACCGCGACCTCCGGAGGGGGTGCCACGACTTGGCGGCAACATGATCGTAGACGTGAAGCGTATTTGTGTACAACCTGGCCTGAAGTATGTTCAATTTCTCAAATTCCGGTGTGTTGATTCATGAAAATCGGCGGTTGTCGATGTCACCTCGACATTTGCACATTTTTAGTTGTGGTCCTGCACGCACGCACCGCCATATATGCATTCTTTGCCCTTTTTGGACGATGTCGATTTTGTTTTTGTTTTTGTAGTTGCTTCGTTGTGATCGGGTCAGTGACCAATTTCTACAGTGTACTCGTTCAATACGATGGCAGCTTGGTCTGGCTTTTCGGTTTCGGAAATTATCTTTCTCTACTTTTCTGCGATGATGGAATGCCATACCTCAAGACATTTCAGTTACATATCATCGGAAAATACAGTTCTCATCTCGGCACTTTTCACTACTTTCACTTTAGCTCATACATGTACATGTACATGTACATCCTTCAAAGCGGTGAACCCCTTGATAGGCGACAAGCCTCTGGGTCATCCTAATAAAGATATTATTATTATTATTATTATTAGGCAACAGACGAAAGAAACCACTACCGGAATTTCCACTGCACTGGCACTTGCTCTGACCACGAGGTCAGGAAAGCCAAAGCGCTTGGATGTCAGCGGCAGTCCCTCAGGAGTCCAAACCTACCTGATTGTATGAATTATTTTTCGTCGACTTCAAGACAAGAATACGAGCCACGAGGCACTTCCTCCAACATGCAACATGCGAAAAATTACATCCAAAACGGGCCACAACTTTATTAGGAAACGCACGAACTCTTTTGGATACGAACTGCAATTCGTAAAGTTTGTGTGACAAGTTCACGTCTACGCGTGTACGAGGCCTAGTGTGAGCACGACTGCCACGTTTCTGCGTTTTGCTGACGCATGGACGCGCGTACGCGTGCTCATGCATGATCGCAGTGTGAGCGCGCCCTAAGCTCAGTAGACGTCACCCAAACAAAAAAAAAAACACAGAAAAGCCGTGCAAAATGAACAATAAATAAACCGAACGCAAATTCAAACAACAAACTACCGTAAAAATAAGTACCTGCCCGAAATAAATACCCCCTTCATTCTTTTGACTCTGTCTGTTGAAGTCAAGTCAAGCCCGCGGGCCCGATAAACATACTGCCCGAAATAAGTACCGGTATGGTGCGCACATGCAGCATGTAGCATGTACATCTACATAAAAATGACTTCTCCACTACACCCCAAGTCAGGCCCGAAAGTTAGTTCATGCCCGAAAGTCAGTACCCGCCCGAAAGTTAGTACGGGTGTGGCCACTAAATTCAAAAGTAAATACGTACTTTAATAGGGGCCGTCCGTAAATATCGAACTTTTTTCACCAAACGAATTATTTTAGTTTAGACCCAATCCCTCCCTCCCCCCCCCCCTCAGAACGTAAAAAAATGTTGACATACATGCAGATACAACGGCCATGTACATGGATCAATGTTTTCTGAAACGAAATTGGTCAACCCCCTCCCACCGTTCGTTGCGTGACACTGTTCACAGCTAGTACAGGGTGTTTTATGGCCGCTGAGCAGCCGGTTTGAAAGTCATCACCAGAAATTATCCGGGTACAGTACTGCGTAGTCACTATGTAGACTCTGTCCCCGGGGAAAATCGCGATTCCGCGGCCGCGTTTTTTCCGCGTTTTCCGCGATTTTCCCGCGTTTTTTGAACTTTTTTGTTGCACTACATGTACACACAGTGCACTGTTCGGTCAGCAACGTCTCATCGTGGCGGCTTTGTACTCAAATATGACGAGTGCTTACACCAGAGACTTGTAACTGATTGATTTCACTACATACTCACTGAAAAATTGCCACATATCAACTGCAAACTTGCCGCATATCAATAATATTCACCGCATATTTACCGCATATTTACCACATATTTACCGCAAATTCACCGCAAATTCACCGCAAATTATACCATGTTTACCCGCAAATTACACCGCAAAATCTGGGATTTTTTTCCGCGATTTTCCCCGGGGACAGTAGACTTCACCGGCACCGTACAACTAATTACTTGATCATCAACCTTGCGAATAACGACCCTCAACTGGGCATGAGAAAAGTGTTGTTATTCGTGAGGTTGAACGTGTGCAGTCGAATGGTTACTGCAGGTCAGAAGATAGTAGCGACCATTAGCAAACCGTCGGGCACGACGATTGCGACAAACTGGGAACGAGGCCCGTGACGGCGTGTGGGGAACTCGAATTGTTTCGTGAGCACGATTGGAGCAGCCCCAGCGGGTGATCACGAAATGAATACGATTCTCGAAAATCGAATTTCCCTCGCGTTTCCCCGGACAACCCAGCATCCCCGCATCACGTGCGGAATGGTTCAACGCACGGCTTCGTGCCGTGCATGCTTTGACGATTGGAAATCGGAGCTGTCCAATCGTTCGACCGTAAGCGTGACGGTTTGCTAATGATCTCTAGAGTCGTGACTATATCCCAAGGCCAACTGAGGTTGTTATTCCAGAGATTCACTGTTTTGTGGTCAGGTTGAATGCAATAATTGTAGATCTACACATGCAAACTTACATACAGATCACCCGTGTTGTAAAAGCACATCAACAAAATATGGGGCCTCTAGTCTGGAGTGTCCGGCTAGTGCAAAATATTCGACAGCACCGACTACGACGTACATCATGTATGCTTTTTCCTAACCTGTTCTCGTTGCCTCGTGATGTCCCTATCCGCCAGAACAGACTGATTCTGTTCTGGAACAGCCACTTGGAACAAGCAGAGCCAACAGGCTCCCACAGACAGTCGACGTCGACGAAATGTAGATCTACTACTACAGATATATCTACCAAGTGTGTACAGAAAAGGCCTTATATATGCATGTACGTCTCCCGCAGAGACGTGCGAAATGACATCATCAGATCATGGCATAACAGAAAAAACAGAAAAGCAGAGATAGCTTGCCGACGCCGAGGGAAGCTTTGATTCGATCTAGCTAGATGCAACGGAACAACTAAACTACACGTTTCGTCAACTAATTAGTAGAATCTACGTCGAAGGCTGTCCCGAGGAAAGAAGTCCCGTTGTTGTTGAAACCGCTCTGTGTCAAGACTTTTACTTTTAGTTGTAGTCAGGGTGTCAAGAACTGGGCTGAGTTGAGGAAGGAGCTCCAAATCAGTGTTTCGGGATACTAGTAGCTGTTCGCAAGCAATCATGCCCGAGCCTAGACGACGCAGGACCATTCGTCAGTCTATCCGCAAACAATTCGAAGTCAGGGAAGAGCATGTTGCTCCTTGTATCAAGTTCACCTTGTTCATAACGAACACCATTGCCTGGGTATGTGTGTGTGTGTGTGAGAGAGAGTCCTCGGCAAAGCTGGGCGTCACGAAAAAGGTTTGTTCATCGGGTTGCCTGTTGTTGTTCTTATTTGGTTCTGATGTGTAAAGGTAATAAGTGTCTGTCTCACGGGAGTCGGCATTTATTCTCGTGTGATCAGCGATCGTTTCTTCTCTTTGAGTGGATTCACGACCGATCCTGCTGTCCTACTGATCGCCGTAGGAGCCATATTCACGTGTGTGGGCTTTCTGGGCGCCATTGGATCACTCAGAGAGAATGTCGTGTTGCTGAAATGGGTAAGAAATTCAACCCACTTTTATATTCAAAACTGAGTGTGTATGTATGTCACAGTATGGTATGACTTTGCCCCATGCCAGGCACCTGAATTAAGCTCACAAATGGGGGTCTCAGAGGGACTGTTTTTCATACATGCCATAATCAGTTTAGCACACGCATGACGGGAGCCACTGGATAATTCGATATGGCCCTTCGCATCACTGCCATAATCGTTTCATTGTTAGTATGAGCTGAAGCAAGCAAGTCCTTTTATCTACCTTTCCAGGCAGTTGAAGCAGTTACAAATTGGCACCTTAGAGTGCGCAAATGGCGCCAACTACGTAGTGAAGCCAGATTATACACCGCATACTATCGCAGAGCAATGGGGACCTCGATTTTTTTTTACTGAATACCACAGTACCATCAGATGCTGCACAGCGGGGGCGGTGGCATATTGGATGGAAGTGGGGGCGGGGCAAAAGTAACTCCTCCGACCAAAGGTCTCGGAATCATCGTTACTCCTGTGCGCCGATACATAGGAGAAAAGAAACATGTGCATCCAAGAGGGAAGCACCGGCTTTGCAAACGATAATGGGGAGAATTTGAGATTGAGATAGGACAAAACAATAGTAAAAGCAGTGCACCGTAGGAAGATGGAGAGAACTGATAATCGGACTTTAAGGCTGAGCGAAGGGGATCAAAGAGGGGTAGAAGGGAGCTGGAGTGCGGTCAGTATAATTAGGCTGGTGCGTTGGCAGAGATCATAGCCTGTCTGTGGCCCACTCCCACTTGCTGCGCCGCAAGTGGTCGTTGACGTTTTTCTTGAACGTGTGCATACCTCTGCGAGAAGGGGGAGACTGCAGAAGAGTAGGTGGGAGCTGATTCCACGTTGCGATGAGGGAGTGGGGAAATGAGCGGAGCGTGTTGTTTCGTGACTGAGGAGGAAGAATACTGGTGAGTTGCGATGGATGATGTGTTGCAGATCTGGTTGTCTCACGAGTAGACATGCGGCATTGCGGTGCGGCTGCTGATGGTGGCAGAATGGCTTTCACCATTTCCGGACCCTCCACAAAGTGCAGCTTGTACAGAAAGCAGAGCCCTGCTACAGTACGGCGAATGTCGAGGCTCGGGAGGTATGATCCATCTCCAATTATGTGCAGGGCACGGCGCTGGATGGCAGTGAGGCGGGCCAAGGTGGTGGGGGCTGCGCTCATCCACACCAGCATGCCATACTCTAACACAGGGCGGACAAAGCCACGGTACACGATTGCCCGGTGCTTTGGGTCTAGCACAGCCGATGCCTTACGGAGGAAGCCGAGCCGCTGGGCTCCGCGTACTGCAAGCTGTCGGATATGGCTGCGGAATGCCAGCTGCCTGTCGAAGGTGATGCCATACTGCAGTGTTAACACAGTGACGAATTCCGCTGCTCTGGCCGGCCCAATAAACCAATATTTAGATGGATCTACTTCTGCTCCTATCAACCATGTACTGATGATTATGAAGAGTAATGTTGCGAAAGGCCTCATTGGATTTGCCAGTGGCTTCTGTGCTTCGTGTGCTCATTTGTCTTCCTCCACCTTCATCTCTATTAACCTTTTGAGCACGCATGACGTTCTGACACGTCATGACCACTGCCACTGTGACACGCGTCACGTTCTAGAACGTCACGAGTCAGTACGAAACTACATCGATTCCGCACTTCTTCCGTGGCGTGGCGGCGAGCTGTACTGCTGCACAGAGGACTCCTAGGATGTACGCACTTCTTCCGTGGCGTGGCGGCGAGCTGTACCGCTGCACAGAGGACTCCTAGGATGTACGAGTACAGTAAAAAAATGCGAGTCGCTCCGTAAGTTTGAACTGGAGTTACATGCGCGTGCATACATTTCAAAATATCAAATTCGCGCATAACTACCTTTCTGAAAACGGTCATAACTTTTGTTATTTTGTTGTATTTCCAAAACAAAAACAGTTCTGTGCTCAGGATACATGAAAAATCGTTCAAAATCAAGTTTGCTCACATTATTTATTATTATTATTCACACATATCCGCCGGATGAGTACGCGTGGCCCATGCACCATGGGGACCCACGAATACAAACCAGCATATGTTCCCTCAGCAATACAAGCAAGCAAGCAAGCAAAGATAAATGAGAGCCCAGGCAGCGAAAACAAAACGAAGAGAGATGAGGACATAGGCAACGAAAACAGTTCCAAAGCGTAGCCAGGGATTGAATGTGTGCATTTGATATGGGTACGACAGCTAATACGGCTAGTGCAGCCGTACAGAGCGCAGCAGTACGAAAATACAAAAATGCCACAGCAGCAGCCAAGAGTGCAAACACTAAAAAAGATCAGTCCATGAAAAAAATTATTGTCGCCACAGGTAGACATTTCCGGCAAGAATGCATGCGTGCACACGAGTAGACATAGAGTGAATTTAAAAATTTTACTGCGTGGCAGAGGTTTTCAATGGGCCTGAGCTCAAAAGGTTAAATTAGCTTTAATAGCTCCTTATTCCCGTAGCTATGCAGAAGACGTTACTTCAGTAACGTCTGGCGCTAGCCAGGGTCCACACAGCTTTAATTTGGTGTTTGTGTGTTTGTGTGTTTGTGTCACGCCTGGCGCTATCCCGTATCTGTCCCGTACCGTACCGTACCATCAAACACAGCTGGCCACATACAGCTGGCCGCAATATTCAAATAGGGCTTTCAAACGCAAGATCATAACGTGAAGCAACTTGGTAGAATGAGTATGAATGCGAAGTGTATGGGGGAATGCATGTAGGGCGATAGTGCGGGTTCTAATCCCAGGTTATGCTTAAAAATTGGAGAATTGAAAAATTTATAACATCTCTATGCTTTTTTTGCCAAGGTCATCAAGGCGGTAGACAGTGTCGTATTACCCTCGACCGTACCTGTCCTGTACCGTACCGTGCTATCAAAGACGGCTGGCCACAATGCATATTCAAATAGGGCTTTCAAATGCAAGATCATAACGTGAAGCAACTTGGAAGAATTAGTTTGTATGCGAAGTGTATCGGGGGATGCATGCACGGCGATAGTGCGGGTTCGAATCCCAGGTTAGGTCTTTAAAAAAAAAAGGAAAAATTTATATGAATTTATAACATCCGTATGCTTTTTTTGTCTAGGTCATCAAGGCAAAAAAGCATAGCGTAGGGCCCTGAGCTTCCAAGCTCTCTCGTTTGGACACATCTCTGAACAAGATACATCCTTCTCACGAAGTTTCTCTCACCCTGTGCCTGTTTTTCTGCTGCAGTTTCACTACATTCTCATATTTATGTTGTTTGCCGAGCTGGTCAGCGGCTTGCTGATGTACTTCCTTTCAACAAAGGTGAGTTGATTCTAACCCACGCTTGGAAGCGAACAAACGAATGGTAGCTGTATAGTTGTGTAGGTGCACAGAATCATTGTCGAATATTGTGAACTGGGAAGATTTTCTAAGAAGATAATAGTGTCCACAGTTCAAAGCTGCCCTCAGGAAATTTACAGCTAACCATGCTTGTGCAATCAACGGAATTCCGCCACCTTGCAGTTGATTTTCCCCATTTCTCTCCTCATCAAGCCCTACTTGTCTTTGTACATACATGTACATGTACTAGTAGTACTGTAGTACTGTTCTTTCAATCAAATGAACCCCTCGATAGGCACATTGCCTTTCGGCCATTTCATAATAATAATAATAATAATAATAAGTGCATGGTTGTACTCTCCTAGGCCTAAATGTTGTAAGGGAGCGACTTCGACTCTGGCTGCTGTGTTTGTTCGCCCTGCATCCGCTAACCTAAGAATTGTGGTGGACTGGTGATGACAATAGAGAGGTTCCGCATAACGTAATTACGTTAGTAAAAAACGTAGTCGATCTACGGAAAGTCTTACGTAAACTGCATGCGCATCTGTGTTCCACCATACGGAGTTTTCGAATCACGTAGCTGCCCTTGGCAACTCTGAACGTGGCAGTGTACGACCAGATCGACCTGGGGAGAGAGTCATAAATTTGTACCCCAATCCTCTTACGGACCAGCTACGTTATCAGAGCCCTATCTACGTACTCTCCGTAGACAACTTTCCGTAAGTTGAGTGCAAACTCGCGAATTCACGGGTTTTTCCCGCCCACTAACGTAAAGTTGCTCAACTTTACGTAGTGCGGAACCTCTCTATTGTTTGCTATTGTTGGTGGTGATAGGGTGTTTTTGTTGGTGTCGCCGTGGCTGTTGCTGCAGGTGAAGACAGTGGCCATTGAGCAGACCACCAAAGCCATATCTCAGTATCAGACAACCAACGCAGCAACTGCATTGGATGATGCTATCCGCGAGGTGCAAATCCGAGTGAGTTCTGCTGTGAACTGTGTCCGTCTAAAAGACCTGATGTGTCCCTGTCTACTTGTATCTCTTTTCTTCGCCAACATGATTATCCTGTGAATAGTACTACAGTGTAGTAGATATTGTTGCACTCTCTAGTAGTGGTCAAACGAATGTGCTAAACAACGAATCGAACCTTCTCTGAATGTTCCTAACGAATACCGAACGAATGTCGCCCGTTCCATGATTAAGAAATCAGTTAGAAATTATAGCTGCCGACCAGTATGTAACACTAAAAGGCACCCAAATCGTAAGCGAAATTGCACACTGCAAGTCTGCAACAGAGACTGTAGAGACTGTAGATGCCATGACTCATTTATGAAGTGGACAGTGATGGTGATGTACCCCTCCATTCGTCTGCTTGTCCACAGGTCTGTAGTCAGCGACATGAAGCTGGCCTTTTCAAGGTTCTCCACCACTGCACCAGCAACTTCAGGCCCGCGACGTGCTTCCGCTGAATTAGCTTTGTCACTTGAGTCGCAGACGGGACCGTGTAGCCAGGCTCGAGGTAGTTCATGAGCGAAAGGAACCCCGCACCAGTGACTACGCTCACAGGTCGAAAATCTCTGCACACAAATTCCACCAATCGGTAGTCGCATCCAGAGGATCTAGCCGATGGCACTTTCTTTGCCTTGAAGAAAGCAGTTATTCCTCCGTCCTTTTTTCGGTTTCGCCCCTGCGCCATCCAAGTCGACATGGTGAACGTCCTTCAGATGGTTACATAAATTCGTTGTTCCGCCATGGTATGCCAAGTCTTTCGGCGGCTTGCACCGAGTACACGTAGCAATATTGTCCTGAGAATAAAGATAATATTGTCAGCCGTTTTCTCTATTCCGAAATCCCATACGGCAGAGCGCCTACTCTTCTCGGCCATGACGAACGTTGGGTGGATTTGATGAAGAAAGACTCGACGACGGCTCTCAGCAATAATAATTATTTCAGACAGACCGTCGAGTGTTGTCACGACAAAAATCGCCTGTGCCTGTGGCACTGCACTTCCAGTTTCACAGCCGGGCGCGATGCACTGCATGCGCATGCAACGTTCAACCCAGACTAGACTTCACTGCTCAGACTAGACCTACTGTACGATCTTGAGGAAGCAATCAGTTGAGCACCAGTGCAGTGCACGCAGTCCACCCAGTCCACAACACAGTTCACATGGTTCACGCGCGCACCGACTCGAGTCTGGGCCAGTTCGTGATCGGACCACAAACATCCGGCCTTAGTAGATCTACATGATTGTACAACTAACGTAACTTACTTTCACACCTCGCGCCAGCTACTAGTACTAGTTACATGACATGGCATGCATACATATATATAATAATATGTACATGACACAGTCATCTCTTGAAGACAGCGCGCACGGATGTTTTTTTGCACGATTTCCGCCCACTAAAAATGGCGTCCTTTTTTTGCCGAAATTTGAAAATTTGAATCTCTGGCCGTGGTGGATTACTGAAATACTTATCGATATACTGCTCTAAAGCAGGTCACTACCCAGCCCAAACTGGGTTCTGTACGGTGAAATTGTGTTCTTTTTCTTTGACTCCTTCCTAGCTTCACTTTCATACCTCGCGCACCACGATCGAAATTCAAATTGCCTCGCAGAGAACGAAGTTGTGTTCCACGCTCGACCTGAAATTGCGCAGATACTAGCACAAGCTTTCTTGGCCATTATCAAGTAGTTATCACTTCGGCATCGACTTAGTTGATTTGATTCGCCATAGGTATGTTCTTGACGAAGCGATCTGCGACATTTTTTTGTCAAGACGCGAATTCGTTTCTAAAGACGTGAACATCAAAATTCTGTTGTTTTCCTTCAGCTACGACAAGATATGGACGCACACGTATCTTATCTTGGCGAGGTATGTCGCGTTGGTGGCAGAAAATTCGCCACATGCACACAGAAGACCCGTTATCCCGTTGCATCTTATAAATCCCAGCTTGAAGGCGTGCATGGGATAAAAATTGATGAAGATGATGCACAAGTACACCCCCCATACGTATGTGTATTGTGCCAGAGGGCCATGAAGAGAGCCAGCGAAAAAGCCATGCACTGCGGCGGTGGCTGTGGCCCTCCTGTGAAATGGACACCACATCAACGCTCAGCCTGTTCATTCTGTACTGATCATACAGCAAAGGCCACGGGAAAACGGCATGCAAAGCAACTCACACACTGGCGCGCGGCCGCTCCGCAAACAACACGCACTCAGGACGAACGCGTGAGCACCGCAACCGCCACCCCAACACAACAACCCGCCTCACAAACATCAGCAACACAACTGGAATGTGGTTTGGATGTGCCAAGAGAGACAGTATATCCAACAGGCAGCAGCCAACATACTGCAACGATTCCACTGAACAAAGAGCGGTTCATTAACGCACACACAGTACAGCAGTGCAACATATGCAGTAACATCGTGGACAACGTAATAGAAGTACCATGCTGCGAAGAGTACTTTTGTGCAGACTGCATGTGTGAATGGTTAGCAACGCACAAGCAATGTCCTGCATGTGCCAACTGTTTGAAGGCATCTGAGCTAAAGACGCCAGGAAAGGTTCCACGCAGGATGATGGATGGTTGGACACTCCGGTGTGACTTCCACAAGCCATCTCTGCAAGGCTGCCCGGTGGTTACTCCGCTGAGAGATCTGCGAAAGCATGTTGCAGCATGCCAGTTCAATCCAGCCACGACGACAGCTCCAATCCGCACCGTTAGACAAAGCTCGACTGTCGAGGACGTGCTGTCCGCATCACCGTCCAAGTTGTGCGGCAACGTAGCTGACCGTCTAACAGGTCACCTGGTGGCAGCAAGGGTGCATGACGGGCGGTTGGAGGTAAGGACAGCATCACATGGCAAGCCACAGGTCTATCAACGGGCTGTTGTGAGTAATGTGCCGTCTGACCGAGCTGCTGACACAACTTTGCGCCGCAGATCCTCAGAATTGACGAGACATGCTGAGACAGTGTGCGGTGGTGTGGCTGGAGCCAGAGCACAAGAGGTGGCTGGCTTGCAGAGATTGTCTGCTGCTGAACAGGAGCAGCTTCTGTTAGATGCTGGCATCAAGGCCAAGAAGCCGTCACCCGGCAGTGCACTGGCTATAAAGGCAGACCTCAGCCTCCCGTGGAGTCAGTTGCGGAAGCTACGTCGCTGGCTACACGAATTTGGCGTTGAAATGGAATCCGAGAAGACAGTCCGCACATTTATAGCTTCGAAGCTGCCTTCATACACCGCCAAAGAGCTCCCTATGACAGACAAGGATGGCGGAGTTACGATGATAGCAACTGTGCTCTTCCCTAACTTGGTGGATATTGTCATATTCTTTCTGGACCAGCTGCAGGACAGTAGCCGACTAACATGGCATGGTGGAGCTATTCCTGAGTCAGAGATTTGGATTAAGATTGGCGGAGATCACGGAGGTGGATCGTTCAAGCTAAGCTTTCAGATCGTCAACACCGAGCATCCGAATTCACTCACAAACATAATACCGTTCTGCATCTTCAACGGCAAAGACACGCCTGCAAACTTGGAGACGGCATTGGGACAATACCGACCCCAGCTTCAGCAGCTTCAGCAGACTTCCTGGAAAGGCAAGACAATGAAGATTTATTTATTCGGGGACTATGAGTTTCAGACTGTCAACTTTGGATTGTCTGGCTCATCTGGACTCCGGCCATGTCTCCATTGTTTATGCACGAAGAAGAGCATGGAGCTTGAGAGTGATGCGAGAGAGGAGGCCGAGAGAGAACCACGCACACTAGCATCTCTAGCAAGCGACCACAGCCAATATGTAGCAGCAGGCTCAAAGCTGGCGCAGGCAAAGAAATATAACAATGTGATTCGACCAATTGTTCTGCCTGTGTCAATCCCGAACGTCATCATTCCAGTCTTACACTTGGATCTCGGGATCTACCCCTGGCTGTTCGAAGCTATGCGGAGCGAGCTCCGAATACTGGACTTGGCACTGGTGGCAAGAAGCCAGGCACTAGACACGGATGGTGCTGCGTACAAGAAGCTGTGCGATGTACATAGCGAACTGACTGCTGAACAGCAGCTCGTCCAGAATTTCAACCAGCAGCTAACTACGACTCAGGAACAGCTTGAATTTGTTGCACTGCACGTACAGCAGCAAGGCGGCATGGACGAGCTTGGTGTTGTCGCCAACTTGCAAGAAGTGTACCAAACAGCAATACAGCAGCGTGACCATCACCAGCAGCGGTCAGCACAACTTCAGCAGCAAGTAGACAAACTGAGCGGCTGTAAGCAATTCTGTGGCCCATGCGTCGCGGCACTGGAGCCAGTCCTACAGCTTCATGGCATTGAGCGTCAGGTATACCACGGTGGTGCTTTCGTTGGTAACCACATCCACGAAGCCTTGAAACCCACCGTGGTCACTGCCATCACCTCCGCACATCTTTCGTCAGTCCAAACAAGGTGTCCTGACTTGTGTCCTGAGGCCACTAAAATTGCGGATAGATACGTAGCTCTCATGAACAGCTACGCAACGTGTCGAGCCAAGTTCAGCCACTGCAAACCAGTCGATGACGCTGACTTGGGTCAACTCCAACAAGACATCGAGAAATTCCTGGCCCTCTGCAGGAAGGAAGTAGTGTCCAGGAAATTCGGCCACATCACGCCGAAGTTGCACCTATTAGAAGAACACACAGTTCCCCTGATGAAACGAGTCCGCGTAGGATTGGGCCTCCTCGCAGAACAAGGTGCAGAGAGTCTCCACTCTTCACTGAATTCTCTGAACTTCAAGTACAAGTCTATTCCTCGAGAACTGCTGCGCCTCCAAACTGTTGCAGCACAGCACCTCCTGACGACGACGAACGAGGCGATAGCACTGCGTCCTGCGCCACGGAAGAGAAAGTCGCAGGAACAGTAGGTCGGCACGAGCTGGGCAGCCAAACTGACAGAAGAAGTCCTCGGTAAGTGAGCAAACTAGTGTATAACTGTCTGTTCGCCAGCAGAGAACCTGTCAACATGATTGTGCTTCTTGTCCAAATAATTCTTGTTCACTCGTAGAATTTGAAAAATAGTTTGTCTCTTTTGCTAAACCGAAATATCGCTGATAAACCTAAGTGAATAAGAAAATCGATTAGGTACACTCTGATAAATTCATAACTCGCGCCGAATCTAACATAATCCTGCCAAACCGCGCGAAATGACGCCATATTTTTAAGTGGTGCTGCTGAAACACCCGTGCGCGGCACGACTTCAAAAGTAGACGTGTGTACGTGCTTGCATGCATGAAAATAGCTGCTATGAGTGCAGAGTTCACAGTTTTGTGAGTTACGATATTCGTTTGGGCAGTCAACTTGACATTCGAATGTCGACTCGAGAACGAACGTTCGAAGCTTCTCAGCATTCGTTTGACCACTACTCTCTAGTCTCTACACATGATCAACCTGTGAATGGTAGGTTGTGTTCCATGCTCTATACTCTACTGTTGATTGCTAAGACCGTGAAACTCAGAGTCACAGCAGAAACACTTTGTTTCCCTCGTTTTATGTGCATAAGGCTCTGCGCCTAGCTGTATCGAGCACTCTCTCTCTCTCTCTCTCCTCTCTTTCTCTCTCTCTCTCTCTCTCTCTCTCTCTCAAGCTGCTGCAACTCTCCCTGAGTGTACTTTACTGTGTGTGCTACACAGATATCTCAATGCCTAGCGCAGAGCATGCACAGCTAGCAGTGTGTACTCTCATCTTCTTCGTGCGTGTTTATGCGGAAGAACAAGAAATCTTCCATCATGCTTTTTGCACCAAGAGTACTAGACTTCTAAGCATGTACACCAGCCTCTGCTTCATTCACTGCTCACTCACTCCTGCATGTCGTATACATTCTTTTGTGCTGTCTCACCAGTTCCAGTGCTGCGGTGCAATTCATCCCAGCGACTGGCGCGTTCATAGCAAGTACTTTCAATGCACAGAGGAAGTATTCACAGAGATTATCAGCTCGTGTGGTGTACCATCTTCGTGTTGCAAAAAGGAGGTAAGTGCTTCTGCTGGTACCGCTCCTTATTTTGCATTTTTTTGTTTTCTGGTTGGCTTCCTTTGACCAAAGAGCTTTGGGGTCCAGGAGTTGCACATGAATAGTTCTTCTTTGCTACGGCTGCAGGGGTGCTCAGATGCTGAGGAAGACAGTGTGGGTGGTGAGGGGGGAGGGGGAGAATCGATCTGTCAGATCATATCAGAGGATTGTGTTTCTCTAGCCCATGTAGCGATGCAGATCATTGCCACAGTACTGGCCAGTGAAATCCTGCCGCTCACTTGAGAACCACGCTGCGAGTTTCATTTGTAAAAGTGTGACGAGGTCGTGTCTTGTGAGTGCCGACACCATGTTGCAGCAATCACGTGCACAAATGGCAATGTTATCTTCAGAAGGCTTGCAGGAAAGGATAATTGAGCTGAGAAACTATTCCAAGTTAGGCTGATTGAGCTCACCTGGCTGGAGTAGACTGAAGTTAACTGGAATTGGAGTGAAGAACAAGACGGAGATGAGCAGCTTGTACATGTATAGGGAGAAAGGGATATTGCGTAATGCTCTAGGGATGTTGTGTATTGTTCTAGGGACATTGCGTGATGTTCTAGGGATATTGCGTGCTGTTCTAGGGATATTGCGTACTGTTCTAGGGAGGAGAAGAGAGAATACGCATATGCCATAGGCAGGAATGTAGAAAATATTCTGGAAAGTCTAAAAGGTTATGAAAGAGTACAAGTGTGCATTTCAGGAGTTCCTGTAAGGGCCGGGTTCCACTTCGGATCCGCTGCTCCGCAGCACTTGGCTGCATGCAGTGCGGTTCCATTGACACTTGCCATTCGCAGTACCGCGATCATGCTCGGCGTTTTTTATGACGTTTTACCTACCTGGCGCGCGACATCGCAAAAATCCTCGTGTTCTGGCCTGCGCAACGAATTAAAATTTGAGTTAGCACAAGCATCTGCATGCCGCACTCATACAATGAGCAACCAGTTTGGGGAATAGCAGGGTGAGCAAGAAATCCACTGAATATGCAGACACAGCAAGAACTGAAATCAGGAACAGTGGACTTTGAAGAACAATGAGTCCATGAGAGTTTTCCCACATACCCTGCTGTCCCGACAGAATTTCAAATTGACGTCATTTTTATGATGCAACACTCTTTGCACCAGTGATTTACGACATTTGTACCGGGGTGTCAACACATCCCACGCTTTTCTTTGCACTAAGTTGTACCGGATCAAACGGGGCTTTATCCACCACAGGTTCAGGATACGTCTGATAATACATGTACAGTGCGCATTGCATCATAAAAATGACGTCAACTTGAAATTCTGTCGGGACAGTACCCATAGTCGAGTTGCACACTCTTGGGAGGTTATGTACTCTTGATGCCACGGATGACGTGCAGCGGAGCATCGGAGCCGCAGTCGAACCCGGCCCTTAGGGAACACAGAAGGTACACACATGGATCATGAGCACACATGAAGAAAGTTTTGCAAGTTTCTGCACAGACTTGTGTAATACAGGTACTGCAACTTCAAGTGGTCAAGCGACACAGTGAACCAAAACGTTCTTGGCTTCATAAACATTAACACAATGACCCATTGAACTGCCTTGTCATGCTCATCCAGTGTTTGTGTTTCTTGTATTGGTTCTATCTCATCTTGTGCACCCAGGCCGCGACCAATGCTCAGTGTGGTTTCAAGGTCTTCCCGTATGCCAACATGTCGTTGGCCAAGCAAAACATGTACCCCAGAATTGTAAGTCACTCTGCACTGCACTAGGCATGCTCCTGCTCCGGTGCACTCCAGCAGCTTCTCTCTCTCTCTTGCATGCCGTCACTACATCCACCTGTTTCAGAGTGGGAGTAATAAGTTGTAGCTCTCCCTTGCTTCACAGAGTAATCATTTGTTTCTCTCCCTCTCGACTGCCTCCCTTCACAAAGTAATCATTTGTTTCTCTCCCTCTCGACTGCCTCCCTTCACAGAGTAATGATTTGTTTCTCTCCCTCTCGACTGCCTTGCTTCACAGAGTAATGATTTGTTTCTCTCCCTCTCGACTGCCTCCCTTCACAGAGTAATGATTTGTTTCTCTCCCTCTCGACTGCCTCCCTTCACAGAGGAATGATTTGTTTCTCTCCCTCTCAACTGCCTCCCTTCACAGAGCCGCCGGAACGAGATCATCTGGACAACAGGGTGTGTCGAGGCCGTCTTTGAATGGATCAAGAGCAATTGGCTTGTTCTCGGCATCCTCTGCGGTGTTGTCATCATCATTCAGGTATGCTGCTGTGCTGGAATACTCCATCTCTGCAATAATGCGTTTCTACTTGCATGAATCTGTAGCCTTATACAGTGTGTAATAGGCCACGCATGACCGCATGACTAAATCCAGTGTGCATTGATACCCTTTTCTGCTGGCCCCAGTACGGTGGGTCAGTTTTCAGTCATTCCCCAATCAATGCAATTGTCACGGCTACCGTTTATGATTTCTGGGCACTCTTTTTGTTATTGCTTGAGAATGCTCTGCCTGTATTAGCAGACACACTGCACGATTGGTCACTAAAAGTAAATCCGGATAAAACAGAGTGGATCCGTGTGTCACCTGAATCCGTGAGCTAGCGGGCATCAGGCAGCTTGGCTCCTTGATGGGGGAGGAAGAGGATGTTCGTCGCAGGATGGAACTTGCCTCCCGTGTGTTTGGCCAGCTGTACGCCCTATGGCTGCTAGAGATAAAGTAGCAGAGAAGACACGCTTACGCCTGTACGACGCTAATGTACTGCCAACATTGCTGTACAATTGCGAGACTTGGGGGTTATGGGCAACAGCAATGGCCAAGGCAGACGCATTCCACCGGCGTCGAATGCGATCATTGGAGAGGTTCTGCTCCACGGATTTTTCGTACGTTGCGCCGGTTCTGCTGTGCGTAGCATGCTCTAGTATACTCGAACTCCCCGCCACATGTACTCTGTCCGTTCAGTTTTCACACGGAGACCAGTCCGTGTGAAGCGTGTTTCACACGGAAAACGGTATGAAAAATACGTATGAAACTTGATCCTGTACCGCGGCGAGGTTTCCATACGTGCTTTGGTACGTTTTACCCTGTGGCAGAACCTCACTATTACTTGGAATCCGATACCCTGACACAATCTCGAACGACGACCTATACGGCAGAACCAAGAGCAACCCTGTATTAGATACAGGTGCATGTGGGCGACTAAGAATGACCGGTCATGTGCAACGGATGGACACGGACACGCCACCGCAAGTAGCCATGAGCGGCTATTTTGATACGGGCAACAAAGCACCTCGTGGGCGGCCAAAGTTGACACTGGCCACAAGTCTGGTCGCTGAGATGAATAAGCTGGGTGTGCCCATGAAGACCATGGAAGACCTTTCCAGGTGCCGACAACAAACAGCGGACAAGACAGACTGGAAGAAACTGTGCAGCTCGACAACCGAGGAGAAATCAGTATCAGCAGCTACACCTTGCTGGTGATGTTCACAAGACAGAAGTGGAAAAAACACTGAATTTCTATATTTTGAAACTCGGGTATTGAGCCAATAATAAAAGTAGAAAGGAAAAGGACATATGGAAACGAGTTAAGAGTAACTCTCCACCACTGAATGTCTCAGTACTCTGTCAGTTTTGTGCCTAGTTGTTGCACTTTCTGACTGTATATAGTATCTAGTTACAGTGGTGGAGAGTTACTCTTAACTCGTTTCCATATGTCCTTTTCCTTTCTACTTTATTTTCTATATTGTTTAGTAGTGTTTAAACCGAACACGGATTCTTCGAACGAATAATCTATCGAATAATTTCGCCCTCCATCGAACGAATATTCTATATTCTATCATACGCATGATGGAATTTTTCAACACTTTTTCAGTACTTTTTAAGTAGTTTTTTTGAAATTTTTCGCTGATTTATAATAATATCGGATTTTGTATTGTGGAGGTGCATAACCGGTTAACCGGTACAGCACATGCACGTACATGTACACGTACATGTACAATCATGTACATGTAGATCTACCAGTATGTGCACTGGCAAGTACAGGGTGCAGACATGACAGAAGAGCACAGTATGGAGAAAAAAGTTCAAAAATCGTTCACGGTTCGTGTGAGACTCGGCTAGAAGCCGAGTTTTCCGCATCCGCAGGAAAGCCACCACCCTCTTGGATCAAGGCGCAGATGCAGCTCCTAAAGCGGTGGGAGGTGAGTAGATCAGACCCACCACAAAGTGGTCAAAGACCGAAAATCACATTCACTACATCCATGTTTCCCTCGTATGGAAAGAAGAGAAGTAATACTAGATACCGGTAGGAGATTAAAACTTGGAGGAGAGGAGATTGAGAAGAAATACTACGAGCAGATCTACGCAATGCAAATATCAGCAGGGTCAGCATTGAGCAAAGATCGTTTTTTTTTTCTTTTTTTTTCCATTTCTGACAATTCCTACGACTATTCGATTATTCGTTCACCCCACGAATATTCTAAATTATTCGATTATTCGATTATTCGTTTCAACACTATTGTTTAGTGTTCTACTACGCGAAATGTGTTATTATTATTATTACTATTTTTTGTTATTCCCGCGCTTGTCACTGCACTGCACTTCCCCCGCGACCCGGAGCTGTTGCGAGCACTCGTGTTTCCTTTGCGTCTCCTTCGGAGGGCTTTCCTGGTCTCGTGTCTCTTTGTGTCGCTGCACTTTGGCTGGCACTGCTTTGCAAGCAGCTCTTTTATATTCACATATTCCGTTCTTCGTTTGTTAGAGTTAGACCTACGAGAGTTAGAGTCAGGCTGGAGTTTGTTCACGCGGCTTGTAATTGTTGTTCTCACAGCTCAGAGTTTTGCTTGCGTTTTCAGAGTTTTCGTAGTTCACAGATATTCCTCGTTCTTCACATTACCAGTCTGTTCTTCACATTACCAGTTTGTTCTCAACAGTGAGATTCAGTACCAGAGTGTAACATAGTGATCCAATTCGATCCGGATTTCTCTTCGTCGTTCTTCACCTTCAGTCATGAGTCAGGATCGACGGATAAGCTCAAGGGCGACGAACGGGAGAAAACCGAGCAGGTACCGGTCTTTAGAAGATACTAGTATTCACGTCTGTCCAGAGCAGAGCGTGGCCATACGAGAGAGGAAACGCGCTGAGCCTGACCTGAAAGCAGCTAGAGCGATCAATTGATTCTGAAGGATTCAGAGGATCTGGAATCTCGATCCAGATCCGATGAAATGATCACCGCCTCAGTCATATTTATACAGTGCATTCATTGTCTTTGCCAGACGCGGGCATGTTTGCAGTGGTGGCGTGCGCTGTCCGTTCATCACTGCAATGTCCAATCTGCTTGCTTTCATGTTGTGCGGTTTGGTGGGTTTGGAAACGGAGCTGCTGTTGTCCTTTGAATGTGAAATATTCTCTATTCTCTTATGTCCGTGTGCATCTATGTCTTCCTATCCTGCAGTTGATTGGTATTGAGTTTTCCCGTCGACTTATGGATCAGATCTGGTATCTGCAGACACAGATGCAATAAACATCCGACTATCCCTTCAAGGTAGGTTGAATTGCTCTCCTTGACACCTTCGTGGCAGGGGACCTGTTGCGAAGTGTAATTCCTTGCAAAAGCAGCAAGATAGCACCCAGACAGCATACGTTCTGTGTTTTGAGTAGCCTGGTATTCTGTCTCTATTACCGTACTGCCCTTGTTGGTGGAATCCTGATAATTCAAACCCCAAAATGCCGGGGGAAAACTTCTAATTATCCTGACATTCTAATTATCCAAACATACACCCACAACGCATAATGTACGTCAAAATGCTAGTATTGACATGCAGAGTTGCACTACACACCTTAGACACAGATTTAGTGGACACTGAACTCCCTGTGCATGCAAACCAAACTGATTTGCAGGAAATAAAGTGAACTTCTAATTATACTTTGCTAACTTTAACCGGACATACCCAGTTCGAAGTTCGAATTATCAGAAATTGTTATGTGGATATCGTATTGATAGAAATCGGTCAAGCACCATTGTTCGAATTATCAGGGTTCCACCTGTACTTCAAATATTTGATACAATGTCATGTACATGAGATTGTCAGCTTCCGTTTGCTGCTCCTGCTGCTGCTTTACTAGCATGTTCAGTCAATGCTGTTTGGCTCCATTCCCCATTCTTGCTCTATAATGATAACCCCTGCCTGCCTCTCTCTCTCTCTCTCTCTCTCTCTCTCTCTCTCTCTCTCTCTCTCTCTCTCTCTCTCTCTCTCTCTCTCTCTCTCTCTCTCTCTCTCTCTCTCTCGCTTTCTTGCTTTCTTTCTTTCTTTATCTGGTGAGACCCAAGGGTAAAATTGTAAAGTTGGGCACAAGTCGTTTGAAAAATGCAGCACCTGAGACTGCGGTGGCTGGTACAGTCGACCTACCCTTATAACGATATTAGCGTCACACCAAGAAATATTGTTATACGGGTAAGGCCATCATTTTTTATATCTATGTTTCGCGTCGTCCGCACGCAAACGTTTTGATTTTTTTCGGAAAAAATAAAAAAATCAACCATGCACAGTTAGTGTACGATCGTGCGAGTCATCAGTGTGGACTGGTTGCATACGGCGAAGCTGGGATTCAGAAATGGCCTCGAGGCCGGCCAGCGTTGTTAAATCGTTTGTTCGGCATCTGCGAGCAGTATTCTATGAGCTTACAACATTAATATTACAACAGACCGCATCGATCGCCTCAAGCTGAGAGGATGCATCGTTCCGGAGCTCTTTGCGCCGCTGCTGAAGGCTGAGTACAATAATCCAGAGAAGCAAGGGCACCTCCTCTGTACAAAGTGATGCAGATTTTGTGCTTCGATGTTCGATTTTTCTTTCAGATGTACACCACGCACGAGCTATTGTGCTGTGTACAGTTCTATACACCTCTGATGAGCCTTTTTTATTATTTTGCAACTTTTTATTTTTTTCCACCTCTCGCATATGATTCTGGAAGTTGAACTGACGCGAAACATACATATAAAAAATGATGGCCTAATATTGTTATAGGGGTAACTGGCTCATTTCATACACATACGTCATAATTAGGGCTGAAACGATCATCCATTTAGCCCGATCGATTATTCGATTATAATCTTTAAGAGGCCGTACCTGGAATATGTACGTGGAATGGCCAAAAGTGGAAATATGTACAAAATTTTGCACAAAAAAAGTGTTATGTACTAGTATGTAGACCGGACGCGACCTTGACCTTCGAGCTTCATGCTCCAGCTTCGTTGTACATGACATACATGTACATGATGATGATTGTACTACACTTGTAGGACTTTGAAACTCGGATGTTGAGCCAATAATAAATGTAGAAAGGAAAAGGAAATATAGATACGAGTTGAGAGTAACTCTCCATCACTGTAACCAGATACTATATATACAGTCAGAAAGTGCAACAACTAGGCACAAAACTGACAGAGTACTGAGACATTCGACGTCCTGACACCTAGCTTCAACACGTCTCCGTAGCGCTAACCGACAGCCTTCCAACTTGGAAGGTTCAAGGTTATGGAAAGACCAAAGAGGGGAAGGCAAGCGCAACGAAAATGAGCACAAGCTACAGTCCCAACGGAACAAAGAATGTCGATTGTTACTGGACTATGACGAGACCAGTAGGATGTTTGACAAAGCGGTCTAACTACAATTCGAAGCAGCAAAGCAGCACACCACCCAACTTGGGTGGGTCATAAATATCAAAGATAAGTAAACAAGGGGAAGCTTTGCGAAAACGAATTGTACAAGCCGAAAGCCAAACTCCTACAGTACTCCTCATGCATGACATAGTGATGGACAGTGTCAGGACGTCGAATGTCTCAGTACTCTGTCAGTTTTGTGCCTAGTTGTTGCACTTTCTGACTGTATGTAGTATCTGGTTACAGTGATGGAGAGTTACTCTCAACTCGTATCTATATTTCCTTTTCCTTTCTACTTATAGGACTGTTTTTCGATTTTGACAGCATGTTACAAGGCGAGTCACGCGTGCAGTGTGTAGTACTGTGTACTAACGGGGGTATATACTCTGCGCTGCATGCACTGCGCGTATAAGAAATTAAAAATTTAAAAAAACACAAAATAATCGTAATCGGTAATCTAAACGATTGCTCGATCGTTAAAGTTATCAAACGAGTACTCGATTATTCGGTATAATCGTTTCAGCCCTAGTCATAATTCATGGATTTTGTTCATTTTTTACACTCTTCATAGCATAAAAACTGACGAACATGTACACAGCAAGGTGCCCACTGCCGGCACTGGTGCACCCATTGCATTTCGTCATGTCCCAGCGACTTATCAAGTGAAGCTTGCCCTACCTGGATAGTGGGCTCTACATATTCCCTGCTAGATATTGTTATAAAATGGAAAATGTTGATTGGTCAGCCCATTTTATATCGTCATAGGGGTAATATCGTTATAGCAATATTGTTATAGAGGTAGGGCATTGTATCTCTTAATTTGCTGGCCAAAAATCCTATATATAGGATTTGAAAATGTGTGCCTTTTATGCCGTTGTTATTGGTCATCACGACCAATAATAACGGCATAATGGTTTTCATGGAAGTTGTAAATATGTTTGAGGCATGAATGTTTACATTTTAGATTCATAGGGTGATAATATTTCTGATGAATACCCATTTTCAGCAATAATTGGAAATTTGAGCATAATTGTTCAGCTGCTTTCATGGAAAGGACTGAAGCAGTGAATGTGCAGAAGAACATTGCAGGTGTGGCACGGGGTGGTTCCATGATGACATATCGCACATGCCGTCATGAAACTACCAGGTCCAATAAAACAAGGTCCAATAAAATCTCAAATCCTATATATAGGATTCGAAAAATAGGGCACAGGCCTTAGTAATATTGAGCAAGGAGATGAGCCTGAGATGTTAGTGTTTGAAAAATTATCTCATTCAACTCTCGATATCTACTAAGACCTAGCAAGGAAGAATTGGTCACATACTTTTTGCTATTCTCATGCCACACCCAGTTGAAAAATATGACCAAAATCCTATATATAGGATTTAGCAAATTAAGAGATACACAAGTCAATGGAGTGATTTGGTTTGGCAGAAAAATATCGTTAGAAGGGTAATATCGTTATAGAGATTATCGTTATAAGGGTAGGTCGACTGTAGTGGTGTTTAGGAGCCTCTGCACTTGTTAACAGCTGTGTCTATCTTGTTCTTGTACTTTCTCTCTGGCTCTACACATTTATCTCAGGCTGTGTATCTTTTGACAGGTTTACTCAGGAATTCCTAATGATGTCTCTAGCCATCTACTTTTGCCATCTATGGCATACTGGAGGCACACTGGTGAGACAGGGCACAGACACAACACAGCTGTGTTGATACCTACAATACAGGTATCTGATATGATGCTTGACTAGGCAAACATAATATAAAGAACTATGACAGTGCATTCTGAACTGGGTGTAACGGCCCGCCAGTGATAATTATTTATTTATTTTAAAATTTATGAAACACTTTTCCCTTAGTTGTGTGCTGCGAGCATGTTGGAAATAGGTGAGGTGAACTACATTTTTTTCACCTGCTGCGCCACTGCTCACTGCATGCTCAACCCCCGTTTTCTCGCACCATGTTACCTTCCCATGCCCCTTCATTGCTCCTATTTGACCAGAGCGTTTTCTTCTTTACATTGTAACGTTCCAAGTAGGTAAATAGTAAAATGTACATATCGAGTGCAGTAGACGTTGCTCACGACTAGTTTTGTGTTTCATGTTATTTACGGTGATTGTTGACTTTATTGCATTACTTTACAGTCAATTAAATTCCTGTGTCTTGTTTGTGTCCTGCTGCATTGCTCTCTTACATGCACTGCCTCTATCACAACATATCACGTGATGTGAACAGTATCTGTAGATGTGGCTCTTGCAGTCTAACTTTGTGTGCGAAACATGGCTGTGCAAGGTATGATTGCACAAGGCCTGATTGGAATCAGGGGGTGAGGGAGCTGTCAGATCTGATGACTCCCTGATTGGGATGTCCCTTCACTATTCTAGACCACGCATAGAAGTCTACAGCGGTGGTACATGTACAGCTATCATTGAATAACTTGACACAATGTTGGCCATAACAATGGTCCTGGCCCCTTCCTGCAAGAGTAGCTAGACTCTTTTAGAAAATACAATGTAGTGCGGAGAGATGAAATGGCCGTCAACTGCACCTTCTTTTCTTTCATACAAATGGTCATATTTCATGGCTGCCTGCAAAGCGTCACAAGTTTGTTTTGCTGTACCCCTGGTCTAAGTCCTTCCTTTTCTCCTAACACTATGTCATCATGTATACCATAGTGCTGATCAGGGGTCATCAGATAGTAATACCAAATGAATGCAAGCTAAAGCAACAGTTACATAACCAGGATATGCATTACTACATTTGTTGTATGTACTCTTGTCGAAAGTGGTGCAGTAACTGAACAGTCATGCACATGCAATAACCAATTCAATTTATAGTGCAGTATAAGTATCATGCGGTCATGATTTCTTGTGGATGAAGTAACCATAATTGCACTAAATCAATTTTTGAGAGTACAACAGGTCTACTACCCTCGTTAGTACGGCATTGGTTACAAGATAAACCTCATCAGTAGACAATGATCCAAAATCCCCGGGTGGGGTGACCACTAGTGCACTGTAAATGGCAGGCGAGGGAGTCGGGTAGATCTACCTTTTGGAATACCGGTAGTACAGTCAGTATCGCCTATGGCTATGCGCTGGTGTTTGATTTTGAGCATTTTCAGTATCACAATAAGCGATAATTATAATTATTACTATCATCCTTCCACCCAGTGCGCAATCTGAGAGGCCCAAACGCGGGAGGCCTAGGAAAAACCCATCACCTAGACGGCAGGATAGTTCCCTGCCGCTGTCTGCCGCTCCCCCTCTGACATCTGTGTTGGACGGGCTTGAGCTTGGCAGCTCTTTGGAGGTGCGTGCGGAACCGCCATTGGTGCAGCCCTCGGGTGTGCCTAAGTCTGTGCCTCTGGGTGCTTTGCATGGAGCTGTGCCTCGAGTGGTGACAGCACCTCTGCCTCCCCCTGACCCTCCTCCTTCGAGGTCTGTGTTGGTGGAGAGCACCCGCGGCGGTCGATTTGTCCCACCGGAACCAGAGCTGGATTCAACAGAAAGACCAACAACCATGGCTGCAACAACAACACCAGCTTCGCATCCAACAACAACACCAGGTTCACATCCAACAACAACAACAACTAATCCACAAAACAAAGCAGCAAATGACAGACCACGGAGATCTACAGCAGATTACAACCGGACCTATGAATTCACGGTAAAAATACAAAGGAAACAATCGGAAAGGACGACGACTGACGTGAAGGCAACGGCATTCACGGTTGGCGTGGGTGGTGAAGGTGAGACGCAGGACGATGCAAGTGAGGAGGAGAGTCAAGCCGCGGTGGATGACGGAGCAGGTTCTGATTCGGACAGTGAGGGAGAAGGTGAGCTGAGCGGGGGTGAGAGTGAGTGTGAGGGTGTGCGCGTGAGTCGAGATTGTGTGCGTCCGTCTCGTAATAACAAGTCTTCAGTATACAATCATTTGGTTTCTAGTACTGACTGTTGTCGTACTTATTCTGATTCCTGTTTTTCTGTTATGTGCCGTGCTCGTCACGGTTATCTTTTGCAGTTACAAGTTTTGGAAGCTGTTTGTCAGCGCATTCATAAGCCGAATTTGTGTGTCCAGAAAGATAGTGTTATTACCCTAAAATTGTTCAAATAATGTTCTGTTTTGTAGTGTGGCAACGTTGTTGCCACTTGTGCCTAAATGTGTTTTGTCACCTTCTTGTTTATTATTGTTATTATTATCATTCGTTCTCACTTTTTTGTTTTTGTTGCTGATACACACTTGTCACGCTTAGTTCTTACTTGTATACCCTTGTTTTCTGCACACTTTTGTGAGAAATCGCACCTCGATATTCCAGTGCTGTCATTGTATCGTGTCACCCTACCTTGATTGCTATAATTATTTCCTTTGTTCTCATTTTTGTTCTTTAGTACAACGGTGATTCCTGAAGAGTGTTGTACGAAAACTTGTTCGAATCATCTTTTTTTTCCATTGCCCTTTTTCTTCTTACATGTATTATTCCTTACCCTTTAGGTTGTTTCTTGCATCGTCTCCATCGCTTACATTGTTAATATAGTAGTCCACATGTCGCTTCAGCTCGTCCTACTTATTGCCATATTAAAATTATTGTCTCCTCGTCGAATTTTTAAATAATAATAATAATAATAATAGTGCAGATGACATGGGGTGATCTGTAGTCAACACAGCAATACACCAACATCTCTGCAGCAACCTGTGATGCACTAACACTTCATATTTAGCTCCATAACCATAATAAATTTGTAGAAAGGCCATTTGTCAATGAGTGTGAAAAATCTTGGTTTGTGGGTGCGGCTTATACTCCGAATACCAACTTTTAGTCAATATTTTGCCTCAAAAAGGGGGGTGCGGCTTATACCCCGGTGCGGCTTATACCCCGGAAAATACGGTAGATGGATAATGAACACATGAAGGCAATGACACGATACAACCTTTCATCTAGTACTCTCAACTCCACGATCCGAACACACCCAGGGAATTCAATCATCGATGTCCAAGAAGGAATAGTTTACGTGGCTGACAAGGACACCTCGACGATCAGTGGTGGGTGAGCATCTATCACGAACGTCGAGGTGACCATGCCAGGCGGAAATCAGCAAATAAAAAATGTGTGACACATACCTTCGTCCTACCATGACATCCTCGGGCATAAGCACGACTTTCCCCTTGCATCCTTCAGCCTCATTCTGCCCAGAGTCGCGCTCTGGTTCTTCAAGACTCGCCAATCTCAGATTCCACAACAGGCTCGACTTATTCTTATTTTGTCGTGTTATTTCTCACGAAAGACTGAACGCGACGTGCAACTCTCTCCTTGGAACACCAGCTTCGAACACTATCGCAGCAGCGGCATTACTGGCAGCTAGCCCAGTGCTAGAACCAAGGGTGCGTTCTTAAATCCTCTCGGAAAAGTTGGAGACTCTCCGAAAAGTTCGAGAGCTGTTCTTATATCCTCTCCGAATTTTAGGAGGCTCTCCAAAGCTCTCCAAGCTCTCCAAGCTTCAGAGGTGGTTGAAACTTGGAGATTCCCGCGGTTTGGGATCAGCGCATGCGAACTACCGTATTATCTCTATTATATAAGCACGTACGGTCCTTTATTTTTTTCAATGTACCTCCGCCCCGTGCTATAAATGGAGACGTTCCTTTATTGGAGACTGTTCCATTATTATTTCAACCTCATTTCAGAGGCATGCTGCCATGCCAAATTCATGTCAGACACACACATTTCAGGGTTTTTTTCGCCGGTACAGATAATGAATGTACACAGTGTGCTTATAATGGAGACTGAGCACTTTATTTTTTGAATGCCGCCCCAAGGTGTTCTATTATTGGAGACTGTGCTTATGGCTGATGATAGTCATCGGTAGTCATCGGGATGATGCGCCTGCCGGATCGGCGGCAGAGCACAATGAGTCCAGTGTCGGCATCGCCCGACCTGAGACACTGAATTAATCATCCTCAGCAATGCCACCACGAGCACGGGAACCAGTGCATGACCGTGATCGTGCGGCATCGCCTTCCGACATCAGACCCTTGAGGCAGTTCCGAGGAACCTGCCGGGATGAAGGTGTGGGCCCCACGGATGATTCATCCAGTGGTTTGCTCACGGGTCCGGGTGACCAAGTGACCATGCCAAATAAACTTGAGCATGGCAAACCCGTTCGACCCCAGGGGGGCCCAGGGTCAACGATATACATACAATGCCCCACCTGAAGTGAATGACTATTTAGAGACACACTTCCGTCGTGTATTGCCTGACGACGAACGCCGGGAAATGCAATCCGTGCATCCTCGGCCGAACACAGACGTGCTCTCCACACCAAGGGTCCACAAACGTGGGGACGCTTCCGACCCTCGCAACTACAGACCCATCTCCCTCCTTCCTCTCATGTCCAAACTTCTCGAGAGGTGTGCGCTAGAGCAACTTACGCAATACATGGATAGCGCCAGTCACATGGAATCCCTCCCTGCAGTTCAGTTTGCGTACCGCAAAAACCACTCCTGCGACGATCTTCTCGCTCTGGTGGCAAATGATTGGAGTCAAAGTCTAGACCAGAACGAGTATGTGGCTGCGGCTTTCCTCGACATGTCCAAAGCCTTCGACACTGTCAACCACAGTTTGCTCCTCCAAGAACTGTTCGAGATTGGTGTGGGAGGGGTTGCACTGCGTTGGTTCGCATCATACCTTACTGACCGGCAGCAGAGAGTTGTCACCAAGTCTAGCAGAGGTGCCTGTTATTCTGCCTCCAGAGGTGTACCTCAAGGATCTATCCTTGGACCTGTCTTGTTCAATCTTGCTGTCCGCAAACTGCCAGAGGGTGTTGCTAGTACCAAGGTCCGTCAGTTTGCTGACGACGTTTCTGTCTACAAATCCGGAAGGGATCCACAGAAGCTCACTGCAGACTTGGCCAGAGACGTTCTGTCAATCCGCAACTTCCTCCGGGACCACGGCCTTAAACTTAACGCGTAAAAGACACAGTTCATCATATTCCGCCCAAAGTCCAAGGCGGTCCCAGCTAATCTCCAATTGTCAATTGACAGCACTAGCATACCGCCTTCAGCCACGATCAAATACCTTGGCCTCCTGTTCGATGAGCATCTTACGTACCGAGATCACATCACGCTCCTGGAACGCAAGATAGGCGCTAAACTCGCTGTGTTCAGGAAAATCAAACACAATCTAACACCTGCTGCCAAACGAGTGTTCTACTGTTCCTTCATTCAGGCCCAACTTGAATACGGCTCTAATGCATTTGCGCACAGCCTCCAAGTCTCGCAATCTGACGAGTAGGTTGTGTACTTAGTAAAAAAAAAAAAAAAAAATGGACTGCATTACTCGTACGTGTATCTCCAACCGTGCTGTTCGGATTGTCTTTGGCTACCCGAAGTACTACGATGCTTCTCTTGTTCTAGCTAGGAACTATCTCGCTGCTATCTCCCTTAGATATCAATTTCGCCTGTTTGTACTGGTGTTTCGAGCCCTCCATAAGTTGTGCAGTCCACTACTCTCGACCTGCTTCCTCCCTCGCACTGCCACTTCACAAACCTCAGCCCGTACACGCTCTCAATCCACGTTGTCACTTAGTCTTCCTTTAGTTTCTCGCCGCTATGGTTTATACTCGCTTAGCTTTCTTGGTTCTGATCGTTGGAATGCGCTTCCTGCTGATATTCGCACAATCTCCTTGCTCAGAAACTTCCGTTCATCTATTCAACATTTCATAGGGTACCCTGTAAAAAGGCCCTAGGCCTGTGGGACTGCCCTATTCAAAATTTAATAATAATAATAATAATAAGGGAGGACGAGTCAGTTTCGAACTGGTCAGGGCGCAAGCACCCAAAATCACTTGATCAGAAACTATCACAAGTGCAAACTGCACTGCACGTGGCTGTGGGACCGCTGACCTGTGCCTGGAGTGGTGCGATAGAGCAGCGCTTGGAAGGCAAGCTCGTCCCCATGGATGAGATGTTGGACGTATTCCAGCGGACGTTAGTGCTCTTGGGACATGCCAACGCAATGCTTACCCAGACACGCCGGAGCATAGTGCTGGAGGCTGGCGATCCAGACGTGGCAAAGCTGGTGAAAGACGATCTGCCTCAGTCTGGCAAGCGCCTATTTGGCGATGCATTCACGGATGAGCTGTCGAAACGGGCCAAGGAGAGTACGGCACTGCAAGAAGCATCCAAGGCATTGCACCAGCCCTCTGGGTCAATGGGCAGGCAGCCTTTTCGTGGTCGCGGGGCCGTGCACAGTGGCAGCCGGCAGCATTTCCCGCAGCGCCATGGGTTCAGCCGCGGATTTGGCCGCTCAACCCATTCCGACACCCTGGGTCGAGGCTTCAGCCGGCCGCGCTTCAGCCCGTACGAACAACAACGCCGACCGTTCAATCGGCATTCAGCCAACCGAGCCCCACCAGCCGAGAAACCGAGCCATTCCGGCCAATAGAGCCAGTGGCCAGTCCCAGCTCAGTCTCCGCTGTGCCAATATCGGTCCAGCCAACCATGCCTATTATATTTCAGCACGCACACATGCATTTACAGCCTATAGTAAACAATGGTCGTCCATCCGGTCGCATCCAAACTGCCATCCACAACTGGCATCAGGTCACCACCGACCCCTTTGTGCTCGACAGCGTTGTGGGATACTGAGTGCCACTCCACTCCACTCCGACACAGTATGCCATACCAGCTCCTCCGCATCTCTCCGCGCAGGAACAGCAGGGCCTGAGCGAGCAGTTGGAGAAAATGGCAGCTTCAGTGTCCATCGAGATGACGCCTCTGGACACGGGGCAGCAGTTCATCAGTACCCATTTTGTGACGCCGAAATCGGACGGCCGATGGCGTCCACTGTTCAATTTGAAGCGCCTGAACGAATTCGTCACCACAGCTCATTTCAAGATGGAGTCACTCCACAATGTGCGAGAACTTCTACCACCCGCCGGGTTCATGGCAAAGCTGGATCTGAAGGATGCATTCCATTCAATTCCAGTACACCCGTCAAGTCGCCGTTGGCTTCGCTTGGAGTGGAAGGGCAGCCTGTGGGAGTACACCTGCCTCCCATTCGGTCTCTCGGACTCACCGAGAATCTTTACCAAGATCCTCTAACCCGTGGCAGCATTGCTCAGGTCTCTGGGCGTGCGCCTGATCGTGTACCTGGACGATTGGCTCATTCTGGGACCCACAGCAGCAGCAGTCCGCCAGGGCATAGAAGCAGCTGTGTTTCTCCTGGAACATCTAGGATTTGCAATCAACGATGCCAAGTCACAACTGAGCCCCAGTCAAGAGATAGAATTCCTCGGAATCGAGGTCAACTCAGTGCGCATGATCTTCACTTACCCCAACAGGAAGCTCAATCACCTCCAGCACGAGTGTCGGCGAATTGCCAACAAGGCGACAGCCTCTCTCCCGGAACTACGTTGCCTTGTGGGAAAGATCCAGGACTGCACCAAAGCTATTCCACTGGCCAGGGCTCACAGCCGCGGCCTTCAATGGATGTTGAACAGCCTTATGGGAGCACCAGAGGGACAGCGACGCATGCTTCCGCCCGAGGCCCAAGCAGATCTACAATGGTGGGTCGAACTGTGCCCTGCCCAGTGCTGCAAGGCCATAGTAACCCCTCCACCGTCGAGAAGCCTGACAACAGATGCTTGCGATACAGGCTGGGGTGCTACCAGCGACCACCAGATGGACGGCGGGCCTTGGCGGATGGAAGAGATGGATTACCACATCAACTGGAAGGAGCTGAAAGCAGCGCACTTGGGTCTGCAGATGTTCTTTTCCTCCAGTCACGACTGCACGATCCGGCTGGAGATGGACAACACAACAGCAGTGGCGTACGTCAACCACCAGGGCGGCACCCACTCGTATCGTTTGTGTCAGCTGGCCCTCGAGATCTGGCAATGGGCAGCCGACCGTAAGATACACCTGCTGGCCGTGCATGTCCCCGGGGTGGAGAATGTCACAGCAGACTATCTCTCCAGGACAATCGTGGACGACAGCAGCGACTGGATGTTGAAGAGATCTGTCTTCCAATCTCTACATCACCAGCTGGGACCATTCACGAGGGACCTGTTCGCCGCATGGCACAACAGCCAGCTCCCTCTGTACGTCAGTTGGCATCCGGACCCGGAGGCGGAAGCAGTGGATGCATTGTCCGTTCTGCCCTATCTGTGGGAGAACTGTTACCTGCTCCCTCCGATTGCGTTAGTGGGCCGATGCCTGCAGTATGTTCTCCAACATCAAGTCCGCAACGCTGTCCTCGTAGCACCGGCATGGCCATCTCAGCCGTACTACCCTCTCTTGCTGGAGATGATTGTTCTGCCTCCAACTCAGCTTCCGGTCATGGAAGATCTCCTCCTGGATCCCCAATCATGCCACCACCCACTGTGGGATCGCCTCCAGCTAGCCGCCTGGACTATCTCCGGCAATCAGCAGCACAGCAAGGACTTTCGCCGCAAGCTGCCACGTTGTGGGTGGGGTCGTGGCGAACCAGCACCTCAGCGTCGTACCAGTCAGCATGGAAGCGATGGCTGGGCTGGTGTAGTAGCAGGCACACCGATCCCTTGGCGGTCGATGCGGTGAGCGTGGCGAACTTCTTGGCTCAGGAGTTCACCACGGGGAAAGAGTACCGGACCCTGAATGTATACCGATCAGCCTTGTCCTCAACACTACCGACGACTGGCGATGGCACCCCGCTTGGCCAGACATCGGCTGTGAAGCGGGTCATGCAAGGGGCCGCAAACCTGCGACCACCGAAGCCACGCTAGCCCCAGACTTGGCCTGTCAGCGCCGTTCTGACCCGACTCCGCACCCTGGGTGCCCCTGACTGTCTCCAGCTTTTGACCCTGAGCCAGAAGACAGTCATGCTGGTCGCGCTAGCTAAGGCACCTCGTGTGTCCGAAATGCAAGGTCTGGATACCGCGTTCATGAAACAGTGCCCGGATGGAGTGGAATTTATGCTCGCAAACCCATCCAAGACTCAACGTGCCGGTACTGCTCCATCCCGTTTCTTCCTCCCTAGTCACGCCGAGGATGGTCTCGTATGCCCTGTCAAGGCATTGATGGCGTACCTTGCCGCTACCATGCAGTATCGTACATCACTGGAACAGTCTCATTTGTTCTTGTCGACTCGCCCCCCGCATCAACCGGTTTCCTCCTCCACCATTGCCCGGTGGCTGACTACGCTTCTCACCGATAGTGGCATTGAGCACTTTCGGGCTCCGTGACTCCACCCGTGGTGCGTCCACCACTGCTGCTCGCCAACGTGGTGTGTCAATGGCGGATGTCTTGTCCACGGCTGGTTGGCAGTCCCAGGATACATTTATTTCCCATTATTATCGGCCGCAGTCGGCTTCTACCCGATTTGCGCAAGGTTTTCTACATGAGTGACTTGTACCGCTAGTGTCCGTATGGTTGCTTTGTGATAACGACATGCTTGGACTCATCCATTGATTACTTTTGGCTCTTATTTGCTATTGTGCTACAGTGCTGTTGCTGATATTAATACTACTGTCTATACTACAATGTGTCACTATGTTGACCATCACTTTGAACATCACACTGTCACATTCGAAGCCGGAGCCTCCGAAATACAATCGGGAATTCCGCAAGTACTCTATGGAGTATGCAGTGGAATTCAGGTTGTATAAGGAGGTGAAGGCAAGAATGTGACAGTGTGTTCCCGCCCTGGCATGTATCCCGTTGACCCTACACTGTCCATTCTTGCTGACGATGTAAGGGGCTTTCCAGTCTCGCCTCATAAAGGCCAAAGGAAGATGGCAGAGAGGGGACTTTTATGGCAACGAAGAGAAACGGAAAAAAATCACTTTGAAACGCTAGGAATTGACATGAAAATCGAGCGAGTTTAGGCCTAACACAATGTCACATTCTTGCCTTCACCTCCTTATACAATCTGAATTCCACTGCATACTCCATAGAGTACTTGCGGAATTCCCGATTCTTCGAGACCCGTTCTTGAAGTATCCCAGTTGTGTGGAGGGCAAGAGTCAGGCATAGAGGCTGCCATCCACGCCATGCGAACCGCCTACGACCAGAACGATGTGGAGGGAGTCCTGTTTGCAGACGCATTCAACGCGTTTAACTCGCTCAACAGACAGGTATGCCTCCAGAATATCCGTCATCTCTGTCCGGAAATCGCGCCGGCTCTCATCAACACGTATCGCTCACCGGCGGCTCTCTACGTGAATGGCGAGGCCATCATGTCAGTTGAAGGTACCACCCAGGGCGACCCATTGGCCATGGCAATGTACGCGTTGGGCACCATTCCGCTGATCCGAGTCGCTGCCAAGAGTGACGCCCTGCAAAGCTGGTATGCTGATGATGCCAACGCAGCAGGGAAGATCCCCCGCCTCCGAGCCTGGTGGGACATCATCGAGCGGAGAGGTCCAGAGTTTGGCTATCACCTTAACGCAGCCAAGTCGGTTCTTCTTGTTAAGCCCGAATGCGCTGAAGCTGCACGGGCAATCTTCGCCGACACCGATATCGTCATCAAGACGGACGGCAACCGACACCTTGGAGCCGCCCTTGGATCACCCGAGTATAGGGCCTCCTTTGCTTTGGCGAAGGTGAAGGCATGGCAAGAGGAGATCCGGGAGTTATCCACCGTGGCCTCCACTCAGCCACAAGCAGCTTACGCAGTGTACACCAACGTTCTCCGGCACAAGTGGTCATTCATCGCCCGCACAATGCCAGGAGTTGCCCCGCACCTCGAACAGCTGGAGTCCACCATCTCCGAGTCGTTTATTCCCGCTCTTCTTGGTCGTCCCCAGCCCGGAGAGACGGAACGCCAAGTTCTCGCGCTCCCAAGCCGCTACGGAGGCATGGGGATTGTCTCCCCAGTATCTCTTGTGAACCAGTTTCCTTCCTCACTTACGATCACCGAGAGCTTAGTTCAGCGCATTTTGAACCAGGATACACCGCCACAGGAGGAGGCGGACAACACCAGGGCAGCCAAAGCTAAAGCCAGGGCAGACGCCAGAAAGAAGGAGCAGCGTCATGCCAAGGAGGTGTACGATGGCGTGGATGGAGACCTGCAGAGGTCCATGGATCTTGCGGCCGAAAAGGGTGCGTCGAACTGGCTCACCTGTCGACCACTCAAGCAGCATGGGTTCTCGCTACACAAGGGCGCGTTTCGAGATGCTGTCTGCCTCCGCTACGGGTGGACCCCGCCCCATCTCCCCCAGAGCTGTGCCTGTGGAGCTGCCTTCACTGTCCCGCACGCCTTGTCTTGCCCAGTAGGTGGCTATCCGTCTCTGCGGCACAACGAGCTGCGGGACTTGACCGCTACCATGCTCACATCAGCAGCTCATGATATCAGCATTGAGCCACGCCTTCAGCCGTTATCTGGTGAGAATTTTCATCACCGGACGGCTATCCGTGAGGATGGTGCCAGGCTGGATGTTGCTGCCAGCGGGGTATGGGGTGGCCGGTTTGAGCGAGCTTTCTTTGATATTCGGGTGTTCAACCCTCATGCTCGTTCGAACTCGGTCCACTCCATCCCCGCCGCATACGCAAAGCATGAGCGTGAGAAGCGTCGGCATTATGAGGAGCGTGTTCGTGAGGTGGAGCATGCCACCTTCGTTCCCCTCGTATTCAGTGCCACCGGAGGCCAAGGCAAGGCGGCAACTGCCCTTTACAAGCGGCTCGGACTGATCATCAGCGACAAGAAGAATGAGCCTTACTCCATCACAATGGCATGGATCAGATGCAGGTTGGGGTTCGCCCTTCTTCGCTCGGCCATTATGGCCCTCCGAGGACACCGGTCCCGGAGCAGAGTTGCAGTAGCTCAACCATCATCGACCGAACTGGTGGCGGCTGAGTGCAATTTGCATTTCTGAACTGTGGCATGTGCGTAGCACTCAAACCGGTGAACATGTGCGCACTGCACTGACTGTCTTTAATGCTCCTCATTGTTTTTGTTTTTATTTATTTATTTTTTACCAGGCGTGGGCCATCCCCTGATGTCATAGGTACTAGGTGCCAACTGTATAAAAAAACTATATAGCAGATTGAAAAAAAAAAAGTACAAATGTTACGGGCTCCCCGGTAGTACATTGCCATTGGGTACTGCACTTGCGCCTGCGACCCAAGTCCCAAGTGGGCCAAGAGGTCGCGGGTTCGAGCCCCGCAGTCGCACATCTGACTGCAAAATCCCCACGACGCAGCTCACCAGATCAAGGTGTGCACATGTGGGTCCTCTGCACTCAGTAGTACCAAGAGTAGATAAACAGTTTATCTACTCTTGGTAGTACGAGTACTAGTAGAGTCAAGTCGAGCGAGCTGCAACTCCCGGTGCCGAAAGCTGCGGGCTACATGGCTACTTGAGTACTTCCCCTTGTCTAACCCCCAAGACGAAAATGATAGTAGCCGACTGGCATGGCCGAATTAAAAAAAAATGTTACGTTTGCACGCGATCAAGTCGCGCTTACCAAAGTTAGTTCTAGCGCTATAGCACGCTTTGCTCGCGTGCCAGCATGCAGCAGTAGGTACTTTTTAGGGTGCGCGCGCGCGCGCATATGGTCGAGACTCCGACCACAGATCGACCCACAAGTCTGCAAGGCCAAGAAAGGAAAGGACCCAACAAATACGGTAGACAGTAGAAGCTGCGTGGAACGGATACGGGATCGTACGATACTCGTCGAGGTTTTTTTGTACTGCGATCTCTGTCTGGCCAGCTGGCCTGACATGCACAGAGAGTCATGTACAGTTTATGTGTCTACTGGAGATCTACAATTTTTCAGTCTTCACTCAGCAGTCATCATCATCCTTTTCCTTTGACTGAAGGACGCCTATGCAGGGTTGTTGAGCTGAGGAGATTTCATTCTTCCTTACAAGAAAGCATTCTGGTTTCATGATTGTTTCCTTCGACGTTTGTGGTAAGCATACTGTGACGGCGCGGTAGACGTTCGCTTGGATGTCTTAGATATCCTCTGAGGCGAAAGGCATGGATGTCATCGGAAATTGGATTTGAACATAGAATACAGTACAGCCCTGCAGTTTATAATCAGAGCGACTCGGTCTCTTTCCGGATTGTGGTGGATACGCGGTCCCAGCAATGGCAGCCATCCTTGCTGGTGAGGTAACCAAAGACCTCGTCGTTCGCGACGAGTGCATGTGGTCAGACGACCTCACAACTTGGCAACCGAGATTCTTCGTGTTGCGCAAAAGTCAAGTGGGTGGATTCGAGATTGCCTACTTCAAGGATGGAACGATGTCTGTCCTGGCAGGCATGATATTGACATTGGATGTAAAGGAGGTGAAAATCAAGGAGTTTCCTGATCATCCACACGTGCTGACATTTGAGACACGGCGAGGTCGACTATTCGGATTCTCCTTCAGGGATAGAGAGCTGCTGCAGAAAGTTGGCACGTGTCTGCCTCTCCCCATTGTAGGCTTGAAGACAGGAATACTAGATGCCAAGGATAGATCAAAAATGGTTAGTGCTTATATCTTGCAATGCCCATTACTTTTTAGACAGTCCTAACATACTCATACGCTGGTAGTTCTGGTGGGGATCTGGTAGATAGTGCAGCTGGAAGTTGGTTATCCCAATGCAGATTTTTGAACATATTGATAACAAGCCAAGCTCCTTGTCGGCATTCATGCGTGATCCTATGCACTAGTACAGGTCGTCCCCCGTTAATATGAGTCCGGTTAGTACATAAACCCCGTTAGTACATAAGAAATCTCAAGTCCCGGACGAAACGTGATCACTTCCATACAAATTTTGTCGGTTCGTATATAATTCGTTAGTACATAAACCCTGTTAGTACATAACATCTCTCCGTACCCGCATGCCACCTACCTCAATAGTACATAATTTGTTGGTCTTTTGGCCTCCCAGTGGAGGCACATCGTGTTCTAGTTTCTACTTGTGGAGGCAATCAGCTCAGAAATCAGAGCGCACATGACAAACCGACAAAGCTCTGTTTTTTCCCGAGTGACTGTACTGGCACAGCTAGCGGCTGGGCATGTATCATGTAAACTGTAGAATCTTCGCTGACTGTGACTGTTAGAACATAATTTTTGTTATATCGAGGGAATCAAGAATATCTCCCTCCCTGGTCAAGGTAGCAAGAAACACTCAGAAAAGTGAAAAAGTGAAAAATTCTGGTACGCAAGCAAGTTATGTACACTTTCGTTTAGTACATAAACCCCGTTAATACATAACATTTGTCAAGTCCCAGAGATTATGTATTAACGAGGGATGACCTATACCTGGAAGCACAGCAATCAAAATGTCGCTACTTGTAGTGTCCGGGGTTCTGAGTCGGATGGTCTTGGTCCGAGGAAGCTGAGACGCTACTGCGGTCCTACATTCCCAATGAAACTCGTGCACTTCCCCCGAAACTGGGAGATTCCACCCTACTAGATAGGGATTTGAATGGAAAATGCCACTGGAATGTGCCACTTTGTCCTTGTGGAAGCACGGATGAACGTCACGTGAAACCCGCTGAGTCGAATCGTCTTGGTCCGAGGAGGCTGTGATATAGTGTTTGGCCTCTACCCCCAATCGAGTGTGGTTACATACGCAGTCCCATACTGATGCGTTCACCAGTCACGTGGTCACTGTGGCAGTGCATGGTACATGCTCTGTACATGGACCATAACCCCTGTCCCTGAATGGACCCTTCAGACTCAAAGATGTGTATGCAGTGCATGGTGAAGTCTTTGCGGACCATGAGTCCATTCAGGGGGTTGTGGACTCTTTATAGGATGCAGTGTCATTGCACTCGAGTCACAGGTACTGTGGGTTGTCGCCTGCACCGTGCACTACACTGGCACAGTGACCAGGTACTAGGTGACTGGTGTACGCATCAGTACGGGACAGCGTTCGATTGGGAATAAAAGTGATCCACGTAGAACCAGAAACTCGTAATTTATCCACTTAATACCAGGATTGTGACATAATTATGATGATGATTATGTCAAGCCCACATCTGAAGTGTCAATGCTGTGTACCACAGGCAATGTCCTGCTCTTTTCAACTAGCCATAGAGTGCACTAGCACTGTCACCTGCTCTTCATGACATGGACTTCTACTTTGTTTGTCTCTCTTGCTCCTCTTTCCTCCCCCCCCCCCCCCCACCTTATACATGTATATCTATCTCTTGCTTGTCCGGTTTCTTATGTTCTCCAGCTTGGCAGCGTCTTCAAGCAGACATTTTCACAAGATAGGCCACCTATGTTACAACGAGCAGCAGCAATTGATAGACCAACTGCTCCGCTGAAGCAATTCACTTTACCAGACAATGCAACAGCTCCACCGAAACCATCTTCGACAAAAGCACCTTCAGTAGAAAAAACACCTTCAACAAAACCATCTTCAGTAGAAAAACCAACAAAACCATCTTCAATAGAAAAAACATCTTCAACAAAATCGTCTTCAGTGGAAAAATCTGCAAGGCCGGCTTCCCTGGAAAGGGCACCAAAGCTACCGCCGTCTTCGCAAGACCTGCCTACACCAACACACCCATCTGGCCCTCTGGATAAATCTGTCAACCTGACCAATTCAGCTGGTGTTCCCAGACCTGCAATACCAACAAAAAAGAAAGAAACAAAGCCGCCAGCCCCAATCCCAAAGGATTACTCTTCCGACGGGAATGGCGTACCGGCACCAGGGGATGATGCGCCCCCTCCTCTTCCTGCAAGCCGAAGGCAATCTGAGCAGCTTGAGCCTGTCAGTGAACCCCCTCCGCTGCCACCATCAAATCGAAGGCAATCTGAAAAGGGCGAAAGTGACGTGGCTCCTCCTCTACCTCTTACTAGGACACAGGGCCGCAGAAGATCTCACATGGACCCGAGCCTTCCTCAGCCCTTGAGTCGACAGCAGTCATTGAAGAAGAGAACCGTGAAACCTCTAGAGACCAAGACCGCATCAATGCCAGTTATTCCGCTGAGTGAAATAAGTGCCGTGGATGCAGCATTTACAGAAGCCTCACCTAAACCTGCAGCCCGTACTCTTTTCCACGTGGATGATATCACACTGGAGCTGTCTGAATCTGAAGAGACCCTAACGATCATCGGAGAAAACAATGAACGCTTCCAGGAGGAGGTTTTGCCCTTTCTCGACGCAACCAGTATCAAGCTGGGAATCTTTGCAACCAAGGTAAGAATTGGGTGCACACAACAAAGTGATATTGTCAGGTGCCATGTTTGCCGTGATATTGAATACTTTAAGATCCTATCTGTATGTTCTTCTACAGTTGGCACCTGTATTGTATCAAAGGTGCTTCTTGTGCTATGGTCACAGGGCTGTTGGGGCGCAAACAAATATGTACAATAGAACAACAAACAAATGGGTCATGAGCAACAGAGAACGGTGATGGCAAACTCATTCCATTTCAGAATAGTACATTTTCAGTCCAAATGTACTTGGATTGCCCCATCGTCTAGCATGGTCATTTGCCTGCCTTCAGTGGTCTACGTTTTAGGGGGGGGGGGGGGGGCATTTTGCCTCCCCGAACATGGTAAGTGCTACTGCTAAATGCCATGCTATTGTACTAACGCTAAAGGGCATACATGTATATCTTTGAATTAGAGTGACGCTTTGCCTGTACATTGAAATAAACATATCATGTTGAGTTCCACCGCGATCGATCCGATAAGTAAATGGCCAGGTTGAACCTGCATTTGGAGGATCTTATTTCCTTGTTGATGACTACATGTACCATTGTAGTGCAATTCATCTCCACTGGACGTATGCACAATGGACGTAAAAAGAAGAAGAAGAAGAAGAAAAAGATCTGCTCTACTGTTTACATGCACACGTTGTGCTAAGTGTGCAGTGCCATGAAGTCGTGGCCTCTAGGGAGACGGCACGAGATCATAGTACCGGAAACAATGTGCGTTCTGACCCCGAATTTGGGACGGCACGAGATCATAGCACCGGAAACAATGTGCGTTCTGACCCCGAATTTGGGACTGCATGAGATCATAGTACCGGAAACAATGTGCGTTCTGACCCCGAATTTGGGACTGCACGAGATCATAGTACCGGAAACAATGTTGCGTTCTGACCCCGAATTTGGGACGGCACGAGATCATAGTACCGGAAACAATGTGCGTTCTGACCCCGAATTTGGGACGGCACGAGATCATAGCACCGGAAACAATGTGCGTTCTGACCCTGAATTTGGGACGGCACGAGATCATTGTACCGTAAACAATATGCGTTCTGACCCCGAATTTGGGACGGCACGAGATCATTGTACCGGAAACAATGTGCGTTTTGACCCCGAATTTGGGACGGCACGAGATTCTAGTACCGTAAACAATGTGCGTTCTGACCCCGAATTTGGGACGGCACGAGATCATAGCACTGGAAACAATGTGCGTTCTGACCCCGAATTTGGGACTTGTATGTAGTCTGTGGTCGATGCGCACTTGCGATCGCGGAATTGACCTGCTTACCCCAAGCTTGGCCTGGACAGACGGTGACATATTATGCTAGTCTGTATACGTTGGCCAGGGGTACTGGAACGAACAGCCCGCGAATGAAATCCACATCGTTCAGCGTTACAGTTCTCCTAGGTGCTACGACTCACTGGTGGGTATATATGCTGTGTTATGCAATTTCTTTCAATAACAATTATGGGAAACGTGTACAATCAGAACCTTATGGGAAAGGTGTTTGCACGTGCATACAGTGCTGCTCAATGAAATCCGATCACATGAGTCAAGTTTGCGCCCTGCACCACTTCACAGCCCAGTGTTCCCAGGGCTATGGCTGCACCGGCCCCGCGCGTACTTGACTCACACGAATGGATTTGATTGGGCAGCACTGTAGTTTGATGCACCATAGACTTTGCGTGCAACTTTGGCCATCGGCCCAAAAAAACAACAACATTGGAAATGATCGGGTATGGATTTTACTTCATCTCTCATTCACCTTCCTCATCCTTGTTCCCCAACTGTGTTTTGTCTTCTGCATGTAGGTCAAGTTCTCCCAGCTTGCGGAGATCTTTATACAGCGCAACTGGGACCTCACTACTTGCAATATATTCAAGGAGAATGCCGTGCGGTGTTCTTTCACAACGCGGTGGGGTGACAAGATCTTGCAGAGGATTAAGTACCTGGATGACACAAATGCTAAACGGGAACTTATGGAATGCCTGCAAATTTTAAAACTGTCGCTGGACTTAAATTCCATGGCGTAGTAAGTGCTCGAAATCACTCTGGCTGCTGGCTTTCAGTATTTTTTTGGCTGGTACGATATGCTTCCGCCGGTGCTGTCTTGTTTTAGAATTCGCATTTTCGTATCATCGATTCGATTGTACTTTATATGGCGTTCGCCATTCTTTGGTGAGTTTATGTTTGGTAGTACTTTATATGCACTCCTCTTTTCTGCATCGTGCTATCACCATGATCACCGCCCTCCTCCAGAGCTTCATAGGGTAGGGTGTACTTGCTGTTTTAGGTCACCAATGGCCATGCGCTTCTTCTTCTTTTTCTCTTTTTTTTCGCTTGAGAATCTGCATTGCAGTCTGCAAGACTGTTCCGGTATGTATTATTATTGGTCATGTCCAACGTTCCTCCTAACCGTTTTAATTCTGAAAGCTTGGTATCATGGTATCATTCCGCTATTCTAATTGAAATTGCGATCCATGGCATACCCATCATCTCATCATTACTTTACTACTGTATGTTTTTCATATATTTTTTGGAAAGATGATTGTATAGCAGGAAAGTGTGCAATGATGCAGGGTCGCATGCTCTCCAGGGCATTGGCGTTGGTTGCTGACGCCTGGATACAAAATGTGCATGTACTTATCAGGCTGCTGCACAAGAGCATTGTGACTCTGTATACTTGCATCGCACATCCTAGGTTGATGTGACTTCACGGCGTAGTGCGAGCGTGTAATTTCAGGATACATGTACATTGGTACATGGAGCGATTCAAGTAAAAGCACCGGCAGAGATGTTTGAATATGACTGACTGTGCACAATTTGCAGTGTGCTAGAGGCAGTGGCTATCCGGCTAGTGCAGCTCCTAGCTGACCAGTTCGCTAGCTGCTAATGTGAGCACCACTGGTGTAGCGGTTAGCATTCCAGATTCCCAATCTAGAGAGCCGGGTTCGACTCCCGGGTGGTGCAATTCTTTTTTCATGTTCGTTTGGAGCATGCAGGCACAAGCCTGACAAACATCTTTTTTTCAAACCAGCATTGATTAGAATGATGAAGCAAACAATTTTTTTAAAAGCATTGGCTCCTACATCCCAACGCTATTATTATTATTACAGTGTATTATTATTATGTACTCGCAAGAGCATCTATAAATGTACCCGGTTAAAACAGCTCCTTTTTGAAAATGTTTTCAATGAGTGATGTGTCGCTTTGTTTTGCTCTAATTGGTGCTTTTCTCCAATGTCATGCAGTCGTATTTATTCAGCTTTTATTTCTTGTGTACTTGCATACTGGTATTAGTTTAGTCCCACAACCTGCGATAAAATGATCAGCTGTAGCACCTACTCCACTTTTATGTTTATGTATCTATCGGATCTTCCCAAGTTGTACAATGTACTGTTGAGATACCGAATTCAAATAAATCAATACCATACCATACAATACCATACCATACCATACCATACCATCTCAAGTCCTTCAAAAACCAGGAGGATGGTGCATGCATGCAAGGTCCACCCTTGATGTATTTTTTTTAGTTATGCATGACTAAAAACCTCTTCTACGCATGACTATACACATGTAATTATTAATACCGGTAATAAGTTAGTTTTAGAACGAGGTCTGTATCGTTGTCCAGGAGACGACCAATCAGTGACGTTTCCGCCAAGGGCCGTATCAGAGTTAAAGCCCGCTCAATCGTAATTTTACTACTCAGCCCGCTGAATGTGGTGCGCACAACTTCCGGCACGCATTATAGTACGGTGTAGTACGGTGCAGATAATGATCTGAACTCTGCATAACGTATACGGTGTACTACTAAAATATACGCCTTTCAGAAGTGTGTACGGTGTTTCCTCCTACACGCTTTTATCTGTACGAGTTTCCTTTGTCAACAGCTGGCGGAACCCTATAAAAACAGGAAGATCAAATTCAATAGGTATCGAAAAGGTGCTCTCGAAGCACTAATACATGTACAGTACTGTACTGATGTAGCTCCAAGCTAGGATTAAGAATGAAGCTCGCAATAAGAGCCCAGCATTTTGCAATTTGCAAGTTCTATCATGTCTCCTTTTAGTAGTCCTCAGTGGTGCTGAGTTACCAGAAAACTTTGAAAATTCTCGTGATCATACCACACCAATTCTCTCTACACACACAAACCACAGAACTACCCAATATAAGGGTACAGAAGCATAATCCAAGTGAGATGATACATGTAACCTCGTTCCAAAATAGTTAGTGCATGGCAGGGAGGGCCTTATGGCTTGCTATGGCCCTCTCACCCTCAGGCTAACCTGTCGGGCGCTAACAAGTCTCCATAAGGCCCTCCCTGCCATGCACTAACCTATACAGTCAACTTACTTCGCTGATAACGACTGCGGATATAACGACTGCGGATATAACGACACTTCGCGAATAACGACAGAATGTCCATGCCCAGAGCAAAGTCCCATTTAACTGTAATACTGTCCATACAATGAGACTTCGGGTATAAGGACAAGGACACTTCGCGAATAGCTTATTATGGACACTTTTCTGATGCCCCGCCGAGTGTCGTTATACGCAAAGTAGACTGTAGGCATGATGAGGCTGGTACACCGGTAAATTACACAGGATTGTATGTGTGTATGTACAAAGCCACTTATAATAAGCCCATTGCGCATTGCCAAATATGGAAGGTAATGCATGTGAGTATGCTGGGCCATGGGATCAGGGATGCACTGTTCGACACCCCACACGACCATGGTCCATGCCTGCAATACTGACCAATCCCGAATAGATTGTCTGGGCTAGCCCATGGCGGATTATGCTCGGTAAATTGCTGAATTATGCTTTCCATTATGCTCAAATTATGCCAGTGATTACCAGTATGCTACTTTATGCTGGAATTATGCCAATGATCGGGTGCTATACGGTTGCAGTCCAATCTAATGGTACATGGTATGGGGAACTCAGTACAAACAGCCCTTGGCGGATTATGCTCGGTAAATTGCTGAATTATGCTTTCCATTATGCCAGTGATTATGCTACATCACGCTGGAATTATGCCAATGATGGTGCTATACTGTACATTGCACTCTTGTCGCACTTTGCAACGTTACAACGACTCTGGCACCTTCACTGCACGGCTTATAAGGGGTAACATTCACTAGGCTATTTCCTGTAACATACCCAAATATGCCTGGAGAATTAAAATCTTCAGCCAGCATCGTAAGGTTATGCCGACCGTCTGGTCTCAAAAGTCCTTTTATGCTAGGGCATAATTTTTAGACAAAATCCTAAGATTATGCCAGAAATTATGCCAGCATAATCCGTCAAGGGCTAGTCTGGGCTATATCACCTTGCTGAGTGTACTGCACTCCAATAAAAAAATAAAGAAGTATTGAATAGGGCTTGAAAGTGCTACGTCACAGCATAGCAACAATTTCAAAAATTCAAAAACTGGATCCACATGGCTCCAGTTTTTGTAGGGATCCAAGCACATTTCTCAAGTACAATTTTTCGGCCCATTCAAATTTCGGCCTCCCAGGGCTAAAACCCATTTCGACCACATCAAATGCTCACCTGTACTGCTGCCGTCTGTATACACTGTCACACTGAACCTTGCAAAACAAAAATTCGGGCGCAACAAATTTTCGGCCAAACATGACCAGGCCGAAAATAAATACGCGCCGAATATTTCTTGCCTTACAGTATACCAGTTTGTTGTACACACTCATGAGTGCGCACGACTTCGTAGCACATTTTCACCATCGTGTACTATTTTCTTGCACATTCCCATGGATAACGCGGGTTTTATGCAAACTTTCTCAAAAATGCGGATGAAAGCTAGTTACGCGGAAAATTGTGCGTCTGCAGAATTGGGTTATCCCGTGGGGACAGGCCAGTAAGAGTAGGCAACTGTGATCTCTTTTCTTTGGGCCACATGGGCGACTTGCTGCCTTCATTGCACCATGCAGCTACATTAAATTTCGTGAACTGTGGAAAAGTCACATATCACACTTTCCCTGTGGTTTGAAGTAAACCTTACTGAAGTTCACGGACCCAACGTTCAGAGATCACTTTGGTACTTCAAGGAATCAAGCAAAAACGGTTGAATGGAACGAGAGACTGTGGGTCTGAGTGCACGGGTACAGGGTGTGATGTAGACAAGTTATGTAGTAAAGGCAGCGCACCACGCATTGGCCCATAATCACAGTCGCATACTCTTGGTTACAAACTCTTGACGGCGTGGTACAAGCGCTGAGATAATGTTGCTGAAGTGAAAAGATAGACATCACTAAGCATTTGATAAACTTGACACAGAGTGCACTATTTTTCAAAAGGTTGACATCAAAGTGGTCACTGTACATGATGGCAGGCGTTGATTCGTTAAAAAAGAGAGTGAAGGAGTGGAGTAGTAGTGGCAGTAGTAGGAGTAGAAAAGACCCCAGCTCAATAAAACACAACTCACTAAATTCAGTAAAAACTATGGTAGTACACAGCGGACTGGCTAGTAACTGGGCAATTTTCTTCTTTTCAAGCAAAATCAAACCAGAAGAACAAGGCTGGCGCTGCCCTAGATCTGTGCACAATGCCAAGCAAGGCTAAAAAAGACAGTTATAAATACCTGACTGTTTGCTAGTGCAGAGGCTGCTATATGCCGTCGCTCCGCAGCACAACCAAATCTGAGAAGAACTTCCCATCGTTGTCACCTCCTCCACACACCAGGAGCTTGGATGTTCCGTCTTCTGCCTCCGGTGTCGACGTCATTGTGTGACCAACCCTCGCTGGCAGTGCGAGAAGGGGCGATTCAGACTTTACTGCACTCCACTGCATGCTTGCTGTGATATTTGCAGGAACAAAATCAAGGCAAGGAGATGAACACATCACTAAGATACTAGTAAAAGACAGGTGCAACACTGCAAAGTTGATGATTGGTTATGTGAAGTACCGTATTTTCCGGGGTATAAGCCGCACCGGGGTATAAGCCGCACCCCCCCTTTTTGAAGCAAAATATTGACTAAAAGTTGGTATTCGGAGTATAAGCCGCACCCACAAACCAAAATATTTCACACTCATTGACAAATGGCCTTTCTACAAATTTATTATGGTTATGGAGCTAAATACCATGTTAGATCAGAAATAATGATTATGAAGTGTTAGTGCACCACAGGTTACTGCAGAGGTGTTGGTGTATTGCTGTGTTGACTACAGATCACTCCATGTCATCTGCACTATCTTCAGTCTGGATGCCACTGATGCAGTAAAAGTGCCGGGATAGCAACACAGGCGCGAAGCTGAGTCGAATGACATGTCACATGACGTCAGCATGCATACTGATGTATGCTAGTATTCATTCGCGCAAGCATATTCGGTGTATAAGCCGCAGGGGCGATTTTGGTCCGATTTTTAGCGAAAAAAAGTGCGGCTTATACCCCGGAAAATACGGTAACAGCTACGTGAAGCACTATCAATCCATTGAAATTGAATTCCAAACATTATGAAGGATTTGGGTGTAGTGGAGTACGCATACCCTGACAATGATCTCATTTCATGGTATCGATTGTGAAAAAAGCTACATAAGCAAAATCAAATCAGACCCATGACGAAGTCTTTGTCGTTTGCCACTCTACTGGGATAGACAACCCTTGAAAAAGAGAAAGAAATGGTTCGCAGAGTTAAGAGTTAACTTAAGACCATTGTAAGCATTTGTCGGCATGTTTGTGCCCCCCCCCCCCCCCTAAAATTCTAGTCACATCAACTGAACACAATAGGGGAGCCAACAAGGTGGGAGACCAGAGCCAGCACGACTGATTGCACTTGCACACAGCAAGCAGCATGTCCGTGTCACTCACCTGTGTCGAGAATGAACGCATCGCTCAGCGCTATGTCGCCACTGTAACCGCCGTAGACCAGAAGGCGATGGTCAGGCAACACCACCGTTGTATGCCATGTGCGTGCACAAGGACCTAACCCAGCTGGTGATGCCGTCTTGAAATCCATCAGTTCTGCACACCAGTAGCACAGGCAGAAAGAACGAGAAAATTAGCATGATTTATTTATTTAATTTATGACAACATCTCTAAGCGCAGTGGGAACACTGTGCCAATGTGAAGAGAGTGGGTGTTAGCCAACCATGACCACCTGCACATGTACGCCTCTATAGGTCGTAACACTAGGGAATCTGGTTCCAGCTTGATCTGGGAAAAAGATGTGGCAGGCAGTGTCCAACTGCCAAGCGACAGTTATGGCCCTGATCCCCAAAGATAATTTGGGAAAGGAGCGCTTGGCATAATGATTTCCAATGTCCTTCCAATGCTGGAAACATTCTCTGGATATGAGTAAGCATGGAGCACACAAACCTTTTCTTTGGGTACAGCACCAAACAAGCGTTTTATCCTGACATCGCTAAACTGCCCCAGAAAGCAACCAGACGAAGCTGACAAGTCCATGCAAAACGTGCTGGTACGACATGACAACTTCAAAATAATCATATATACACCTATAGTGAATAAGACCCCGACTATAGCCCCAGTCTCCTGATGATTGCTTTTCAGCATGAAACTCGTGAGTAGAGACATTTTTAAATCACCTTTTTGTTCCACCGGATTTTCGTGTGTCAAAATAATCATACAAAGGTCCTTGCTACACCATCACATACAATCCTTGTTACTCTTGAGAGTACAGTAAAACCTGGTGTAAGCCACCTCTGTCTTTAGCGACCACCTGCTCTGTACGACCGGTTTTCCATGAACGGACAGTTCTATACAGAAACTGCACCGGATACAGTGACCACCTGCCTTGCGCGACCAGTGGCCGACTTTTTGTGTACCAAGTGCCATATTGGACCTGCACACAGCGACCAAAACTAACCAAAAGTGCCATCTTGGCTCGCAGAGTTGACTGCAACAGGGTTGAAGTGTGCTCTGAAGCAAGTGGATGCAGTCAACTGAAGTGACAAGTGACAGTGCAGAATGCGCTGCATGCACTCCAGTGAGGTGTGCTTTGCCTGCACGAGAGTATTCTACGCTCCACACCTGTCAATATGAGTACATGGAAGTGCAATCATGCACATGTATGCATAATCCGATATACCACGGATGTGTGGGGCCTGGTTCTAAAGACCACCTGGCTTTAACGACCGCTTTTGCTTGCAAGGTGGGGTGGTCGCTTAAACCAGGTTTTACTGTACAAGACTTAGTATATCTGAGAGCGAAGTTCGAGGTTGGAAAATCAGTGAAAACCATTCGTCTGCAAAATAGAGATCTGATCTCTTCTGACATTAGAGAGGTTAACATGCACGTTATTTTTGACGTGACGCGAATGTTCAGCTCGCGTTATTTGGCTCGCGCGTTGGAAAACAACGCAAGTGACCTGCAGAAATGTGGAGTTGTACGCCAAACTATTCGTCTGCAAAATAGAGATCTGATCTCTTCTGACATTAGAGAGGTTAACATGCACGTTATTTTTGACGTGACGCGAAAGTTCAGCTCGCGTTATTTGGCTCGCGCGTTGGAAAACAACGCAAGTGACCTGCAGAAATGTGGAGTTGTACGCCAAACTTGACGTGAAATTGCGCGTCACGTCAGAAATAACGTGCAGCTTAACCTCTCTGATAAAAACCTGTTATTCTGTTGTGGCATACACGCTTACCGAGGTCAAGAACGAATAAGTCATCAAAGAAACTCGGATAGTCCCAGCCTCCCAGGATATACAGATGATGACCAAGGCGAGCTGCAGAGTGCCTATGTACAGAAGAAACACACGTGCACATGCGCACGCACACACACACATATGCACCATGCATGGAAATATCAACACAATGCACCATGCATGGAAGTTTCAACATGTCTTGTCCTCACAGTTCAGGTGCTTTAGCAAGAAAGCAGCATGATATTACCTTGTACTGTTTGCCTGAAGTCTCAAGTAACTGTTTCACCCAAAAGTTGGGCCAAAACAGTTTCCACTGATCACAGACCACTGGTCATTGCACAATCATCATGTTATTTTTCCCCATACCAGAAGCTTTGCACCCCCACCCCCAACCTCCTCAAACCCACAGAGCAAGTGGTTGGGAGGGTTTCACAGGGAAGTGCAGCTTGGTGACATGAGGGCAATACAAAGATAATTGCTGACCAACCACGGTCCTAAACTTCATGGCGAGAATTTAACTTAAAACATACCCGGAACGAGGGCAAGGTAAATCACCAGTCACCACAGGCTTGTACCAGTTCTGCTCACCTGTACAAGGAACACGACACCACCACCACCACCACCACCACCACCAACAATAACAAGAAAAAGCATGCTGGAATGTAGTAGCCAAGCCACCTGCCCGTACTCATGTTTTCACAAATGAATTGTTTCTAAAAGGGACTCAGCCGTGCTTTTGTTACGAAGAGTGCATGATGTTGGAAATTACATCCCAGCATAGCGGACCAGCCACAACAGGCTGAAGGGAAGTATTACTATTGCACGCATGGAGTCGAAGCCTGAATCAACGTGTTGAGCGGGGGCTCCAGTTCCCCAAGGACCGGGTACACAACACCCATGACCAGGCATACACTGTGTCGCTCCATGTGAACTTGACAGTGAGCTAAGCAAGCACCACGACATGAGAGTACAGCACCACAACGTGATGCAGATACAGCTGCTGGCCAAAGCAAGTACATAACACTGCACAGTAGTACAACACTCACTCAGGCTGAAAATGAACAAGTCGTTGGAGCTGCCATCTGGTTCGGGATCAGGTTCCGGGAAAATGCCACCAAAAACGAGGCCCTCCTGCCGAAAGAACGAGCATGTGTGGTACGCACGCTGCGGCGCGACGCCCTTCATCTGTTAGCAGAAAGAGAGCAGCAAACCACCCATATTTACCAAGATGAGCCAGAACAGAATCCAACACCCAGAGGCACAAGGTAACCGTTACATGTAAACATACGCGAAACGAAGAGGAAGTGGGAATGCACGCAGACACTACTAGTATTGAATGTAAGCCGCACATTGCCTAATTCTCGATTCCCCAACCCCATGCCGTGCGATTCACCAGCCACGGGTACTTTGCACAAACCCAGTATTAAACACAGATTCCTTTAATCAGAGGTAACCGCGCTGCAATTTCAGGTCCGTGCGGAAAGAAAGTGTGAAAAAGAAACCGTGCCGAGCACTGCAGTAAGAAGTACTGCAGTGAGAATAAAACGCGCTGGGTAAGAAGAAAGCGTGCCGAGTAAGAAAAAAAGCATGCAATACTGGTAGACAGCACCTGCCAAGGAACTGACCTCTAACTTCTGCCATTGCCAAGTAGTCAGGTCCAATGCCTGCACATCACTGAACCACTTCTTGCCCTTGGAGCCACCGTACATGTAGAGCATTTTGTTGTCTGGATCCAGTACAGCCGAGTGACCCGTGCGCCGTTCCGGACATGATGTGTCTTCGCAGACCACCTCTGAGTAGCTGGCATTGCCTGGCGGACACATGGAGTTTCAAAGCATGAAGCAGGTCAGGGGACCAAACAATCAATTTCCCAACCAGAAAACTAGCATAGAGTACACACAAACATGATACACACACCATCAAATATTCATCTTTAATAGATTGCCCTGAAGATGTTTTACAACTGATATGACTTCAGACTGTCGAGTATGCTATAGCCAACTTACTGCTTTCCCCTACTGTAACGCGCAGTAATGAGTCCTTGGCCATACGCTTGTACGTGCCCTCTCCACCCAGCACCAACACACTGCTGTCGTCAAGTAGACACGCGGCATGACCCCAGCGGCCCGTCATGACTAGGCGGAAACATGAACAACAAGAAAGACACAATTTGATTATGACCACTACATGCGATCAGAAACATAACGAAATACCCATTCCCAGAAACATAACATGTAAACATTTCAATCCAAACATCAGGAATATTCGCTTGAATTGCCAGGGTCACAATACTGTACAAAAGCTCCATCTCGAGAGTTTAGACGTTTCTCAAATAGAGGGTTAGAATTTAGAACGTACAGGCAGTAGGAAATGGGAAGAACTCCTACCTGTCGGCTTGTCAGACTCAGCTCTACTTGGCGACAAATCATTGCCAAGCTTTCTTGGTCGCTTGGCATTCGAGCGTCGGGCACCTTTGCTACGCTTTCGCCCACGTCCACTAGAAGTTGCCGTGACAGGCGTTGTACTTGCACTCTCAGTCCAATCGTCCGGGATCGGGGTCGTTAGTAAGCTGTTCGTTTTGCTGCTAGTGGACTGCGTCTGATCACCATTCTCATCTACATGTGCACTTTTCTCGACAGGTGTTATAGGCGCTGGTTCATCGGCCCCGTTGAATGCTGACTCTACTGTTAGGCTGGTTCGCCTGACGGGAGTTGCATCAAGCTTGTCTGTGCTAGAGAGGGGCTGTAGAAGCGTGCACACGCTGGCAGAGGTGTCAGGTGAACCATTCTTGCTCACAGGGGCAGAGCTAGCCTCCTCAACAGCAGCAGCACTCGGTCCAGGCGGCAAGAGATCATTACTATCAGTGCAACTGGGTAGCGCAGTTGCAGCTGCTTCACCAGTCAGTGATTCCAGGTCGAGAGGACTGGATTTCGGCCAGGGCAACTCGCTATCATCACTGTCGTAGTCATCGAACACAGGTGGCAGAATGGATGAGCCAGGTGTTTCCACTGCAGGTGCAGGCAATGCTATCTGTGCACTAAGCGTGCTAGACACAGGTGGGGAAGGTGGCATAGCACGGACGGACGGCGTCAGCACTATAGATGGTGAGCGCTCAGTGCCGTAGCCAGCATCTTGACTTCCCGTGGATCGGGACGCCATGTCAGCCATGCAAGTATCCGCAATGCCAGTGCCTGTGTCATCAGTACTCTGCTGTAATGCACCGAGGGGACTTGCAGTGCAAGCACCCGTGCCATCATTACTCGGCTGTAATGTGCCGAGCGGACTTGCACTCTGTGCATCGTCGCATGCTGATATCCTAGGTGAATTGGAAGTAGAAGTAGCAACACAGTCCCTACTCTTGTCACCATCGCCACTCTTGTCACCATCGGCACTCTTGTCACCATCGGCACTCTTGTCACCATCGGCACTCTTGTCGCTATGGTTGCTAGGTGACAGAGAGCTCTTATCCTGACCGGGTAGCTCTGAAGCATGATGGTTCGATCCCTCACCATCACTAGGCCTGGCTGGGCTGCAGTTGGAAGGAGTGTCACTGCTTCCACTCGCCCTTCTTACAATGGCAGCACTTGGTGACGTTTCAGCACTGCACCTCAAACTATCCAAAGCCTGACGTTGTGGTGAGGCAGCAGGCGATGCATGGCGACTACTCAAGGCAGCAGTAGATGGAGAAGCGGAACCACTACTGGCAACACTAGCGCTGTTGGCATCTTTGCGGGGTACAAACAGGTGATTCAGGTCCGCCGCAGCACTATGGGATACAGTGCAGGGGGAAGAGGGGCTGTTCCTATTGTCAACGTTCCCCGTAGCGCTATGCAAATCATAACCGTCAGCGCCAGTAGCACACACACCATCAGGTGAAACAACAGATGCTGTCAGCCGCAAATCAGTGACATCATCAGGCGATGGTCCACAGCTTGAGTGGAGAACTAAGTTATCTGCAGACAGCGTGCCAACATGGTGTGACGTGCTCCCGCAGACTAAAGACAGAGAAATGCCCTCCTCAGGGACAGATCCACCCGCAACAAACAGTAGAAGGTGGTCCGGCCAGCAAGAAAGCTGAGCACTTGTTGGACTTTGCCTAAAGAAGACAGGAAGACAGAAAGCACATACACATACATGTTAATACTAGAGGGAAGTGACCATCAGCATGCAGCAAGCAGGCACAGAGTTAAACCATCAATACTAGTTGGTGAAGATCAAGCTGGATAGTGCGATACCACGGTCAGCGCAGCAGACGGGTTTTGGTGGCGCTGGCCCACACAAGACACACTACCTTGGTGACATACAGTGGCTGAACCTGTCATAACGCGTATCAACATTCAACCCACAGTTAGATACAAAATCAAAAGGTAGTGTAAGGGTCAGAGCCCACCAGGTACAAGAACGGTAGCCCATCATGCACCAAGAGTACATAACTTTCCAGAGTGTGCAACCCCGCAAAAATCGTCACCACTCATTTCCAGAGCGATGCCATTTTTCGCTATCCACTTGACTGCACAGAAAATCAAATTGCGTGCAGTCGACCTCGAATCTCGAATGTCTGCACAAAGCTGGCTACATCATGCAGAATGATGTGATTCTTAAAACGAGACAGGACAACTACCCACCGGTAGTTGCATACTCTTGGAGGCACCGGTGGTGTGTCACTCCCGATCAGCCCCAATGCCAAATGAGATCACATGCATATTGTTTGAGCAGAGCTGCGGAGAACAATCTACTACAAAGTGGTACAAAATGGGTCTAATGCTTCAGCAGAATTGCCAATGGGAACTTCATGTTTCTTTACTAGGTCATCGGACGGTGTCCATTTTATCACTGATCGGGATGCATACCATTGCTGCTGCAATCAACACATGCAGTAGACGCACTAGAACATACACACACTTCCTAAAATCGATCAGAGGGATCAGTACCGGCTCAGTTGTAATCAGTGAGTAAGCAAATAGTGCCATTTTGACATACATATTCCAATTCCTAGGGTACCCTGTAAAAAGACTCACAGTCTGTGGGGATTGCCCTAGTAAAATAATAAATACTACTACTACTACTACTAATTCACTATAACACAAAACTCGTCATTCCCCAGAGATTACGTTATAGTGAGGTTGAAGAGGAACTGTAACCGACTTGTTATAGTAACAATAGTCCTGCCAATACTTATTATAGTCTTTCTGCTAGTACTTCTATTCTGATGAGTGGTGTTAGTATTCTTGTTGTCTGGCTCTCCCAGAAGTGTTGTTGCCTTATGCTGTCATTCCAGACATAGATGAGTCATGACCCGTTCATGCTGTGCACGTAATTCACTCTATCCTTTAGGTGTCTTGTTTCACCATGGACTGCTGTGTCCATTGTTCACCTGCCACGCTGCATGGCTTCTGTATCCCTACCTGGCTGTCTTTGCTTTCATCCTCGCTCCCGCTGCTTGCTGACGATCTCCGAGTCACGCGAGGAGTTCCCTGTTAGTTTTTCCGGTCTTATCTCTGAGATAGGGGAGTCAGTCTACTGCCTGCTTGGAAGTGTTCAGATCATACATTCTATCTCTCTTTTTACAAACCTTTTCTAACCGAGAACTGGTGTTGTGGTTGATTGCGCATGCCAGAGCGTGAGGACTAGTTCGCTGCATAGTCTAGTAGTAGTTCCACTACAGCGTGGTGCCGAAACCCGGGACTGGGGGGCTGTGGCTGCACTGGTGCCTGTGTGCGGTCGGTAGTCGGTACTACTAGTGAGCGTATTCGCAGTCCGTGATGTCGCTGAAGGCAGATAACTATCTGCGCGCATTCCGTGGAAGAGGTGAAGATTTCGGTACGTGGTGGCTGAAGTTTCTGGCACTGGCCGATATCTCTGGATGGGATGATGACGCCAAGAAGACGAAGTATATCCCATTGTTTCTCGATGGAGATGCGTTCCTGGTCTTTTCGAGGATGGCGGATGCGGACAAAAAGAAAGTAGATGAAGTAAAGGCCAAGCTATCGTCCGCCTTTGCAGTTACGCCTTCGCAGGCGTATGGCAAGTTCGTAAACAGGAAGCTCAAGGTCGACGAGTCCGTAGATGCGTACGTTGCAGACCTCCAGCGGCTGCTCGCGCTGTCTGGCCACGCAGCCGGTAGCGACACTGACTCAGTGGTGATCGAGCAGTTCATCGCTGGCCTGGGTGCAGAGTTCGCTCGCTCCGTGCGGATGTCCATGGCTGGCAAGACGCTGAAAATCAGCGAGTGCGTTGAGCAGGTACGCGCACTGCGAACGGCTGCAGAAGCGTGTGGTGCTGTTTCCGAGGACGTTTCTGCCGCTGCTGGCCCAAGTGATCGCCCTGCCAGATCAAGTGCGACTGATCGCGGGACCGTGACCTGCTACTACTGCCACGAGGCTGGCCACATTCGTCGCAACTGCCCCAAGCGCAGCTCGAAGTCAGCCAAGACGCCCTTGAACTCTTACAAGGGGAATCAGGTGACATGCTACTTTTGTGACAAGCCTGGTCACACGAAACCCGATTGTCCTGACAGGAAAGCGTGGCTGGACTCGAAGAAGCGTCCTGCTGCTGGCGTTACGGAGCAGCAACCCCGACTTCCCAAAGGCGAGTGGGACCCCAGCGATCCCTGTCTGTGCACGGTGACAGCGCAGCGCGGCGGCCTACCGCGGGTCTTCGTGGAGGCACGCAAGAACAGTGTGAGTCATCATTCTGACGAGTGGCACCGTCTGCGATCAGTATTGGACACCGGTTCAACGCGTACGCTGATCGATAAGAAAACTGCAGAGCGAATAGGAAACTTCGATTCTGACAGTGCGTACTCTGAGAATCTGATTGCACTGGATGGGAAGTCGCTTGACGTATGCGGCACAGTGCAACTTCAACTGCGCAGACTGGATGGCCCAGTGCTGCTACCAGTAACCGTAGTGACAGCGGTGGTAGTGCGAGATTTGACTGCTGTATCGGCTAACATCCTGGTGGGCAATGACGTCGTGGTCGGTAATGGTGGCGTACAGCTTCGCTACGGGGAGGACAACTCCTTGAGTGCCGTGACGTTCGGTACGACGCCAGCAGCCGCGTGTACCACGGAGCCAAGTAAGGATTCGCACCCATCTCCACATGTCAACGTGATCCGCGATGGTAAGGACGTCATATTGCGGGTGAATGACGGCGAAGTGAGGTGGCACGCGGAGCAAGGCCACTGGAGCCTGAAGTGGTATTGGCAAGATGGTGTCGAGCCCTGCCACCGCATTGGTCCGAACATTGGAGAGTACTCCAGGAAGAAGCTGTCATCCAAACAGGAAGAGCAGTTTTGCGCTGAAGTTAAGAAGTGGATTGATGAAGGATGGCTGGTACGACACGATCCAGATGTCCATGGCGAACCAGCGGCGGTGCTCCCTCTTCTCGCTCAGGTGCAGGGGCACAAGGCTACAACTCCGGTGCGTCCCTGCTTAGACTACCGCTTTCTGAACGCCCAGCTCACGTCACAACCAGGCCAGGATGCCCCGGTGTGTGAAGACACGTTGCGAAAATGGCGGCAGGACGGCGATGCAAGCGACTTCTGCCTCCTGGATGTTCGGAAAGCGTACTTGCAGATCCGTGTCGAACCTGAGCTCGTCCGCTATCAGACTGTGCTATGGCAAGGGAAAAGATACGTTATGACTAGAATGGGTTTCGGACTCAACATCGCACCGAAATTCATGGACATAGTCATCCAGTGGATACTTCAGGGCTTCCCGATGGCCGACAACTATGTCGACGATATCCGAGTTCCGCGCAACAACGTCCCGGCGGTTGCTGCTAGGCTGCTCGAGTACGGCCTGCCGACAAAGCCCGCCGAGCCGTTGGCTTCCGCTCGGGTCCTTGGGCTGCAGCTCAGCACGGGCGAAGGAGGTGACACACGCTGGACTCGACGCGACGGCATCAGCCTTGATCTCCAGCGACCAGCGACAAAGCGGGATTTGTTCAGCTGGTGTGGACGCCTTACCAGCCATGTGCCTGTCTGCGGGTGGCTACGACCTGCTACCAGTTTCCTGAAGCGTCTAGTCGGAGGTGACACGCCGTGGGATCACCTCGTGTCGGAGCAAGTGCTTAAGTTTGGCGAAGAGGTGATGGCCCGGCTAGCAGGTGATGGGGATCCAGCCAAAGGTGTCTGGTCAGTGACACCATCGACCAGTGATCCAGAGCTCGTCGTGTACACCGATGCATCCGATGTTGCCTTAGGCGTAGTGGTCAAGGATGGCAGCGGCGTCATCGAGGACAAGGCTTGGCTGAGGAAATCACATGACAAGCGTCACATCAACGTCACGGAACTGGATGCAGCGCTCAACGGCCTTTCGTTAGCAGTATCATGGGGTGCGAGACGCGTCCGCCTTGTAACCGACTCGAAGACGGTGGCCAGCTGGCTGCGCGATACTTTGGGTAACATCCGGCGCATCAGAACAAAGGGTCTCAACCACGTGCTGGTGCAGCGCCGTTTGCAGATCGCTGCTGACATAGTGGCAACAGCCGGCCTGAGTGTGTCTGTCGAGTGGGTGCCGACAGATCAAAACCCCGCCGATGCGCTGACAAGGGTACCGCGTACCTGGATCAAGTACTTCAAGGAGCAAGAGGGAAAGGGTAGCGTCTCCGTGAGTGCGGCTGTTGGCGAGGCCCACGTTGTTAGCCCAGTGCTGCGCGCAAGGATAGTCGAGGGTCAGGCGAGTGATGAGGAGATCCAGTCGGTGATCCACTGCCTAGAGAACCAGCTGCTCGTGCCCTCATCCTACAGCAAGGTGGCAAGAGAGCTAGTCGTCCGAGACCGAGTACTCTTCCGGAGTGTCAAGCTAACCCTGGATGGACAGGTCGAAGTGCCGGTAGTTCCCGACGTGCTGGTCGGCGAAGTTGTAGCCATTGCCCATCACAATTCCGGACATGCTGCCTGGGAGGCGACCTACCAGATGATTCGAGCTCGTTGTTTCTTCAAGGACATGGCCCGTGTGTGTCGCAAGTACATCGCCGATTGTGAGCAGTGCCGAGCCGCGAACCCGTCTGGAAGCGGACAGGCGTCACCTACACGCCCTGATATTCCTGGCCGACCCTGGAGTGAGCTCGTCCTAGACACGCTGGAGCTTGGCGAGAACAGCAGCGGACAGTACCATTGCGTCTTGGTCTGCATAGACACATTCACGAAGTGGGCCGAGATCTGTCCACTTCGTCGTCACGACGCCGCCTCCGTTGCCGCAGCATTCACCTCAATGTGCGTACGCTGGGGAGCCCCCGATGTCGTCAGGACGGACAATGGAACAGAATTCCGGAACGCCATCGTGGAGTCGCTGTTCAAAGTTATGGGGGTTCGTGTACGAACAGGAGCCGTACGACATCCTGAGTCTCAAGGCGCCGCCGAGCGTATGAACCGGTCGCTGCTAGGCCTCATTCGCAAGGTGCTAAGCACGACGTCTGACTGGCAGCAGGATCTTGACGTGCTCCTGTTCTTCTACCGAAACCGGCCTCACCACGCCACGCGACTGTCCCCCACCGAAGCGATGATTGGCTGGCGGCCACGGCATCTTGTTGTTGAGACAGCTAATGATGATTGCCTCCTGAGCGAATGGGTGACGAAGCTGGCTGATCGCACGGCCGTTGTAAGGGACTTGGTAGAGTCTGAGCTAGCCAGCGCCGACTTCTTGGAGTCTCCATGCCGTGCCAACCCCTACTGCGTGGGCGACCATGTACTGTATCGACATCCAAGTCGCCGTCAGAAGCGCCTTCCGCCGTTCCAGACAGGATGGACCGTGAAGCGGATTGTGTCGCCCTCCACCGTTGTGATCTCTCATAAGCACGGTGCAACAGGCATGAAGGAGAAGACCGTCAACATTGACCTGTTGAAGAGTGGTGTTCCTGAGGAAGCCGACGCCGACGCCGACGCAGAGCTGCACCCAGACGTCGATGATGACAACGATAGTGACGACGGCGGACCTGTCTGGTGGATCGAGGCTGACGCAGGTGATAGTACTAGTGATGTGCCCCGTTATGGCCTGCGCAGCCGCACCAGCATACGACCACCGAGTCGCTACACAACCTAGCTCGGTTTGGACGACAGTCCCTATTGTTACCAGGTGATGGGGTGAAGAGGAACTGTAACCGACTTGTTATAGTAACAATAGTCCTGCCAATACTTATTATAGTCTTTCTGCTAGTACTTCTATTCTGATGAGTGGTGTTAGTATTCTTGTTGTCTGGCTCTCCCAGAAGTGTTGTTGCCTTATGCTGTCATTCCAGACATAGATGAGTCATGACCCGTTCATGCTGTGCACGTAATTCACTCTATCCTTTAGGTGTCTTGTTTCACCATGGACTGCTGTGTCCATTGTTCACCTGCCACGCTGCATGGCTTCTGTATCCCTACCTGGCTGTCTTTGCTTTCATCCTCGCTCCCGCTGCTTGCTGACGATCTCCGAGTCACGCGAGGAGTTCCCTGTTAGTTTTTCCGGTCTTATCTCTGAGATAGGGGAGTCAGTCTACTGCCTGCTTGGAAGTGTTCAGATCATACATTCTATCTCTCTTTTTACAAACCTTTTCTAACCGAGAACTGGTGTTGTGGTTGATTGCGCATGCCAGAGCGTGAGGACTAGTTCGCTGCATAGTCTAGTAGTAGTTCCACTACAAGGTCCAACCTGTACGTACGTACATATGGTAGTAAGTCTCAGCGCACACAGCCACACTAAGTCCTTGGCTACACAAAAGTATTAATTTTCAGTCAGACTGAAAGACTGACAATTTGTGTAGCCAAGGAGTTAGTGTGGCTGTGTGCGCTGGGATTTACTATGATTGTGACAAGGCTACAGGGGAGTTACGCTAGACTTCTTACTGAACATCACATTACTTATACCTGGTATCAGCACACATCAACTACTAGTATGCGTGCGTATCGTCACACGTGGATGGCCACATTGCACGTACATCTTCATAAATTGAACTGAAATAATTGATTTAGAAACCTAAGTTGAATTTCCGGGTGACAACCTTCCACTGGGCTTGGGGATAGTAGTTCCCAAAGCTTTTGTTGTATTTTAAAGCCAAAAAGAAGCAACGTACCTGCAGGGGTTCTCCAGCACAAGTGGTGGTTGGGAAATATCAGCCAAATAGTGAATAAGACAAGCCATTGCTCTTTCTTCAAACTTTTACGCCTCGATGTGAGCGATGCTGCCCACGACACATATGTGGTGCATGGGTAGATACTCTCTTCACAGGATAAAGGGGATTTGCAAAGCGTTTTTATCCAATGCAGTAAATATTTCCACAAGCCAATGCCAAGCTAGCTTCGATGTCCACAAACACTCAACTCCGTCTCGAGTCTGTAAAATAAAGGTGCATGTGTTGTGTGTGAAGTGATTCAAAATTTTGCTTGAAACTGGGCCATGCATGAATGCATGCATGAACCTGTAGCTGTGAAGTGCGATGATCATGATGATTTGACGTCCTCGATCTTTTTCGAGTTGAGCATGCATTCTGCATGTCGCGGATCGGGAAAAAATCAACCGAATCTCCCGCGGAAAAATGAGATTAAAATTCTCGATCGATTCTTGCACATGCATGCGCAAAACAACACAAAAAATGGCGAAAGTAACATCATTACGTACTCGTATCCTTGGAAACGACGGAGATGCACCGATCTTGCATGACGCAAAAATCCAGACTTGAAAAATTATGTTCGTTCTACCACCAAACTCAACACCTGGATATCCCGGATCAAGCGACGAAGAAGAATATCTTTTAGTTTGAGTTTTCGGAGAGAATTACGTCTTCTACTGGTTGAAGCATCAGTCTTTCGAAACAATTCTGTGTGCTTGATCTGTGCAGAATGGCTGACAACAAAGACAAGCAGTCTTCTCGGACAAAAATCTCTCAGCTCAGTATCTATGATGTTCCTCATGCGCAAGCAAGGCCCACACTTGTCTCCGAGCCCAGTAAATTGGACATTGGCATCAGCCGGACCAGGGAAATCATCTGGCGATGCAGCGATCGGGTGTGCAGTGTTTACCGTCGTGCAAGTAACGTAGTCACTCACGTACAGTCTAGTCCAGACCTGCAGCATAGGCTGGGAATAGTCGCACTCTCTGGTGCTGCTGGAGTTTTGTTTGCTGGTGCTCGTGCTGGCCGATTTCAACGTAGTGTTTACGGCCTAGTATTCTCTGGTTGCGCTACTACTGCTCTGTGGCCCCAGGAAACGAAGCAGACAGCTCGAAAGACCATATGTATTGCACGAACCCAACTGTCGGAATTTGCTCGCCCACCACCAGTGAAGTCTGTACCTGAAGCTGTGTCTGTTCCCAAAGATCATGCTGCAAGGCAGGAGCAGCCAGAGATCAAAGCTGCTAGTGGGTCTGAGGAGGTGGCCCGAGAAGCTGACAGTCAGGAAGATTTGGACAACGTAGAGGTGGTAGATCATGGGCAGTCCAAGGTGGAAGATAGTGATATGTATGCGAACAGAAGTGCCTCCTAATGTGGAGGGCTTAGCTGCGCTGTATGTCCTACAGGCGCTTGATTTAAAAGTCGCCAGGATTTGACATCATGAGTACGTTGCACTCAACTGCCCAGGCGTGTGCATCTGGAAAGTACCTGGTTGCTACCATGGACTACCTCGTCGTTACTTGTATCAAAACTTGCAAAGTCAAACGGATTCCAGTAAGTCGAGAGTCATGCATGGAATTATGCTAGCATATGCCGGCATGTGCAACTTGAGGCCGCATGGCATGTGCTGTTCAACAATATACGTGTACATTGGTTGCTCTACCGGTACACTTTACCAAGCCAAGGCCTTGCGCTGCTGCTGTGAAAAGTACAATGTTACTAGCTGCTGTGACACCTAGCATCCTTTGATGCTGCATCTTATTTTTTACTCATCTGCATGCTGTACGTATTGTAGTTGATTTTCATGAAACTCTTCTCTCTCACGATTTAGGAGAGGCTTCTTCGTAGACCTGGTTGTGTACACGTTCTTCACGTCTTACATATGTCCGTCACATGGTCATATCATTCACATCGTGTTTGAAAGAGTGCTTGCTTTTCACAAGCTTATACAAGGTTCAATTTATTTACACTGTTCCTATGCGAGAGAATATGATCAAGGAGTGTGTTTTATGACATTTCGTGACCGTAGTATGTACATGCACAGTAAAGGTTTTGTTGCACTAAAAAAAAACTCGTTATGTACAGGGTTTTATATATAGTTTGAAGAAAGTGTGTGGCTTTGCCGTCAGCCCGACACAATGTCCTAGGTACAAAGCCCATTGGGATATTCTTAGTCTTCATCATTATCGTCATCACCACCATCCGCCTCCTCCTCCATGTCATCTTCATCCTCTTCTTCGTCTTCCATGCCTTCATCCTCGTCCTCCTCTTTCACATCATCCTGCTGCTGCTCTTCGTCCTTGGCACTGCTGTCATCCTTGTCACCCTCATCACCCTCTGCCTTTGGTGGTACACTGAAGTAGGGTAGCTTTCCTCTCTGCCAGTCATTCAGAACCATACGGGCTACTTGACACACATCTGGCTCGCCGCCCTTCAGCAGCCGACCCGTCTTCTGTGCAAGGCGTTCCAGGAAGTCAGTGGCATCACCCCACTTCTGCAGGCCATACATCTTCTGCACATGCTCTGCCTTGATTCGCTTCAGCACTGCCGGAATGTGATCATCTGGGTTCGGAATGTTCTCAATACGTACAACGCCCTTGAGAACCATATCAGTCTCAGAATCTCCCGATGGGTAGACCACGCCAGGGCAGTCGATAAGAAAGATGCGGCGCATCAGAGTGATGTACTGCCACACCTTCGTCTCGCCGGCAAGAGGTGCAACATTGCAAACCTAGGCAAACACACACACACACACACACACACACACACACACACACACACACACACACACACACACACACACACACACACACACACACACACAAATAGCAGAGCATGAGTGAAGTGGTATCACAAACACCCCTCTGCCACTACAGCTCTCTCAACAGAAAGGAAGTACATAGTACCCCCCCCCCCCCCATTCTGGGCACGTTGAGACCGGGCATTACCCGTATCTCAGATCTGTCTGTAGCTCAGGGCAGCTCATCTATCATGTATCACGTTTTTGTTGAAGTTTATTTGGCAAGCATTGCACATGTTCAGGAAAAAGAATCCATCGATGAAAATGTGTGGATTACACAGGTTGGCAGTGACAAATAAGCACTAGTGCATATGTAAAAACTCAAAACACCAAAATCGACGTGCCTGTATCTGAGACGTCCGGATAAAGCGGGATTCACAGAAGCTTTAATGCGATGCGACGTGATTCGCGACGGAGGCGTGCGATGCAAACTCGCGAAATACCATTCACAGAAGAAGTCAGCGATGCGACGACGATTTGCAGATTTGGCTCGAATTTCAATGCAGGAGAGTATGTCACCATGGTATTCGCGCGGTTTGGTGCAACTTGTACAAATTTACAGGCAACTCTTGAACCTTTGTACAACTTTGCTGCAGAAAAGGTCAAAATCGTACGCCAAATCGCTTGTCCCATCGCAAGAGTTGAGCCAAGCTCAACTTCTGCGATGGCCCAGTTGCGGCAGTTGCGTGGGGTGCGAGATGGCTGCGATCTGGGGATTTCCCGGTTTCGCGGCTGTCGCATCGCAAAAAAGCTTCTGTGAATCCCGCTTTAGAGACGTTTGAGTGTACACTCAGCTCTGCTGATGAGACGTAAAAAGTCGAGGTGCAGATGAAGCTCTTAGGATACTAAAAAGACTACATAAACAAGAGTGTGAAACTCCACAACTGGTCTGGGCGACAGGGGATTTGTTGGTGACGTCATCTTTCACAACGCAACGTCATACAAAGCACACGCAAAGCATGCGGTGGGCACCAACCTTCATCGCGAGTCTGTGTGTTTTTGCTGCTTTCAAAACGAAAAATTAACCTTTTTCTCCCGCTCTTGCAGCCCTTTATCATACTCATGATGTAGCTGACGTAAAACCGGCCAAGTTCACGCGCCTTCAGACTCGTAGTACATGCCCCATGATCTCCAGAAACGTGGACATCAATAAACTATTCTGCCTTGGGCCAAACCAAGTGAAGGACACTCTTGTTTATGTACTCTTGATAAAATGGACAAAGTTGAGACACAAACCGGGCACGTGGGATGCTTGGCTTGCACGACAAAACCACACTCTACAAAGAAACATCAACATACCTTCTTCGCTCGTAACGCATTGATCACCGAACTCTTGCCAACGTTGGGATATCCAATGAAGCCAACACTGATCTGAAACGCAGAAAAAAAAGAAACAGTGTTCTAGTTTCTCAACTCATTACCTTTATAGTTATGGTCTCCTGAGTAATTTTAATCATTCCCTGTAGTATTCTGACAAGAAGGGAACGAGAACGTTCCATTCGAATAATTGTGTCTTATTGGCTGGTTGTGCGAGATAACTGTGATGCATGCGTACACATTAGATTAAAGAATATAAAACAGCATACTTATATTACTCTGCACAGAAATAGATAGCTGGGGACTTGTGCCGAAGAACCCAAAGAAAAGAGTGCAAAACAGATGCTGCCTGCAGATACAAGGAACTTTACATGGGACATTGTGTATTAGGGCTGCCCAACATTACCAACTGTGTGTTTCGATAAGAAAGTTTTCATTTCGATTATGCATGTAAATATCGCATGAACAAAAATACCAGTCACAATTGATGGTCAGGTGCGGCCCTGGCCATGTTCCATACCAGCTCATACATAAACAAAGCAAAGGTACTAAAATTATAAGTGCTGAAGATTCCAATCGGGTGAATTGCTATTTTGTTGGCTTTTGTTTTGCTAGCAATAAGGGTAGATGGGGTTGAAACTATCAGGAATTGAGAGAGAGAGAGAGAGAGAGAGAGAGAGAGAGAGAGAGAGAGAGAGAGAGAGAGAGAGAGAGAGAGAGAGAGAGAGAGAGAGAGAGAGAGAAAGAGATAGAGAAAAGAGATAGATAGATAGATAGAGAGATAGATAGATAGAGAGAGAGAGAGAGAGAGAGAGAGAGAGAGAGAGAGAGAAAAGAGAGAGAGAGAGAGACAGACAGACACAGAGAGAGAGAGACAGACAAGAGAGACAGTACGACAGACAAACCTATATACAGTACAAATATCAGATGACTTTATCATTCTTCTTGAAAGTGTTCACATCTCACCTGCTTCTTTTCAGGGTGAAGTTTGGAGAACTGCCTCAGCAGTGAGATGACGGCACCCTTGCCGAATGCATTCGTGAGACTAGCATGGAAAGCAAGAGTTGGATGTTCCGCAGAAAGAGTGGCAACCCAGCGCCTCGTGGCCCATGCAGGGCATAAGTCACACTTGTTCAGGACAAATATCAAGTGCTTGTGGGCCTTCTCTGTCTTCAAGTATTTCTCAATGCGCTTTGAGCGTGTGCCCATCGGGTCTCGCGCATCCAGCACCTGCAAGGTACATCAAGTGCGGACACACACACACAGGCACAGGACGTAGTAATGTATATGCACGTACACATACACAGCAGGCGACTGCCACAGCCCTAAACAGTGCTCAATAGTCAATACTACCGTACTGGCAATATATGTTGCCGCAGTGAGGCCGTGAAGCGTTACATTGGCACATGTTTGCCGCACGCAGGGCGTTACATGCAAAGTCGCACAGGAGCCGTTACACAGGTTTCTATATTGCCGCAGTCCTTTTTTGCTATTGCCGCATCACTTTTTTGCTATTGCCGCATCACTTTTTTTGCTTTTGCCGCATCATTTTTTCTTTTCATCCACATTGAAGGCACAGAAATTCAGTTGCTATCCAACTGTTACAAACCCGACGGCAAAGGGCGACAACGATATCAATAGAAGACTGTATATTTTAACTATCAGAGTGATCTGTTCACAAAAAGATCATCAAAAGGAAAGTGACATAGGGGAAGAACGCTTCCTCCAAAAACTACTGTCACTCACACAGTTAACGCTCTTCTTCGCAAAACGACCTCGGGAAAGAAGAAACCATTGAGATCGCCATCCACTGAATGAGGCGCCTTCGAGTGTCAGGACTTCCTGCTGCGTCCAGTTTTGAACTTTTCACCACGCGGTACACGTGCTTTCACAGTTTTCAGCCTTTTTTGCAGTGCAAACTGCAATGAAAAGATCGCCGCACCCCGCCGGACGCGCGTTACGAACTCAACGAAAATTTGTCGCACTAGCCTGGTCGCGCGTTACGCCGCACCCCCCTGCGTTACGCGTTACGCGGCAACATATATTGCCAGTACGGTAGTACCCAGGGGTAGAGCTCTCTGACACCGAAAGTCAGAACAATTTGTTGCAACGCGGGGTTTCACGCTGAGGGATAATCAAGCAACATCAATAACTGTCACATGCAACCGAAACGTGAATGCCTGTCTAGAGACAATCTTGCAATACACCCATTCCAAAGTAAGTGCAAAGCAGAGCATACCTATAAGCTGTGTGCATAACTGGTGGGTGTACACATGAAACCATGCGTTTGTGCGTCCTTTTCCTGGCTTTTTTTGGGGCAACATGGGTGTGGAAACGAACGGAAATGAAAATTCCAACAAGCGTTTTTCAGCATGCATCAGCTGCGCACTGGTGTACATACCAGTTGCTTTGACTGGCGGGTCACAACTAGTACTCGAAGGCGCTGCATGACCTAAATATACGCTGCTTTCTGCGAATGCCTGAATGTAGGCACGTGCCAACCGCAAACGCAACGCGTACATGCGCCCGTCATGAACATAGCTTACAAAAATCGAATCAGAACACTATTACCACAAATCCCCCCAAGAGCACCATACATGCTAGTACATGTAACAACATTTCCACCCTAGCGACAACCCATCAACAGCACTAGGAATCGTTTTCAACACTGGGAGCAATGTCGACTACATACCTGTATAACGACATCGGACGCATCCACAACCTTGTACAACTCTCCCCAAATACGCTTGGATTGGCCCTTGGTGAAGATCAACTCCTGTGCTTCAGGTCTTTCAGATGCAACACCTTTGTCCAAGTCCCGGTCGTCATCACTAGCATACTTCTCCTCACGATCTGCAACATTTGCTGCAAGCTCCTCCATGTCACCGACTTTCAAAGTGGGTCGTTTCCGACGAGAGTTCTTGCCGAATGTGTGATCAAATTTTTCAGTCTCCAGTAGATGTGATCGGACATGCTTCGCCTTCTCCTGCAGCAGAGACACTGGCAGTTTGCTGCGCTTCATGACAACTCGGTACGGATCGGCCTTGACTTTGCCCATCTCATCTTGAAACGTTTGCAGGGCCTGCTGAGTGACAACGCGTGTATTGCCAAACCACCTAAACATCAAGCAGATCAGATTGCCACATTCAATCACTAAGCAGTTTAACATTACTGCATCGGTGCCCTAACACACACCGGCTTCAGGGAATACGCAGCAGCAGCAGCAACAGCAGCACAAGAGTTTGAACAGCAAACCAGAGCGTGCAACTGCATGAAGCTGGCAGGTCACACAGGCAGGGATACAGCCACTACAACACTGTACTGGTTTCAATGACGTACCCTTCTTTCCCTTGTGTATACATGTACCAGCCTAAGCTAACTGCCGGTAAGAGAGCTAACCCATTGCAGCGGGGGCATCCTATGGCTTTTCCATACCTACACCAGCAAATAGACCTTTCCATGCATGATGCTCAGGCGCGTAGCCCGTGCAGGGCGCAGGGGGCATGTGCATCCCCTAAAATCTTTCGACCTTCACCAAGCATGTATGGGCCAAATGGCCTAGATATCGCAGCACAGTGCCTGCTGTGATGCCAAAATCGAGTGACAGTGTGTTTGAATTTGCAGTAGCTGTATAGCTGTATAGCTGTATAGCTGTATAGCTGTATATCTGCACACTTCAGTTCACAAGCCTACTACAGTGTGCTCGAACTGCTTCAAGAATATTTCGACCGTGCACTCCCTAAAACGTGGACCAGCTACGCCACTGAATTGCTAGAAAGTCTGCATCTTCAGTAGGTCAGAAGGGAAGAAGTTTCCTTTGTTTCCAAGGCTCAGCGGAGTTCAGAGACATACATCAGCCATCAATTATTTCAGGGTCTCGTTTTTCTACCAAAAGATTGTCAGATCTAGTCTTCAAAATCATACCTTCGATTCGGTTCCACTCGGGCAACAGTTCCTGGAGCGGTCCATTTCTGATATTCAGCTCCCTCCACCACCTTTCCCTTGCGATTTCTCACAGGTTTACCAGCATCTCTGTACATACGCAATCGCCTCGACGTTGCTTTGCTACGACCAAATGGCTGCGCCTCGCCATCTCTTTTCTTTATCACACCAGGCTTACTGTTTCTAGTAGACTTCCCCATCGCAGTAGCCAAGGCCTCACGGCCGTAAACAAGTAAAAGCGGGGAGAACTCTGACGAAGAATGGAAGGAACACACGGTCAAAGAAACAAAACAGACTTCATTCGAGGAGAAGATCGATTCCGCATGAAAAAATGCGTGCAACTCATGCACCGCCACGTTTTTCTTGTGATTGAATGACGTCACTATTCTGATAACAGTTCGCCGAGCGAATTTCGTCGACAATCAAGTAGCGCACCCTATTTCTCTAGACCAGGGAGTAAAGTAGTACAATACTACTCCCTGCTCTAAACTAAAGCCGACCGGATTCATGCCAGCCATGTCTTGTTGTTTGGGTGTGGGGAGGCAAGAAGAGCCCAAACAGGGTTAACCTATGACTCCCTGGGAAAAGTTGCACTATAGAATGGTTGTCCATTGGGACATAACCCTGGAATGTCAGATGCAGCTACCGGCCGGCAACGGGGAGCTCGAGCATTGACAGCAGGGGCGTCGCACACGGTACGGTCATTACGGTATTGACCGTACCACTTTTTGCCCCAGATACCCGTGAGACAACAAAATACACTGATCTGGGATCTAAAATTCCAAAATTTTCGGCTCAGCCACCACTCCCCCACGAGTCAATTGTACTTCAGATGGCTGACCGTACCACACTAAAATACCTTCCGACGCCCCTGGACAGTCATGGCAAACAGTCTAGTACCATGATGTACCATGATCAGGAAGCCCCACACATACCGGTATGTGTAGGGCTCCCTGCTCATGATCCAGCATCCGAGTGTGCCACAGAACAGCGGAAGCCAAGACAATTTTGGTGAGAACTACAGTCTCACTCTGAGTCACTGCCGTGTCGTAGAACAAAGCATCTTAGACTTACCAAGTTACAATGTACAGGTCTTGTACATGTAAATTGCACATGCGCCGATTACTAGGGCTGATATTCCAGACTGAGGACTACACCAGTCTCATGCGTTCTGATGGAAAGCTACAGAATTTGAAGCGGTCATGATCAAGACACAATATTGTGACAATAACGTAGTCTACTGGCGCGGCATGGCAATCAATGACTTTGCACTGAATCATGCGACCCGGGGGCATGCTATGCTGACGAATAGATCTTAGTCGAGATTCACATGGTAAATCAGTCTGGGCTATAGCCACACACAAGAAACCGTGATCATCTGGACACAACGCTGCATATAAGATATGCTCAAATGCAAACAAAAGTCTGGCACTACATGCCACAGTTCTAGTCAAGACCTGAAGTACGGCTTGGCAATAGTGCAGACCAAATAATCGTGAAGGGGATTATCAGTTCGAAAATGACTTGGGAATGACTTCTGTCACAAGTTCAGAGCACGCGGTATGGATTCAAAACCTTGATATTAGACGAATTGACTATTGTTTGAGCACTAGACTGGTCTCCTTGAATTGATGCAGACATCATGCGACATTGGGAAGACAGTGACAATGAGCCTCACTAAAGCCACGGGAGCCATATAGCTGTGATGGGCACAATGCGAGGTTTCTTTCAGGCAGACCGCATTTACACAGAGACATCAGTTTCGATTGGTGGTAGTGTCGTGGATGTGGTTGCACCGTATGTTCGCCCGTACTTGTATCGGTAGCCTATGGATTAAAAAAACAAACAAGCGCCAACGACCAGAAGTAGGAGCGGTATTAGATTTCAAGCACCAGCCACTGCACAGTGGCACGCTTGCTCACATGATTCGTATTTTGTTATCTTTAAGACCTAGGATTCATATTCACAGTGGTGTGGTCACTAGAGTCAGATTTAAGAGCAAGTTTTGAACACTATAATCCAGAAACTTGAAAAGGTGCTCACGAGAGGTAGACACAAGGAGAAACAGCCAATTCACACCATCCAAGGCCTCAGTCACAACAGACTGAACAGAGTGGCACCATTTTTCACCTGCAACCCTCAGAGTCTCAGATTCAATTTGACCATAAAGGCACTTCTTTTTGTCAGTCAAACTATGAAGCTTCGTTTGCTAAAAGCTAACAATCATCAGGAGCTAAGATGTTGCGACATGGGCAGGAAGCGCGACACTTTCTTTGCTAATAAGCATTGACTACAATAAACAATTCAGTGAGATGTCGACACTGAAAGCTTCCACTGTTTGTTAACTTAAAAGCAGCTAGTCAGGAAAAGAAGGGAGCATCATCATACAGACCCCCCCCCCCCCCCCCCCCCCGCAAAAAGCACACTCACCAGGAACATGTCCGGTGTATTTTGGCACGATCCCGTTGTCCCGGGCGTACAGTGGCGCACTGTAGTCGGTTCGAGGAACAACCGGCATCCTTGGTGTTGGTTCCTTGACGCTCATGGGACGTACGGGCATGTCACGGCGTGTGTCACGCATGTTGTTTTCGTGTTCAAACTCATCGATGGCTGTTCTTGATCCAACCTGTGACGAATATCCAGGGAAATGAAGACATTGACTCTTTCAGTCGCATAGCAACACCGTAGAATCGGTCCAGCAATAACTAAAAGGACACTTCTGCAAAGCCATTTTGTGCGTGTGTGGTGACTGGCATGCAGCGTTCTGGACAACATGGTTTTGGAAGACGTGCATAATCATGTCCTACACGTCGGGGGTAAGTATTGCAACCTATTCTGGTTTTGCTTCGGCATGCAATTGGCACAGAAGATACCAACAATATGATTATCTCACCATCCCAACACACCCACCTGGAAAGTGTTCGCATATTGATGATTTCTCCAGCGAGGAACAAAGCCATCATACCCCGCCTTGAAATACCTTAGGTCCGCACCTTTTGGCATTGTGAAGGTGGTCATCGTGGGCAGAGGAGCATCCTGGACAACAATGATAAAATAGTTATGAACCCGGTAACAGTTGGTAGATTTGATTGCCACCAGGATGATACAGCTGTAGTTGAGAGATAGTGTACAACTCTGGACACTGAGTTTCAAGATGTGTGCATCCATCAACGTCCATCAGACAACATGTTGTCCAATGATCTTATAATAGAAACTGAATTTTAATAGTTTTGTGATGTGAACAATCAGTTTGAACAGGCGTCGAATACAAATTCTTTTCAATGACTGGATGCTCTAGAACCATCATTTTTGAAGTGTCGTCCCACTCTACAGAGCTCACATTCGCAGTGAAAGCCCCATGTAATTTTACAAAGAGAGCATTTCACATTGATTTGTATGTGACCTTGATCCATACCTTGGAGATAAACGGTGGAGCGGTGTGATGGCGGCGGTGACGGGGCTGCTTCAATGTGTCGTTCAAGAGGCTGCTCTGGTAGCCCAGTGTCTCGTTCTGTCTGTTCTGAAAGTGTGCAATCGATGCACGGCACACCTTGGCATTGGTTCGTCCAAAATGATGGTTTTGACGTTTGGGTATGAAGCCTATCAGGAGAGAGAAGGAATATAGAACCCATACGTGACCAACGAAGATAAGAATGATACTAGTACCGTATTTTACCGGTTGTAAGTCCACCCCGGTTATAAGTCGACCCCCTATCTGGAGGTGTCAATTCTGCGTTTCAAAGTTTTCACCCAAAGAAGCACTACTAACCACCTCCTGCTACGAACACATCAACAAATCATGTAAACATTCCTTATTGGAGGATATAACGTCCCAATCCTTGAAAAAGGCCAATAAACTGGCAAAAATGTATAAACATGGTGCACTCGTGCATGCAGTGCTGGTCATTTTTTGTAAGATACTGATAGTTCCTGGTTATAAGTCGAATCCCGGTTGTAAGTCGACCCCCACCCTTTCTCCTTCTATTTTAAGTCGCAAAAGGTCGACTTACAACCGGAAAAATACGGTACATGTATCTACTTCATGTACTTAGATGTAACATGTTGACATAATTATGATAAGTCTGAATTTTCTCATGCATAATGACGATTTCGGTCCTCTCTTCACCAACAACTTTCTCTTTTCGTTCGTCCCTCTTGATATTTGTACTGTTGTGGCAATGAACTGAAATATTAAGTTAGAACCAACCAACCCAAAATGCGGTGTGTGCCACCTACAAGTGAGCAGATTAGAAGTCCAAACCTATGTGTAACTCTATAACAGATAGTATCTCAAGTAGTCGTGTATGACGCCATGTTAAGTCGTGAACTTCGTTTGTAGTGTGTATTGTTAAACAGTATGCCAATTAACTCGACATAGTCTGCAAGAGCACATATTCTCACCTCTCAAACTTCACCAATTTCATACTTCTTTTCAAGTACACATACGTTCATACCTTGGTATCCAGGTACGACTGGGTCTAGCAGTTTCTGATCTCCATGTGATTGCCATCGGCGCTCGATCGTTGCACTGGCCTCGGCTTCTTCGAACGCTTCCAGATCAGGTATTCCCTGTTCGGTCAGCTGGCTAGGTGGAAAGATGTCACGCAAAATGGGCTGTTCCGAGTGGGCCGTGCTCTCGTCGGGATTGGCTAGCAGTTTGTGAGTTGTGGTGCCGTACGTATCGGAATACCGGTACTTCCGTTGAGGGCAATACCCATTATATCTAAACCGGCATTGAACGCACATACATGTATGTATCATGTAAGTTAGCTGTTAGAGGAAGTTTGGAAATTGTTTGTGTATTGTGCTATTCTGGCAAAAGATTTAGGTGCTTGCGGGATCCGCCTGGATTCAAACCGTGCATGTTTGTTCTGAGGAGCATTGTAGGAACACTCAGCGACTAGTGCCACTGCTGTAGCACTTTAGGGATATTAATATTTATTGCTGGCCACCAAGGGGATAGCAATCATCCCATTATATTCCCATTGCACCCACACCACTGCCAGAAGAAGTGCTGTTGTACGTTGAAGTACGACGGGAGGCTACAGTCGTAAGCACAGCTCCGAAGTCACAAGAGTACCGTGCCATACAGCCTTACAGGTAGGCCGTTCTATTGGGCAGAACTATTACTGGTGGACCGGCTTGGTGTGTACTTACCCCGGGATATGGTGGGGCTCATCGGTCGTTAGTTGGTTTTTGATGCTCATCCTTCTTGCACGATACTTCGAGGTAGATTTAGGTGCTGCGGAGAAAGTACTGGGGACCAACTATCCACCACAGGCTTTGCACTATCTCCCTACTGCCAGATCTAATGGGAACGCAAGCCAGTGAATGTCTCGCTGCAAATACTGATACTAGTGATAGGCGGTGTTTATCTTTCAGAGTGATTGCATTTTTATAGCAGAATGTTTGGGTTGTGTACTGACTTCGTGTCAAGTGTAAATCTACATCCTCCTTGCACATTTTTGTATGGAGAGTACTCCACCGGTACCGGTGCACCATACACCGAGATAGCGCGTGAGCAGCAGAAAGGGGCTGTTTCCACTCATATCGCGTTCATGTGTCGCGTCGCGCAGCGTCACGTCACGTCCATGGCAACCCCACCTAGCGACATGCGCTGGCCGAAGGCGAAGGGAAGTCCCGAGTGTGATCATGTCCATGGGCATGGGCATGGACCGGTATGCGGTAGATCTACGTACCAAGCACTTGAAGCAGTTGGTACAGCTGATACAGCGACAAGGCTAACCTAGCTACAAAGACAAGTAGAATCTCCTAGTAGTAAGGCTCGCGACAGTGTCATGGTGGTGGCAGTACCTGCTGACAGCTAGCTGACGAGCTGAGAGAAGGACGCCATGGGCAGAAGTTACTTACTAGTAGCTGGAAGAAAAGAAGTTGAGGTTGAAGTAGCTACATGACTACCAGGACGACATCCAGGAGCGATCAAAGAATACACGACGGACGTCAGTAGTAGTCTCCTACCGCCCTAGCATAATGAGGGTCAGAACCGGGTGCGGCACCCATATGGTTCAAATGGTCCGCAGGGACCGGGGCTCTGCCAACCGCGGAAGGTTGTAGTAAGGTCACTGTTTCCGAACACAGTGTCCTCCACCTTGTTTCATGCTGTCAATCTAACAATATACGTACAAGGCCAGTACAGGCAGTAGGGGCAGTGATCAGGTGATTACTGGCAGCTCCAATGTCAGTCTGCACGAGAAACAGAGGGACTGGCGCCCGAGATGGATACGGCGGGCAGGCGAGAGTCATATAATTTCCACAGGCATGTATGTTCTTTGACTGGCTAAGACAGTGAGACTAAGAGGCTTATTTGAGCACTGGCGTGTGAACATGGCGGTACTAGTACTAGTACTAGTAGTCAGCTCCACTACATGTAGCTTGCAATATTCACTACTGCCAACAGTCGTACAGGCTAGCAACAGGTTAGCCATACTACATGATAGCAATACTAATCACTATGTGGTAAGTACAGAACTTCAGAAGGAGACTTCTGACACAATCATTACGCTGTCATGTACACAAACGATCACAGATTGCAAGTACATGTACATGTACATGCATGCAATGCATACAGACAGTCATGGACCTAGCTCCTCTTGTTTGATCTACCCTTCCCTCAGCGTTGCCTGAGCTAGGCTCTCAATAATTGTCTAAATCTCTGCTTCCACATGCAATACCGCCAATGATGCACACCACACTATCGTAGTCAACGACTTCATAGGCATCATGACATGAACCGCAATGCATAAACAAAGTACATGAAACTGTGATGTTTCTGAATAAAACCTGTCTTCTGTACATGCGTCTCCTTGTCAGCTAAGACCCACAGACACAGTACATGTCACCTTTGCCTCATCACCAAAACTTCCTAGTGTGTGATGTGTGATCGCAATACGTCGAAACCACTGCCCACATGTGAATTGTGGATACCATGACCAGATGGCGATGCGCATTCCACTGCGTATGCGTGTCTCAGTTATAGTTGTTGCTGCATATTCACTGTGTTTCTTTAGGTCAGTCGATGAGTCGTGCCCTAATAAGGTCTTCTTGCATTTGGAAAGTGTTTATAAAGATTTGGTACTATAAATACCCTGATGGCCACTTGCAAGTGGGTGGCGTGGATTCTATATGACTGTGTGTAGTGGTTGTGCCCGAGCGAGATCTTCGAAGCCGTCTGCGGTAGGATCGCCCCCTGAGACAATTCATGCGACCTCGGTGAAGACGAGACCAGGGAGCTCCACACATACCGTATGTGTAGGGCTCCCTGGACGAGACCATGTTGTTGACGAGGGAGTTGTAAAGATGATACCGGCTTTTCACGAATCTCTGCTGTTGACATACTCGAGTGGTATATCTCCTAGCACACCCCACACTTTAAACAAGTACGGCAGGCAATGGTAAGTAAGTTTGGGGAGCGGCATAGACTCTCACAACTCAGCCTCTAGTCTAGCCATTGCCTTGGGGACCATATGCTACTGTCGAACACGATCACAGGGATGCCATGATCTGAACGAGTCAGAACCCATTCCTTGTTGTCGAGGCAGGAACCGGAAGTCCACCATTGGACTGGCCCGGTAGCATCGATTATCGGTTGAAGCAACGTCGTTCTTTCATCATGACAGGACAATGTCCGTCGTGGCTGGGTTGGCCATGCTTCACTGCCACTCTGCCGCGGAAACCTGTTAATTACGTCAAGAGGCGGCCGTCAGTTTGGACGCAGGCTATTCAGGCCTCGATCAGGGTGCGAATCGCTGCGTAGACCTGGTGATGAATAAGTGATGTGTGATTGTGTAGATTTGCTTTGACTTTGAGGACTTACAGGAGCTCCACTAAAGGCTAGGCTAGGCTGCCATGCAGGACTTGTGCGCGCTCCGATGTGTAAACAACTGTTTGTTTTGCTCGCGCCTGTCAACACGTCTTTCGCAATTTGCTTTCAGTTTTACTGGCCAGGTGTTCACTTCACTACCGCATTGCGCCTTCTTGAATAGCACTGCAAACCTACTACGTGTACATTGTACTACTAGTACTACTACCCATTTTGCCCATACAAGAGGCTTTACTAGCATTCCAACTAACTAACTGCTACCCAGTAGAGCTTAGCGCGGATGCAATTCTACGACTACAGTCCTGCATTGTACAGTCTTGAAAAGGTCATGGGCGGCTACTGCTAGGCGGTGATGATTGATTCGGGTTTGGGGTTGGCATCTAAACACAGCTCGTTGACATAAGAATGGAAGAGGAACACGACCTAATGTTCGAACACTTGCCATACAAAAAGGTGTTGGTTGATTTCGTGCTCGCCCATTGCTAACCCTGCTTGCGTTACGAGCAGCACGAGGAATTATTGCTCCTCTGGTTCACACCTTGTTTGAACAACACCACTGATTTTATTCAGATTGTTTTCAGCGATGGCGAATTCTCGTGTTACAGTGCTTGCAGTGCTTTTGGGAGTTGTTTGCGCACTGACCATCCGAGTATCATCCCGCAGTATCGAACCTCTTCGCCATGAGTCGCAAGTCTTTGAGAAAGACCCAAGCGCTGTTGGATCACGCCTGGCCAGAAGTAGTGAAGACGACGATTCAACGTCGGATAGCAGCGAGGAAAGTCTGTCATCAAGCAGCAGTAGCTCCGACGAGGACGAATCCCAGGATTCAGACTCGGAGAGCGATTCTGGTCCTCCTAACATCGTAACAGCTATGGTCCCTCCAGCACCCACAACAATGACCAATGGCGGCAACGAACCAGATTCTGGTGGTGGTGGTGGTGGTGGTGGAGGTGGAGCAGGAGGGGGAGATGTTGTGGATGCCACAGAGCCCTCGAGTACCACAGTCGTGACCTTTGATCCAAATGACCCCGACGCTGACAAGGACGGACCCGTACCTGGTATGGTATGACCGGCATCTGACTACATGTAGAGCTAGCTAGCTACTGCAGTACCATATCGGCTGTCATCAGGTCATGGTGTCAGAAGAAAATCTAGCTATCGCAACAGCCTATTGGAGTTCGTGATAAACATACAATTCTCAGTCTAGCCTCTACCACAGATTACCTATAATTTCCTTTATTCTACTTGCCGACACCATGTTTGCATGGTTTGTGGGAGGATAAACATTTCCCAGAGTTTGAGCTTGAGCTGTAGAGCACCTGTGATCATATGCTACACCATTAAACATACATGACTGTATACTTTGAACTGCTAAATGCTACTTGTAATACGCAATATATATTCTGCATTTTTTCGTCTCAGAAGAGCTATATTGAAAATCCATGATTTAATATCGGGAAATGTTTTTAAAGCCATACTTCGTAGTTACTGGTCAGCTGTGAAGCATCCTCCTTTATATTACTGTATTTTGCTTCACTGGTGCAGAGAGTCACCAGCATCCTACAAACGCCGGAATCGGAGGTTTGTGACCAGCTGCCATGCGTTGCCAATACCACGCTATATTTCTGTTGCCTCTTCTACATGAATGTTTTCTTTTTGTGTTGCCACTTGATTTACAAGCACTTGAATTACATGTTGGTGCACTTACATGTATGCTTCCATACGTGGTTTGTTACGATTTGCGCAATGCACGGGCTGTAGAAGAGAAATCTCAACCTGTGGAAGAGACTTTACTTCTGCAACATGCACTGGGCTCTTAGCTAAACGGAACACTCCCAATCCCAATTGCCGGGAATACGAAGAATTGAGGTATATCAGTTCTCTTCAGAATACACTCATGCATGCCTGTTGTAATGTCATCATCGTACTGCACCACCGTTGCTTTTTAACCCTCTGTAACTGTTACCGTAACATTACATGTATTGGACTAAACTATAATCACTAATTCACAATGGCTGCAAAGGAGTTTGTGAATCCTTGTAAATGGTTGGAATGGAGTTTTGGGAATCCTTGCAGATGCAGATGGCTGGAATGAACAGTTGCGAATCCTTGCAAATGGCTGCAATGGAGTTTGGGAATCCTTGTAATCACGGGATGAAATGAAGTTGTGTGCAAATGGCTGTTATGGAGTTGTGTGCAAATGGCTGTAATGGAGTTGTGTGCAAATGGCTGTAATGGAGTTGTGTGCAAATGGCTGTAATGGAGTTGTGTGCAAATGGCTGTAATGGAGTTGTGTGCAAATGGCTGTAATGGAGTTGTGTGCAAATGGCTGTAATGGAGTTGTGTGCAAATGGCTGTAATGGAGTTTTTAAAACTGGCGGCCAGTTTCTTAGCCTGATGGTTGGACAGTCTTGGAATCGGATGACTTTTTGAACATTAGCCGAGCCCCAGCTGTTGCGGACACTGTTACTGTACATTGAGTAGCCTCTCTTCTCATGTACACTCAGTCGGACTGACACCATTATGCAGTAGATCTAAATTATGCTTGTATTCAAGTACGTGATCTTCTGCTTGGTATTATTCTATCACTACCGTGATTCGGAATGATTGTTTACTCGTAATATTATTATAATCATTGTGTCCGTTGGACCGGAACCGGAAGGTGGCACAAAGTCTTGCCACTTATTCAAGTTAGTTTCAACTATTAATCACTGAGTGCAAGGCCTGCACCAATGTGCAAGTCCCAGGCACAATAGAGGCAGTTCACACCAACCAAGATAATGTCAGAGTATATTTTGTCAGAGTACATTTTCAAGTTTCAAAAGACGCCAGAGGCACACCGAACGGATAAAACAGATTCAACATGATGTTCCAAAATGGGACCCAAGGGGAAGGATAAAGAAGGTGATGCTATGGTAGAAGTACATCATAACATACTGGAGAGAAGATATCTGGACTAGATGGGGAGTGTAGCAGCTGGTTTGAAGTAGGAGCTTGAGAGCAGCGAGCAAGGGGATTGTTTCAGGATATAGACAGTGCAGAGATGAGAGAACTGACATTAATTGCAGGAGAAGTATTTCAGATATGCACCCATGGCGGAAAGCAGCACAGAAGGTATAGCATGATCACATGTTCCACAGTGACGTGCACATGCAGGATGTATCTGTGCAACACTCACATGACAGTGCATGGATTACATACAACGTAACATGAAATGAACGTCACACCGTGACTGGCTATTCATACAAATCTTTCGTGGCATGTGAAAAGAAGATCCGAGTTGATTTGAAGGTACGGTGTGACGCTTATGTAGGGACACATCTGGTTTCTTCTCCATCCCATTGCCCGTTGGCTTGGCACACACGCTCTTCAGAGCCCAATAGGCCGTAGAATCGTGCGCAGCTGAACCTGGCAACAGCACCGACCCTATTACTGTTCATCTGCACTCCCAGGCCAGGCTGGACGGATTGGAATGGCGGGCATCTCACCTCTACAGAGAGCCAGAAAACATACAACATAAACAGTAAATTGTTGTCTTCGTTCCCCAGAGAACTCACGCGGTGGCCGCTAACACCCGGGATACCACTAACACATGACTGAGGTTAAAGTTCAGGTGGTAATGTATGTATAGTAAGGGATTTGAAAGGTAGTAATCTGACACCACTTTGGTAAAGGTAGTAATCTGACACCACTTTGGTAAAGGTAGTTATCTGACACCACTTTGGTAAAGGTATTTATCTGACACCACTTTGGGTCTCTGAATAGACAACATGGTCCGATGGCAATCATTGTTGTACGGTGCCTTTTACCATTGATATCGTCTCAGTATTGTTTCTTCCATTGACATTTTTATACATTTGAATGTACGGGCTCGCCAAGTACATTCTAGATTAGACAGAGATCAGTTTGGAATAGATGAGAATCAGGCTGTTCTGTGTTGGCGTGCCTCGGCTACTGAACGCTACTACCGTAAAAGCCCCTGTATACGCCCACTCACAATAACGCCTACACGCCCAGTCAGGGGAAGTCAACACTTTTGTTTCAAAATAGCGCCCACGGCCATGTATACGCCCAGGTATGCCGGAAACACCAGTACATGTACAGGTAATGATACCCAATACTTACTGCTATCCCTATTCCAAGTATACGCCCGGTTCCAAAATAACGCCCGTGCTCTTGTATACGCCCAGGAAATCGAGGCTGCTATTCTATACGCCCTGGGTCTATACACAGGCTTTTACGGTACCTCGACTTCATGCAGCTGTCGATGCCACAATTCATCAGTATGAAGTGTTGCTCCTGTGGTGTACTTCACCTATCTACAGTTGTATGGTGTCTCAGTCTGGCAGGACCATTGGGTGGACATGCACGCTCTTTAGGAAACTCGAAACGAACGGCATAATCCAGACAAAGGTTTTCAGCTTCTTTTTTTTTTTTTACCTTGGCGTGGTCGACAAGACTGGCATTCGCAGGCGTCAGCAGCTGGAACAGTTTCGTAACCTTCCTGGCAGGGCGGTAGAAGTTGGCAGTCGATGATCAGTTGGTTGCACCTTGCCTGGCCATTATGGCACTGGCACGAATGGCAGCCTCTATTAGCCATGAGCCAGGAGGAACCCGCAGCATGAGTCTTTCCTAATGTGTCTTGGCAGCCATTGTTGCCTGAAGCCCAAACACAGTACAAAGAAGTACATAATAGAGAACAGGAAGGGGTTAAGGCAAGTTTTTTATTTTTTATTTTTTAAACTCCGTACATGTTTCCACTATCCAATCTTGGTCATCAGTCATTAGCATCCATACGATAGGGCACATATCTGCTCTCTGGTAGAATAGGCAAATGGCAGCTAAAGACCTTTACTCTGCGGTCTTACAACAGGAACTTACGCACACATGTCACATCTTCTCCATCCCACTCTCCGTTAGCCTGGCATGTACGTTCGGCTGACCCTTGAAGTGTGAAACCAGGAAGACATTGGAACCGGGCAGTCGCACCCACTCGCCGACTTGATAGACCCAAACCACCATTGCTAATGGATGTAAACTGAGGGCATTGAAGAGCTGTGAGGAAATTCAGAAACAAACACAGTTTGTATATTGGAAATCACGCAAGTATTCTAACTACAGTCTGATGCAGTGCAGTGGGTTGTTTTTCATCGATATGTAGAATTGCAAACTAATGTCGAGGCAAAATATAGTCATTGAAGATCTTCAAAATTGCCGGGCCTGCATTAAGAGGCTGTCTGAGCATTTTTAAATAATTATTCTTTTTTTTGCACAGGGTTGACTGTAATAATGGCAGCATGTGCAGCTCTCTATGGACTATACATAAGAGGATTGACTAAACATAAACATGATATTGACATGAACACATGTTCTGGGGAGGAGTAGAAATTTTCGGATTGACGGTGATGCTGGAGTTACATGCAAGAATGAAGTGCAATGCAAAGCTATCCACGCTGAAACACACACACGCACACGTGTTGGCATAGTAGCCGGCACTGGGCCGGTTCACGTGTTCCTATACATGTACAATGTACATACTGTCATTTTACAGTATACAAGTAGTCCGTCAACATACTCCGGTAGTGCCGGGGTGCATGCACTGAATATCAACATACTCCGGTAGTGCCGGGGTGCATGCACTGAATATCAACATACTCCAGTAGTGGGGTACATGCACTGAATATCAACATACTCCAGTAGTGGGGTGCATGTGCTGAGTTTTGACCGGTTGATGTTTAGGCAGGCAGGCTAGTGGGATGGTTTTTGGTCTTTTACCACTTTGCTGGTGGGCCGATCTAGTCAACTGCCACTGCTTTAGGAGCTGCATTAAATTGTGATTTTTGCAGCATCCTATTACAGTGGCATTCCAACGGATGCTGAAAACTCAGTCTAACTCAGTGAGTCTGAAGCGAACCATGAATGGTTTTAGGTCTTACACGGAGGTCGACTTATAGCCAGTAAAATACAGTATGTACATGCGGTGTAATCACATACTAGTACCTTCTTTTGGGCGGCATGTGAAACATACACAGGAGTTGGCAGGAGGCACACGGTCAAAGTCTTCCGAGCATGGCGGTGAAAAGGCGCAATCAAGCGCTATACGAGCACATCGAACTGCGCCAAGCTGACAATAGCATTCCTGACATCCCGTAAAACCAGACGCCACCATCCAACTAGAGCCCTCAGCATGTCTCTCTCCAGATTCATCCACACAAACAGTTTCTGTAGAACCTGATAATAGAACACCATACAGACCAATATCAGTTTCAAATCAGTCCGAAAATGATGAATAATAGCGGGGTAGTAAAACCTCGGTCAAGGTGATTACTCTGAGAAGCCGACTATCTGTCCAGAGGATCACTACAACCAAGACTGAGGCAAGTCATATCCAGTCAAATGACCCTGGATAACAAGACCACCCGTACATAAAGGCAACATTTGTATGGTCCTTTGTGCAGCCGGCTTAGGCACTCTTCGCCGCACCTCATTGGGAGGACCTGAAACTAATATTACATTAGATGGATTAGAGAATGGTACATTATCCTTATATTATGCTTCCGTAGCGGGAACTTACGCACACAAGTTGCGTCTTCTCCATCCCATTCTCCGTTAGCCTGGCATGTACGTTCGGCTGACCCTTGCAGTGTGAAACCAAGAAGACATTGGAACCGGGCAGTCGCACCCACTCGTCGGCTTGTTAAAGTCAAACCGCCGTTTGCAATGCGTGTGAACTGAGGGCATTGGAGAGCTGTGAGGAAATTCAGAAACAAACACAGTTTGTATATTGGAAATCACACTAAAGTATTCTAACTACAGTCTGATGCAGTGCAGTGGGTTGTTTTTCATCGATATGTAGAATTGCAAACTAATGTCGAGGCAAAATATAGTCATTGAAGATCGTCAAAATCGCCTGGCCTGCATTAAGAGGCTGTCTGAGCATTTTTAAATTCTTTTTTTTGCACAGGGTTGACTATAATAATGGCAGCATGTGCAGCTCTCTATGGACTATACATAAAAGGATTGACTAAACATAAACATGATATTGACATGAACACATGTTCTGGGGAGGAGTAGAAATTTTCGGATTGACGGTGATGCTGGAGTTACATGCAAGAATGAAGTGCAATACAAAGCTATCCATGCTGAAACACACACACACACACACACACACACGCACACGTGTTGGCATAGTAGCCGGCACTGGGCCAGTTCACGTGTTCCTATACATGTACAATGTACATACTGTCATACTAGTATTCAGACCAGTGCATGTACTTGATGCTGTAAAAGCCATTATTCTAACGAGGCGCATATAGCGATTCCCAAAATTGACTAGTTTACGTGTACCAAAGGTAACGATTCTTACCCATTCTCAACGCTCAATAGGACAGTATATGTATCGATTTCTGCATAACGATTTCTATTTTAACGACAGCTTTCTCGTCGTTAACTTGTTAGAGTTAGCACTTCGTTATATATTATGGCTTTTACAGTATACAAGTAATCCGTCAACATACTCCAGTAGTGGGGTGCATGTGCTGAATATCAACATACTCCGGTAGTGGGGTGCATGTGCCAGTGAGTTTTCACCGGTCCATGTTTAGGCAGGCAGGCTAGTGGGAGATGGTTTTTGGTTTTTTACCACTTTGCTGGTGGGCCGATCTAGTCAACTGCCACTGTTTTGATCTTTGCAGGGTCCTATTACAGTGGCATTCCAACGGATGCTGAAAACTCAGTCTAACTCAGTGAGTCTGAAGCGAACCATGAATGGTTTTAGGTCTTACACGGAGGCCGACTTATAGCCAGTAAAATACAGTATGTACATGCGGTGTAATCTCATACTAGTACCTTCTTTTGGGCGGCATGTGAAACATACACAGGAGTTGGCAGGAGGAACACGGTCAAAGTCTTCCGAGCATGGCGGTGAAAAGTGGCAATCAAGCGCTATACGAGCACATCGAGCTGCGCCAAGCTGACAATAGCATTGCTGACATCCCGTAAAACCAGACGCCGCCGTCCAACTAGAGCCCTCGGCATGTCTCTCTCCAGATTCATCCACACAAACAGTTTCTGTAGAATCTGATAATAGAACACCATACAGACCAATATCAGTTTCAAATGTCCGAAAATGATGAATAATAGCGGGGTAGTAAAACCTCGGTCAAGGTGATTACTCTGAGAAGCCGACTATCTGTCCAGAGGATCACTACAACCAAGACTGAGGCAAGTCATATCCAGTCAAATGACCCTGGATAACAAGACCACCCGTACATAAAGGCAACATTTGTATGGTCCTTTGTGCAGCCGGCTTAGGCACTCTTCGCCGCACCTCATTGGGAGGACCTGAAACTAATATTACATTAGATGGATTAGAGGATGGTACATTATCCTTATATTATGCTTCCGTAACGGGAACTTACGCACACAAGTTGCGTCTTCTCCATCCCATTCTCCGTTAGCCTGGCATGTACGTTCGGCTGACCCTTGAAGTGTGAAACCAGGAAGACATCGGAACCGGGCAGTCGCACCCACTCGTCGACTGCTTAGAGTCAAACCACCATTTGCAATCGGTGTAAACTGAGGGCACTGGACAACTGGGACAAAATCAAGAAACAGACACAGTTTGTATTCTGGCAATCAAAGCCCAGTTCAGCGTAGTCTGACGGCATTCTAATCTAAACTGTCTAACCCAGTGCAGTGGGTAGTAGGTTTTAGCTGATCATTTGAATTGCAAACGAAAGGTAGGGCAAAATAATTGCATTCGGATTTAGGATTGCCCCACCTGGTCCACCGTTAGATTTGTTTCAGATTTTGCACATGATTGACTCTACAGTAACATGATCAATATCTACATGAAGACACATTTTTTTGTTTTTTTTTGGGGGGGGGGGGTGGTCAAAGCGGAAACACACAAGTATTTATAGTAACACTTGGGCCGGTTCATATGTTCTGGGATATACGGTGCACATACATATTGGCATTCTGACCTGTGTATTGACAAACAGACCACCAGCACAGCATACGTGTATGCACCGGCAAGCGTTTTTTCACATACCTTCCTTTGGGCGGCATGTGAAACATACACAGGAGTTGGCAGGAGGCACATAATCAAAGTCTTCCGAGCATGGCGGTGAAAAGTGGCAATCAAGCGCCAGATCAGCACATCGAACTGTACCAAGCTGCGGCTGACAATAGCATTGCTGACATCCCGTAAAACCGGAGGCTACCATCCAACTAGAGCCCTCGGTTCGTCTCTTTCCAGATTCATCCACACAACCAGTTTCTGCAGATAATGAAGCACACACATGTTGCACTCCGCATGATTATCCATCCCATCCAATCCAATCATCCACTCTGACCAAGATAATAATGATTTACATCCACTAGTCGTGGAAGCCGTAATGCAACTAGAACCCTGAGAACGGATTAACGAAGTTCGGCTTCATTTGCAGAACTACCTTGCGATACTTCAGAGATCAAATGCACACTAGACTGAACAAAATATATATTTTCCAAGGTCGGCTTAGGTTTGTCGCGGCATTGGAATCATTCCCTCTTCATGCATCCAGCTAGCCACTCTCTCCTGTCCTCACTCACTCATCCACTCACTAGCCCTCTTGCTCAATGCTCCATCGCTTAATTCCTCACCCACTGGCTCTCTCTGCACATTAAAATCCCCAGCCTACCAATTGATTCAACTTACCTTCTGGTACACATTGTGCTGGCTGGCCGCTCCACTGACCGTTCTGTTGACACGTGCGCTGTTGTGATCCTGTGAGTCGGTAGCCAGGCAGACAACTGTACCGAATAGTGACTCCCAATTGGTTAGCTCCATCTGGATTCTCACTCGACACTCCTGATCCTGTTCCGCCGTGTCCTCCATTTTCAATCCCTGGTGCAGGCCCGCATTGAACTGGTGGACAAAGTGAAGAGAAGCAGTTTATAGATATTGTCATTCAGAATGAAGCGGATCAATATTCATATTTACAACATGTTCTCTTACCAAACATTTGTGAAGTGGTTTTGCTGGAAGAGCTTTCAGTACACATATCTGCACCATAGTAATTATTTTGGTATGCTGTGTTTGTGGCTGCTTTCAGAGCTTTCGGGCAATCACAATATGACATGAGCTTACTCACAAGTCCTTTTCTGCTGCGGAATAGTTACTCACCTATAGTGGGCACACATTGTGCTGGCTGGCCGCTCCACTGACCATTCTGTTGACACGTGCGCTGTTGTGATCCAATCAGTCGGTAACCAGGCAGACAACTGTACCGAATGGTGACTCCCAATTGGTTAGCTCCATCTGGATTTTCACTTGATACTCCTGATCCTGTTCCGCGGTGACCACCATTTTCAATCCCTGGTGCAGGCCCGCATTGAACTGGTGGACAAAGTGAAGAGAAGCAGTTTATAGATATTGTCATTCAGAATGAAGCGGACCAATATTCATATTTACATGTTCTCTTATCAAACATTTGTGAAGTAGTTTTGCTGGAAGAGCTTTCAGTACACAGATCTGCACCATAGTAATTATTTTGGTATGCTGTGTTTGTGGCTGCTTTCGGAGCATTCGGCCCTATTTCGGGCAATCACAATATGACATGAGTTTACTCACAAGTCCTTTTCTGCTGCGGAATAGTTACTCACCTATAGCGGGCACACACCGTGCTGGCTGGCCGCTCCACTGACCATTCTGTTGACACGTGCGCTGTTGGGATCCAAAGAGTCGGTAGCCAGGCAGACAACTGTACTGAATGGTGACTCCCAATTGGTTAGCTCCATCTGGATTCTCGCTTGACACTCCTGGACCTGTTCCACGGTGTCCTCCATTCTCAATACCGGGTGCAGGTCCACATTGCACTGGTTATAGTGAATAGGAAGAGAACACAGGGCTGATGTGGCTCAAATGCCTATAACATGCAGTCACTGTTCAACCAAGACCAGCGCTACTAGACCAGCAGTTGAACCGACATGTTACTGGATCATATTTCAACTGGGTCCTCAAGATTAATCCATTCGCGGAATAGCGAAGGATGGACATCCTGCGTATGGTTTAAACAAGAAGGGGGGGGGGGGGGGGGGAGGGGGAGAGGGGAATGCTCATTGTCAACATTCTCAATTCTGGTCTGCAATCTCTGCATAGCCATGACACTCTTCCCTGGGTACATTAGTTCTATTTAGTATGGGCACAGCACTGTGCTATGGGCACATTGCTATTTCACATGATAAGCAGCGATATTATGCCTTATCCATTATCTGACAATCGACTTGAAGCCTATTGGTTACCTGCAATGGGTTCACAACGAGGACTCTCTCCGCTCCACTGCCCGTTCTGCTGACATGTACGGTACGATTGCCCAACGAGCCGGTATCCACCGTTGCATCGGTACTGTGCTCTCAATCCCAAGTGTCCAGCTCCATTGGGATTAGCGCTCGATACCCCTGAGCCGGTTCCCTGGACGATTCCATTCTCAATTCCCGGTGGAGTACTGCATGTTACTAAAAATTTAATATTATACAAAGACATACAGAGAGAGAGAGAGAAGTTACAAAATGGTACTGGGTGACTCACTGGACAAAATTAGCATGCAAGCTGTCACCAATATTAGTATCGGGAAATGCATGTACATGATTGTACTTCAAAGTAGAACACTGCCACGCCACAAATACATCGGATATTTTATTATTGTACAGTTGACAAGACAGTATCTTACGCACTGAATACGTGTCGCTGTAGACCACTGCTCAGCACTTGACTAGTGTCGTAGTGATGCTACAATAACAGTGTTCTGTTCTATCACGGTATGGAAATGTACATGTGCATGGCAATGATGAATGCTGATCCCCAATAAGGCATGCATGCATACAGACTGAGCACTCCAATCGTTACCCTGCATCACCATGGAAACACACCGACTGCATGCATTTACAATGGCTACCTACACACATCTTCGTCACATGGTCTAGAGCTATGGTGGCTGGCCAGCCAAACAGAATGTTGAGTTGTATATCGTCGCTGACCGAGCAGGTATCGAGCAGGTAGGAGCAGGCAGCAGCAGGAATTTTAGTATCGGACGACAAAGGACGAGCACGGTGCAAGAAACAATAGTCACACGCATTTACCTTTACGCCTGCAGTATGGAGCTGCATCACTCCATTGTCCAGTGGTAGTGCAGGTCAGAATGTGATTTCCATACAGCGCATACCCTGTGTTACATGAGAACGCTGCTCTGCCGTTCACGTATGGCCAGCGCGAGCGCACTGCACCGTTTGCTGGAGCAGAGAGTGTACTACAGCGTATGCCTGCACAAGCAAAATGTGGATGTAATTATCATTACTTTTTCATGATCAAATCAGCCAAAACAGATGTAGTGATGCTTTAAGAAGTGTGACACTGACAGTAGCCGTTTGTCACTTGCACTATGGCTTATTCACAGCTCCCTTTAGTTTTAGTAGTCAGTATTAGTAGTGTGTGTGTGGGGGGGGGGGGGGGGAGGGGGTTGGGCAGCCTCATGGCCAAGCACTTCTACAATCGCCAGCCCTGTCAGTGTACATGTGATGTCACAGGGGCTGTGAAGAGCATTGGGTCCGTGTGAGGACGTACAGTAGTGCAGCTGCTGATGTGTACAATCATGTGGTTGCCTTATGATCGTAGGAATACGTGAAACTCAGTGTTGTGACAAAGCTTCCAATCTCTCTTGTGTACAATCATGTACATGTAGATCTAAACATGACAATAGACTTGTACTTACGTTGATCGCAGAGCTCTCCAGTCACTCCTGGGAAGCATAGGCACTTGGCCTCGCCTAGACTGCCAAGGTAGCACTGGCCAAGACGACAAGGACTATCAAAGCAAGGATCTACAGTGGCATGGGGAAGTGCACCAAAGGAACAGAAAACACACGAACCAATCTTAACCATCGTTTGGGTTGAATTTTCATATCGGTTCAGGTCATCACTGACTCATCAGTCTTCCATGTCCGGAAGAGTTTGGACTGACTGTGAGCAACCATGCAACTCTCCCCGACTGGGGCATGATCTGATGAACAAGACGTGCAGCAAACTTCACTTTTTCCATAGACCATAAATGTCTTGCTAGCGGCAGAGCCTCAGTACTCGTCCGGCCTTAGCGTCTCAACCGCACTTCACACAATATGAACCAAACGAGTAGCGAGGAAGATGAGAAACCAGAAATGAAGTGCAGAGAAGCCACGTGGCATGTAGATCTGTTGTAAAAGTGGAAGAGTCGATCAAAGGACCGAACCATAACACGAATCCTAAAGCACGTCAGTCTAAGGGGTTTGCTTACCGCTAACCCCTGCCTGGGCACTGGAGGCGAGCGCCAGGGTGGCGATGGCCAAGACAAGCGTGGTGATCATGCCGCCACTCTCGCTGATATTGGTATAACTGCGTGCTGCCGTCGTTGTTAGCGCTATGGTGCACGGATGTGGTGAGGCTCGTCAGTTTGGGCTAAAAAAGAGGTGAACAGACAGAGAGAGGTACACGAAGGCATATCGGCATTGACAGAAAGCCTGACCAGTTGCTTGCCCTTCTTTCCGTACTCGGATCGGTTTCGGAAACATTACTATAGTCTACAGTACTACGGTATTGGAGTGGTCTTCAAACGACAATTATACAATGTAGATCAAGAGGGCTCACCACCTGGCCTTCAAGTCAAGGACAAAAGGATCTGCCGTAATGGGGGGGGGGGGGGGGGGGGAAGCTACGTAGATCTACGCAGCGAATACAATGTCATGCATTCAACATACGTGTACAAAAACAGTAGGTCTATTCCCAAGGATCTAGAACTGAGTCGGTGGTTTCTGGTCGTCTGAAAAAACTCCGACAGAATCGGGTTCATCCACAACAAAGCATGCGTGTAGATAGTTAGATTACGAGTGGGCATCACAATTCACATAACAGACATGCACGGTCTACCTGGTCTATCGTGGTCTACCTGGTCTATCATGGACTACACGAGCGCTCAGCGAGCACACCACCTAGCTTGTTGTAAGTGGTACCAGGACCTGGTATAGCTACAACCAGTTTGGACTAATATCTTTGTTATCGTTCAACTGTTCGAGAAGAACACTTACCTCACAAATGTTGACCTAGGTTGGGAAAGGTTTCGAAGCTAGCTGGTTGGTGATCGTCGATTTCTGATCTATACGACGCATGTTCCTCTCCTTTTATACGATAATCCACTGCCATAGGAGATGGTATTCGTGTGATGAAGGCCAACGGCAATGTGGATATGGGAAGGATCGGACACAATTGAAGAAAGGGGCTGGAAGCAGAAGCCAACAGGTCAGCTACAGATTACAATTTAGTTGGGTTCAAAATGGCACTCCCTCCGCTCCGTGGTGCCATGAGGGCATGTCGAAGGAGGAGATAGAAACTTATTGGCGTCATGTCTTTGTCAGAGAATTGACCGGCGTTGTGTTCATTGCGGTCGCTCAGGTTACCCAACGTGCCTTTGAAGCACCGCGTTCAGCTCGCAGAGCTAAAACCTGGGCCCACCACAAGTGTTCTTTCACTATGTGGTTGGGCTGTATAGACGCTTTAGGTCAGAGCAGGGTGCTGCCTACGCGCAGTAGAAGAAGATGCACCCGGCGCCAGTACTGGCAGTAGTTGGCAGTACTGGTAACATGTGTGTGTGGTGGCTCGGGTTGAAGTGTGAGAGCGTAATAGTAATACGAGCATACCGACTAGGTAGTAGATCTACCATCCTTGCAAACATCACTTTCATGCCCATCCACTATCATGACCCCTACTAAATACACGCACAGACGCGCACGTATACACGGGTCGTAGTTGCACTTGCAAACAGTACACCATGTGGATGTGTTGCAAACACTGGCAGAGTTTGAGGTTCAAAATTCGTGCACGGTCAGTGCAGGCGGTTCAGTCATTGAATTTTGTTCTGTCATTGTGACATTGATAGCATAACACTACATAAAACAGCTGCAGATCCTTGACTGAGCTGTCAATTATGTGTAGATTTGGCATAATGCTGTCTGCCGATGCTGGCGTCGAGCTGGCTGCACAGCGGACAGATAGGCATGACATTCAACCCACTGCCAAAATAGTAGCTTGGAACTGACATGTACTGAACCGCCAGTCCGCCTTCCTATACTCGGACAGACTGCAGATGCCATGTTCGTATAAGTTGACAGCTGAGCACATCTCCCGGTTGATCCAAGCAAAAGACAAGAAAGGTGTCACGCGTGTAAATACTGTGGGTAGCTGGTCTACACAACAGGTACTTTTCTTCGCGTCCAATTCGTCGCCAAATGCAGCTCCCATCTCCCAAAACCTCTTTATGGGCATACGTATGAAGACAGAAAACAGGTCGTGCTCCAAGAAATACACTGTATAGCATAATAGCACACAAGCAGAAGAAGATAAGACTCCGCACCTCATGATCATAATAGTTCATAGACTCAGCAATGATCTGATAGTGCTGAGGTGCAAAGTGCTCGCACGTGTTGGTGTCGATTCAACAGCAGCTGCATAATCGTGATTTACTCACACGCATACGCATACGCACACACACACGCGCGCACGCACACACACTCACACACACACACACACACACACACACACACACACACACACACACACACACACACACACACACACACTCTCTCTCTCTCTCTCTCTCTCACACACACACAGACCATGATTTCAATGATCGCTTTTCAAGGAGTATTCTCAGAGGTAGTAATTTGATAGTGTCCTCGGTGGGAGGGGAGGGGGGGGGGGGGGGGGCAATGTTGAGCATAATAATAATTATCACTTCAATATATTTGGAGATAAGACAGACGCTAATTACATCTGAAAAAGCAACAGCCTGAGTTTGCCAACTCTCACTCTATGTCGTGCTAGCCAACGGTCTATGCTTCGGGATGTTGTAATAGAGAACGTTGTCGATTTCATCACCATGAAAGAGGTTTTGTTTTAGAAACCTTTTCTGCCCTTTGTCACTTCAGTAATGGCATAACAGTCTTATCAGGAGATGGCGCAAGCTCGCACGACGCCTGCCTGTCTTCCTTGATCACAGCCGTGACGCTTACTTCTTTTTGAAGTACAAGTTAGTTAGCGGTAAATACTAACAGGACGAATCGCTTTGATTCTCTCCAAGACGCCAACAATGTGTGAAACTGAAGATATAACTTTATTGACATTCAGTTTCACACGTTGTTGTCACCGCAGTCTGTTACGATCTCCCTGCATAGCAATAGTACCCTGCAGGGAGATCGTAACAGACTGCAGTGTCCTATGCGCATGGAGACAAGAGTACATAAACCGGTTTTTTTATGTACTCTTGATGGAGATCAAAGCAGTGCACGATGCACTGACTGTGATCGGTTCGTCAACGCCTGGATAATGGATACTCTATCAGCATGAAGGTAAGGTATCGACTATCGGGCAGAGCACTAAAAGTCGTCCGTGATTTCCAGGACGTGCAAGTACAAAGGGAACCTTCACACGCAGCCAGTGTGGCTTCGTTTATACTGTTGCATAACGAATGCGGCGATCGCCAATCAACAGGGGTAGTACTGGTAGCACCGCCAGGACTGTATTATTTTAGTAACAGTCATGATGAAGACGAAGTGTGAATGCTTGCGGTCGCTTTGCTACGTTTCCTTTGAGAATACCGCCAAAGACGAGCTGAAATCTGGGACCTTGACACAGAGTGTGCTAGTAGTAGTAGCAATGATACGCTGCGAATGGGAGTCACAGGTGATGCTAGTGAGGCGTAACGAACTCATGACCGTGATTAGATTCTCGAACCACAACGTACTTGTTGCTTTCCCGGAGCTTAAACTCAACTTCAACTTGAGGCTATCCGTTACACCGCCGTCCAGAACATATCAGCCAAACCAACGAGCCGAATGGACATAAAGAAAAAGGGACGGTATACCATAAAGACCCGTTTTAATGCTGTCTACTTCTAGTGCCTAGAATAGATGCGTGTCACTCGCTACTCTATGGATCTAGTCAGTGCTGGAAGACAATATCTTTCTGTGCATGGCTGGCAGAATTTAATCAGTCCCCAATCAGCCAATGCAGCTTGTTCCTCAACTGCAGTTTATCGGAAAAATGCATCTTTCTACAAGTAGGTTTCGTCTAGCTATCAGGTAAACTACTTATCAGAGGTTCTGATTCCAGCGTGCCCAGCACAAAAACACCCCAGACACTGGCACTCGTCAGTATCTCCATTTCGACTGGGAAGCACACTCATTTAGTCAAATAGACCATACCGGTAATACAATTGCAGGTATCATGTGATGGGTCAACTTGCAGATCATTGTCATCGAGTCATGTGTGACATTGCAAGTATAGTGCTGCTCATTGAAATTCGTTTTTTTGGCCTGAACCTTCTCTCAGCAGTGCATAGGGGGCTTGTGGTTGCCCCCCAACTCGCCCCAACGCGGATTTGACACGTATTTGGCGCAACATTCTGCGTATAGACTGCTTCATTGTGGCTTTCACTGCAACATTCATTGTTTCACTTACCTGACGATGGCCAAGTGCCAAAACATTGTAAGTTACTGGAATGCGTTCGGATTTGCAGTGCTTTTGGGAAAAGGTGTGTCCACCCAGGATTTTCTTTCCAGAAAAGGAGGTTCGAAAAAGAGGCCCATGAAAATTGCTTGCCTCTTCAGCATAGTCTCTAATTCACGGGTTTCCAAGATCCATGTGCACGTCTCCCAACCTAAATCAACGCAGCTCAGCATCTCTGACACACAATTTGTGACAAACTCTTATTTTCTAGTTCAAAATCAGTACAGTCATATCAGCCTAAATTATCTGATTCACATACCCTCATGTTCAGTCATAATACATGTATGTGAATCCAGATAATTTGATTTGGCATTGCATTCCAACAATTCTTTCTCATTTTTTCTCCCAACCCTCCTTCCCTGTAACACAATAACATATCCGCTGCCTTGTAATTGAGCATTTGTGCTCGTTCGGATTTGCGAATTCAAATACAGTATACAAAAAAACAAAAAAACAATCAAAGAGAGATGTGATATGCGGGTCTCAAGAGTATATCCAAATCAGCGCATGAAGTATAGCTAGCGCAAGAACGCATTGTTAGTTGGTATTTGCAGCTGTTTCTGCTGCATGCTTCGACCAGAGTGCCGTGTGCTCTTTCTGCATGGTGCTGACAGCAGCAGTGAAGTTCGTCATCAACGCCGATAAGTCTGCGGTATCTGCATGTCAGAATGCAGGGACACAACAATGCACACAGACGCGCTGATCGGTACGGGAACATGCTACGGCATGGTTTAGCATAGAGGGATACAGACTTATGAACAGTACAACACTGACCAGTTGCACACCACTTACACCCACTTCTCTCCGCACATGTTGTGACTGTAGATTCTACACACTGTAGGTTGATGCTCGGCTCCGGATGACTCAATAACGTTATGCACGTACCTGATGAGCCTGCTGCTTGCAGTGTGTCAAGACCTTCGGAAAGCTGTTTAGCAAATGTACAATAAGGAGAGTGGGTGAGCAATTAGGGTGAGAAGAGACACAAGCATTGACATTGTCTTTGAAAACAATGTTTTCAGCTCATTGGAATTTGACTGGAGAATTATTAGAAAGTGCACTATAATAGGACAACCCTAAGCACTTTCATTTTCCAGCTGTTGGGAAGAGACAAGGTATCCGCGGTGGAGGTCTTGCAACCATACTTAGCCCCCCGGGGCATTCACCCTCCCCCCTCCCTAGCCCCTACAGAGAGTCAGTACAATGGAACCTGTCGCAAAGGATACCCGGGAATTGAGGATACCTATCAGCAATCCCCTGGTGGTACAAATGTGCACGCATGGACTAGCTCCTTGACTGTCCGTATTTCTCAGGTTCCCTGCCGTACTTCAGTTATTAAATTAGCGACCTCAGTGCCCATGTCACATACAGTACATCTAACCAATGGATCGATATCCACAAGCACACACCACATGTAGTAGTGCCTAAGCATATAGTCAATTCGCCACTGGTCCCTAGCCACATACCAAGCTACTTACCACATTAGCGTTATCCTTGAAAGTGCTGACAAAGGTGCGAAGGCTTTCTTCGGATGGCACAGTTTTCAGAGTCTCGTATGCTTCCAAGACGACTGCATCATGAGCACACAAGACGGTGAGGGAGGTGAAAGGGAAGCACAAGATCAAATGCAATCCCGGTACAGAACCTGGCAAATATGAACATCACCCATGCAAAGACAGACACTCTACCAGTGTTCCAGAATTTTTGAGTGCAGCTCATACACATTTCGTCCCATTGCTGACTGACTGCCAGCAATCCAGTCCAGGTGAGTTGCGATGCTTTCATTCCATTGAGCAGCTATCATGTGCAAGTGTTGACCCTTGGCTAGTGAGTATTGTTACACATACCTGTCAGTGAAACACCAAGAGAAGCTGATAGCTGGTCTTCATATGCTACAAGCAGATCCCTGCAGTGCCGCATTCATCATGAGAGGGAGACAGAAGAGGCAGGAAAGGAGTCAGCAAATTCTCACATAAACTACCAGAACAAACACAATACTTTTGATATGCTTGCATACTGGACAGTGATGGTCATGTTCAAATGCACACAATACTGTGCCCATCCTCTGAGGGCTTGGTAACACTAGGCAATGTGTCTATTAGCATCAATAACCAAAGTCGTCACCATGATTATGAGCTCGTATAATATCACTGACTGCAATGTAATCTGAGACCCCACACACACGTACACACTGCAGGCTATGATCACAAACAGCTGTTTTATACCTTATCTTATCAAGATATGCGTACACATAGTCATTGTTCAACTCCTGACAACGCTGATAGAACTGCAGTTCCGAATGAGTGCCACTGACCTGCGCAATTCAGCGAGGAAAGAATACAAAAGAATCATGATGATATACGGCTCATCGGTGCGCTATAGTAAACATATCTAGGTGCATTGGCAAACCACTTTTATCATAGGTATGTATTGTCTCAGCACACGAAGCATTATTATTCCACAATCACGATGACATAGTGCCAATAAACATGTGATGCGGGCGATTTTAACCAGCCATGGTGGGGAAAACTGAGAAAAAGAAGGAGGAAAAAGAACAATGAAACCAAAACAAAAGGAGTACTAACTACCGTCATCAATCCAACTTAGGTAAGCGCGTGCAGAGAACAAAATGCAGCATAGGTGTCACGATATAGAAACTATATGGCTTCTGAGCTGCGTGTGCTGACTTGTTTCCCTCCAACCAAGAATCTATTATGTATTGTCTACATGACTGCACATGCCCCCCCCCCCCTCCATTATATAAATTTCCAAAGCTGGATGTACACGACAAAGCCTCATCTCAAAACTAATCCGAGGCTCGGGCAAACAGAGGGAGTAAACATACTTCCTGGTCTTTCATTGCCAGCGTATACTTGACGGCTTTCACAAGTGCATCAAGATGACTGCATAGCTGGACACAGACACACACACACATACGCAGGTACGTGCACACACAACATACACACACAAACACATGCAAATATACCCACGTACACACACATGGGAAGTTGCGAACACATACAATCACACACAGCATTAACCCAAATCAAGTTAACGTACTTTTAACAGATAATTCGAAGTAGGTCAACAGGAAGGTATCAACACATCGTGTTTAGAGGTGAGGGTTGGCTTGAAATCAAATTTTTGTTACCTGTAGTCGTCTGGATGCTGAGTTGAATTGGCAGCCTCTTGAGACCAGCACTATTTGATTCAACATCCAGGAGACTACGGGTTCTAAGAGTGTCATCACTGGCCAACCTCCCATAAGAAAAGAGGGAATCTTGCCTTCCAGTGAAACGTTCTGTTAAATTGCCAAACTAGCAGGGTTCACTCTTCCCACTGCGGTGTAAGTGCAACTGAATCCCGAGGCTGATTGGAAAACAGGACCAACTGGGCATTACAGCCGTAAGTAACGGTTAGTTCCTCAGACCAACACCATTCGACCCAGAGGACACATAGTACGTGTAGTGCCATTTTGATATTAGCCTGCTCTTCCCCTTTACCTTGCATTTCCCAGGATGCAGGTACATGCACCATGGCCGGTTAGCCCAAGGCTGGAACTCTGCAATCATACATACCTCTTTTCTGTTGCGCATGTTGGGTGGTAACTGCGCCAGTATAGCTTCGTTTGACCAGTCCTCTATTGGCAACTCTTGCCGATCTAGCGCCGCCTGTGAGAGTATGATGGAGATGTCATCAGCAGACGCAAGGAATATATCAGCGGTACACTACACAGCTTCCAGCTTCTCTTTTGCCATAAACAGGACCAGATCACTCTAAACAATGCTCTACATGATTGTAGTCATTAGAATCCTCTTCATTGGTTCTAATGATCATTTGTATACAATTCAAGGTAGATTTATGACCAGGTTCAATAAATGTTTGCATGCACACAGTAGCCAATTATCACGTCGCTGCTGGGCATGACATTAAATACCATGTACGGATAGTGTTATAAGCACACAGACACACTCGTATACACACACACACACACACACGTTTCCACTACAAATACGGGGACATGGACTCACGAAAGGTGCGGCAGGCACCAGAAGGCAGAGCTCCAGGAGATGCTTGCATACCACGTCCAAGCGAGAGCATGCCGTGTTCAAATGCTCCACGGCATGTGTATGAACAAATGGAGAGGCCAGTGCCATAGTATGGCGGTGCCCTCCATCCACCATGCACTTCCTGCCTTGGTTACCGCTGGACACCAAATCAGGGGTAGGTTCCAATGTGGTGTCAAGTTTAAAATTGCTGTGCGGCTGGGCAGTTTCGTCATTAAGAAGCCGTGGACTCGGTGCAGATCCACCCTTTGCTCTTGCAGATCGGGCCCTGCCGAGCCGTTCTAAAGTCTGACAGCCTTGTGGTGTTGGCTGTGGAAGCAGTAAGGATGCTGATGATGAAGATTGCAGTTGAGTTGCTGGTGGTGTTTCCTGACAGTGTATGCAAGGCACCGTGTAAGTTGTCTGCAGCGAGATGAGTAACTGTTGCAAGTGGCCATACAACTGGTAGAGCTCACCTTCTAGATGACCCTGAAGTCAATAGAACAATTGCAGCAATTGAATATAGTCACCAAGATGTATGGTCCACCGTGATTAAAAAGCTATCCTTAACTTCTTCCATGTTTGCACGACACCAGTCACATTTACCTTTGGTAAACAGCTTCTACGACAGACTCAACTACATAGACTTAGACCCGTTGGATATTTTTTCAAGTACTTGGTAACCCCATGCCATAATACACTGTCCAATCCTCATTTTCTCTGTGCTGCGCTGATGAGTCCACAAAGGACGAAACAGCATGCTGTCCACAGATGGAGTAATGTCCAGTTACTCGTGTCTAAGCACTGTTTAGAGAACCATGGGCTGTGTAGCTGTGTGTAGCGGTTATAGTGCTACAGTACATACCACGTGCCTGAGGTTGAGGTGCTGTAAGGACCCGCTACACACATCAATAATGCGTGGCTGAACAAAGTTGCTGTTGCTGCTGGCCTTGGAATTGGAACGTTGGGTCTTATCGCTGCCATCATTGCCATCTCTGCAGATGTCTACATGCGCACTGCGGTGCTTGGCCACACTGTTAGGTCTATGGGTAGACTTTGAGCCTTTCAGGAAGGGACTCATGAATACCAGAGCATTTTCTAGTTCCGGTGTTGTGCCCATCTGCAACGACCAGAAATCACAGAGGAATGCAATAAACTGTTGATAGATATGTTGAAACGGTATCCATTAGCCCTTTGATTATGCACCCAGACACTTGTTACTATCAGCTGATAGAACCGTCAGGCGAAATAGCACGTCATAGTACATTCGAGATCAGCGGGAAGAAGATGACGACGTCCACTAATTTAGTATCTGTGCACACAAATCTGCTGTGTGTGTTACTCTGTGTGTCAGCTATGGCATCATCGCCTGTGGTTCCATGCCTAGCATGTACGTCTGAGCCATCCTGCAAAGTTTGAATGACGTAGGTTGAGCGATCGCTCCACGAAACATACTTTTTGAAATTCTCTTCATAGTATATCTTCCACCATTGAAATTTCGAATTTCTTCGAATTTTTTGCTGAGAGGGGTGGCTTACAACCTCGATATGGCTTGTTCCAGGCATGCTTTGGAGCCATCGCCTGTTGAAACAGTGGCGGAAAGCTGCCCTGCAACTGTTCCAACAGGAAATTAATCGATCTGAGAAAGCGCGAGTCCGCGAATCTCGGTTGAATATTGAGTATTTCAAGCCTTTTCACGACGAAGATGGAGTTCTTTTTGGAGATGGACGTCGCGGCAAAGGATATGGTGTCCGACTTCTGGCGTCTGGTGAAGCCAGGGATCATTTGTCCAGTCAGGTCGGCAGCCTAACCATCGGTAAGCTTGTGTTTGGATCCCGTTCTGCTCGATGTGGTAGATCACAAACAATTTGATACCGCACAAATTGATCTCAGCATCGTGCGTACGGTATTTTATATTCAGAAAATCCCAAAGTGTCTCTGTGTGGCCGTCCTATGCCACGAGAAACTCCAATCAGGCTCCTATGTCCTCTGCCTTCATGATTGAATGTCCACTTCGTTTGAACAACGAACACAACAATCGAGGACGGCTTTGCAATGAAAAATACCGGCAGCTATACTGGAGCTGAAAAAAGAAGAAAAAAACGTGCTCAGGATGAGACTCGAGTACACGCATACTCTCCCAGCAGGTGAAACGCAATTTTTTGTGAAAAATGCGTGTCGCCGACTGACTAGTAATTTCGCCTGACGGCAAGTTGTTCTGAACTAATTGCACTCAGTTCATCTTGTACCAAATGACCATACGCTTTGAGTGTTCGTTCGCAACCTACGTTTTCATGCAGTTATCTAAACATTTCTTAATGATCAGTTGAACGATGTCCCACCCTGAAAACTAGTAAACAACTTGCACAAATTCAACTGACCTCAAAGCCTTTGGCAATCCGGGCATGTGTATGGCACACGCTGTGCAGCATGTCGTCAAACTCACGCCGTGGAATGAACACACCTCTTGGCTTGTGACCATCACTGCCATTTCGCGTCGCTGTGCTCACGTTATGACTAGACGCGGCAGCTGATCTGGGTGATGATGATGACGATGAGTCGCTAGTCTTTTTAACACTTTCTGCTTGATAATGACTGACATGGCAACAAAAAAAAAGAACGGACAAGACTTTAAGATTCGCACAGAAGAATAGGCAAAGTGGTGCTTAACAACGTACCTGGTACAACAAACGTGTGTGAAGCCAAAATGGAGGTTTGCACATTGCAAACCGTAGTTAACATTCACGAAACCAACAAGCCAAAGGCGCCATGGCAACCAGTAAACGAACCCGCAAAAATAACAATAATTAGAATAAGAAACAGAAAAAAAAATCAAGTTAGTGTGACAACAAGGATTTCCAGACGGACGGAAATACTCCTGTCATATCGTACAGGAGTATTTCCGTCCGTCTGGAAATCTGCTGTTATCGTCCCGATCTATAAGAAAGGCCAACGCTCTCAGGCTGGCAACTACAGACCAATCTCTCTCCTTCCCGCTGTGTCCAAGGTCTGTGAACGTATTTTCTTTGAGTCTCTGTACTGCCACGTCACCCCAGCGCTTTCACCATCTCAATCCGGTTTCTGCCGTGGAGACTCCACAACTTTCCAACTAACACGTCTAGTACAAGACATCTACACCCAGCGGAACCTCAGGCGGCATGTTGGCATCGTGTTCTTTGACCTAGCGAAAGCTTTCGACACCGTCTGGCATCGTGGTCTGCTTGCAAAGCTAGAGTCCGTCTTCTTGGTACACGGTCCAGCCCTGCAATGGCTCTCATCCTATCTTTCCTGCCGCCACCAGACTGTCAGAGTATCTACCTCCCTATCAGACCCATTACTAGTCGTGTCTGGGGTACCCCAGGGGTCCATACTTGGGCCGCTCCTATTTCTACTGTACGTTAATGACTTGCCAGCCCTTGTACCAAATGTAAGTCTTTTTGCTGACGACACTGCTCTGATGTGCTCCGACAGCTCGGCAGACAACCTCACGGCCTCCATGCAGTCCGGGGTCAACGCTACAGTAACATGGATGGAAACCTGGAAACTGAAGCCTAACCTCGCCAAAACCGAGGCCATGTTCTTCTCTCCCTCGCCCCCCACTCAACTTCTGTATTTTCCTGGTCTAAATAGTACACCTATTAAAGTTGTTAACGAGCACAAGCACCTGGGCGTTATTCTCGACCGCCAACTCTCCTGGTCTCCACAAGTCCAGTCTGTGTGCAAGCGTGCGAGTGCGTCCTTAGGTATGCTACAACCCCACTGCCAACACTTGAATGATAACTGCAGAGAATTGTTCTTTAAGTCGTACATTTTGCCTATATTTGACTATTGCGATATAGCTTGGTGCGGGTTGTCTCAGACTTTACTCCACAGACTGGAGGTACATCAACGCTTGCTTCTGAAAATTCTGTTTCGAAAAGACCAAACATTTGCCTCCCTTTGTCTTTATAAACTTGCTTCCACGCACCCTCTTCTTGCCCGACATCAGCAGCATCTTTGTATCCTTGTGCAAAAAATCTTCCTAGCCCAAGTCCCGAAACATATTGCCAAGTACAACTGGTTTGTTACCACTAGACCAACACGCAATGCCTTATCACTGCCCCGAGCTAGTTCCTCTCTGTTTTTGAAATCCCCTTTCTTCTCAGCATACTCCCTTTGGTCTAACCTGCCTACTAGCATTAAGACATGCCAGGATATCAGGAAATTCACAGTCCAGCTTTCCACACTGTCTCATCCGAAGTGATCCCATGTATTATTAATGTGCCTCCCTTTCTTTTCTCTCCCTATCTCCTTTCCCTCTCTGACAGCATCTTTCTTTTTTTTTCCCTTTTTAGCTTGCCGTGGTTGGCTATCACCTGACCTCTCATGTTTATTGGCAGTCTTCGGACGGGCCAGGAGATGTTGAATAAATAAATAAATAAAATAAATAAGGTTCCCTTTCCGGTGAAAGTGCTGCAACTGAGTGTGTCATTGCTGACCAACAATTTGTTTTCCCCACCCTCCACTCCCACTGTACAAGTATTACTGGTACACATGGAGGCATGTGGGGTTGGCGGTCAATCGCCTGCCCGCAGCTTCGGGCAAACACATGACACCGGGTTGTCATCGCAAAATGCCCCCAGAGGTGGCCGGGCACCGGGTTGCCCAGGGTGACCGCGGCCCACGACTTCAAAATGTTTCTCACCTTATCACTATTCCCTTGTTCCCTGATCATTGCCTTGGAACAGTATCACTTTGCTCTCAGATGTTTCAAAATTTGATTCGAATGATTAATAAATTTCGGGCACATGAAACCCCTCCAAAAAATACCAACCGTGATCCGTTGTTGTGTGGAGTGAATGTTGAAATGGAATTTGTCAGCAGCCATATATTTTGCAAAAAAGACATGTTCCCACACCGGGAATCGAACCCGGGCCGCGGCGGTGAGAGCGCCGAATCCTAACCACTAGACCATATGGGAGCTGCTTATTTTGCATGCTCAGTTTAGTTTTGGAATTCTCGTATCAAACCTCCGGGTACATCGGTTCCCCGACTTCACTGGACATACTGTCAACTACTGCTTCCCATGTATCTTTGGTTGCATGGTACATTTTACTTGAATCATTCTGACTGGTGTTTCTCCATGCACAGGAACATCATCACCCCCAAAAGGGGTCCGGGGGGGGGGGGGGGGGGAGAAAAGTATCAGACCCGGCTACCGAAAAGTGGCCGAAACCTTATGTATATGATAATGGTACCCTCTGTTTCTCAGCCATCATGGTTTTAGACCATCTCACTATGCCTGCCTGTAATCGATAACAGTAGATAGAAGTTCTTGTAAACTGATACAACACACTGCCATTTTGAAAGATTGACATACCTGAGCAGGTTCATAACTTGCTCAATTGTGTTGAAAGTTTCCTGCACCAGACTGGCACGCTTTGACAGTGCCGTTGATAGCAGCAATACCTTGGGGTTGACGAGAACAAGGCATAAACCAATGTATGAATTAGGGCTACAGTCACGTGATTGATTCTTGACCTAGACGACCACAGATCCATAATATTCATTGCTATTGTTATTGGTTGGGGGCATGACATGAGCCTTGTAAAAAAAACTTGCCAATACTGCTGCATTTACGATGCAAACCATTCCGGCACATATTTAACATACAAGCTGCAAGAGTTTCACACGATTCACAGTCTCTGCAGCAATGACACGCTTCGCCTTTCACAATGCGAATGTCCATGTGCAGTGCTGACCTGTCGTTCTAGTTGGAAAATCTGCGCCTTCAATAGGTTGCTACGGCGATAGCCATGAGTCGGGTTGGTATCAGCATTATGATCACTAGCAGACGAAGATGACGCTGATGTCATTGCTTGGTATAATGACCTGTGCAAAAAGAATACGAGGACAAGGGCGCTGTTCTATGTCTTGGTAAAGCTGTGCTTATACCAAACCGCTAGGTCCTGGGGTGGATCAATGGTACTTACAACGTATAAGTGAGAATGCTATTAAAGATATAACTGAGTACCATTAGTAGTACCTGAATTTCTCCAGCTCTTGTGCAAGGTTGCTGTTCTCTTCGCGTAGATCCTGGAGGATAACACAGTTGCGAAAATGTCATGTCACAAATTTACATGCAAAATTGCATGTGCACTTGTGAATTGAGCAGGATTATTTTATTCTTCACCTAGGTTGCTTATGTATAGGTTTCATAGTCACCATGGAAAAAGTGGACGGCTATAGGTTTTCCTACTCAATACATCCGTACACAGAAACTATTTGAAGTCTGTCCTGTGGATATACATGTATATACCTGTATCTGATCGTTACTTGGCATCAGGCACGTAGCACCACCGTTGGAGGTGGTCCGGCCGGAGGGGGAGGGGGTTACTGGGAAAAATTTGAAATCAGGGTGCAAAATCCTGCATTCTGGACGTGGTCCGGCGAAAAAGTGGTCCGGCTGCTACGCCCCTGCTTACCTTGACCTCTTTCTCCAGCTCTGCAATCTGTGCACTGCGACCGTGCCCAGTGAACGACACACTAGAAGATGATGGCAACGCCGTCGACTTGTGGCTGGATCTGGTGTGTTGGTGTACGGTAGAGTGTGCACTGTCAAAGCGCTGGCCATCGTGCTGGTGTGACTTGCCAGTTGTGTGATGAGTTACGTTAGTGTGGTGGTGGTCACCTGGCAGCTGCTTGCTCTTGCTTAGAGTGGGCTGACGGTGACTGGAATCCAGCTCACTTGTGTCGTTGACGGGAATGGTCTGTGTGAGGATTGAACGTGCATGCGTACTTCGATGCCCGGCAAGCGAATCAAAACAGCCATCATCTGCAGTGAACGGCATGGTGTGTGCATTGCGCTGTGAGGAGCGAGATCCACTGGGTAATGGCTGTGAAGCTGCTTGACTGGAGGCTGGGCTATTATAGTCATGTTCATCGTCAACAGTGCTATATTGCTCTGCTGGTGAAGTGTCTTGCTGAAATAGCCAACCACCACGGTCAGTGTCCTGCCCTTCCATAGTGCCATCCCAAGATTTGGCTGTGTGCGGATTAGCACGTACTGCTGTCTCTTTACCCCTCTCCTCCTTTGAACCACTAGCGGGGTACGCCGGAAACCTCACGTCATCATCCCTGGCTGCAGAAACAGCTGTACTGCCGTGGCGCAATGGCTTGGCTTGAGCAGTCTTGCTATGGGCTGCCGCGAATGAGGGTGTTTGTCGATACGTGGCATGCTTGGCCTTGACTGCAGCTGCATGATGCTGAGTAGCTTGTCTATTGCTACTAACGTTAGTGCTTGAAGTCACTCTACCGTGTGGTGCTTGGCCTTGCGACAGAGCAAGGGTTATGTCAGATGTTGAGCGAATGGCAGCTGGTACGCCATGTCTTTCACCACTTCGCACATTTGAAGAAGACCTCCTCGACGACGACACTGTATTCTTTACAGTGGCATCACGACCACGGGGCAACGCTTGCTCAGTATTCGATCTTCTATTCAGGTCAGACACACTGCTGCTGCTACTGGCAACAGAGCTGGGCATACTCCGACGTCTTTCCAAGCTGGACGATCGTACCCGTGTTGTGCGCAATGTAGACGCGTCGGTACTCGCTGAGTGAGCGCTTGCAAACGCTGATGATGCCGAGCCAGCGTTCCAGGATGGACGGCGTACATGGCTAGAGGTAGTTGCCTTCTTGCCTGACGAGGATGCCATTGGTGGCCGTCCAGATGGAGGTTTCCAGCTCATACTCAGGAGATGGCTGATGACTGGACAAGGGTGAGTTTCGTCGATGTTGATCTCAGTTAAACTCTCAGTTCTATGTACCCACTGTAGTGGACAGACACGGAGAACAATTGACACAAATTATTTTTTCATATACATTCAAGGATTTCCCAGAGCCTAAGGTGGGGCCTGTGAAAGGGAGCGGGTGGTGTTCCAAATGCGGCATGTACGACCAGAGAAAGCTGAAATAGACCGACATGGTGTAGGAGTAGTTACTTGTAGGAGCGGTTGCTATTTATACTCAATCCTTTAAAATATTATAATTAATACTTAGCTTACAATTCACACAAAGTGACTGCTATGGTCAAATCCAGTGCTTGGACAGACGACAACCAGCTGCTATAAACCGATAACGCTGTGAGGGTTTCTGCGCAGTCTGACCGTGCTCAAGCCAAGGCTATCCAACTATTCTACCTACACTAGCTACAGCGCTAGCTGGTAGCTAGAGGATTTTGATCGCTGAGATAGTACAAACATGATTCAACATCGACAGCAGCTACAACTAAGCTTACAAGTACGAGCGGGGCTACAGTTTTCGCTGCATGCGCTGCATGACATCTGCAACGCCTAGCGCCTGTGTCATTGTCAAGAATCAAATTTCAGCGGGAAAACTCATGTCGCGCGCCATAGTGCGCAGATCTACATATGTACGTACATGACTGTAAAAAAAATAATCTATGATTGTGATTAGTCACGTGATTGTCGCCTTGGAGTCGACCAATGACATAATCAAACGCGATGCGCGGGCTGGAAAGCGCGGTGCTGCCTGCTCAAAAGTCAAAGCCGACAAAGGGTATCTAGACTCAATAGACTATAATCATGATAATCACTATCACTTATCAGTGATGGAAAGCGATCCACTGCTAGTCGTCAAGTCAAAAGTGACGACGGGCAGGAAGGGATTCCACTGCCCGTCGTCACTTGACGACGGGCAGTCTAGCTACATTCCTATCGATGCTTGGTCGTAGGCTAGGCTATGATTCCGAGACTTCCGGTCGGATGAGCCTCGCCAACCACATCGGCACATCGCCCCTACTCCCCTTTGTCTTGTTCTTCAGTGTCACTTCAATTGTCCTCTTCCCCTGATTATTAGCAGGGCTGTGTTTGCTAGTAAAAAAAAGAAGAAAAAAAGTAGCCACTGGACTGAGACTGTCTTCATCAAGTAATTCATGGTCTTTCACTGGTTACTTGCCACATGTTCCGTAAAATGAAAGGCACCGGATTGCATGGAAAGAGCGACTACCGTTAGTAGAAAACCAATCAGTCGATGTCGTTACCTTCATTAGAAAATCGGTGTTGTACAATCATGCACAAGACGACGATGTGGTTAGCTGTTGTCAGGTTGCACAGCCTCGGACTCAGTAAAACGTACGCCAGCGGCCTTGATGTAACATGCAGTGTACCTGGTGTACGTACTTGGGTATTTCACATTTTCAGGGGAATCTTTCACATATTCTTTCTTAAGACTAGCTTTTGGCTTCACTCAGCACATGCACAATCATCTAACGGCCATCAGTTTAGCATGATTTAAGCTCGTATGGGACAGATTTCACTTGGCTGTTGCGTCGCTCCTTTGCTGTACATGATGTACATGTAGGTCGATCGGTTGGTCGGCCCAGCCAGGGCCAGCCTAAGCACCACCGGTCCTCTGTGTAACTTTCCCTGCCGGTGGTGTGTAACGCCAGGAACAAAAAATGTGAGTTTTCAACTTTGAGAATGCTTTCCCCCGGCGATGCCTCCGAACCTCATACGCCCATTATGATATCGTTAGCTCATGGAAATTGCCCTCCACCACTTGTAATGTCGTGTAGGGGTTGGGTGTACGCCCGGAAATGTTCGGGTCTCGACTGCAGTAGGTCTACCCATACAGACTCACGCGGCCCTTTGTAGAGTTCTACTTTGTACATGGAATACATTGTACAATCATGTAGATGATGTATGTGTAAGTACATGTCTTGTGGGTGTGTACCAATGTACAATGCACATGTCTTGTGGGTGTGTACCAATGTGATGTGCAATGCACATGTCCGTTGAAATACAACAGTAGGAATATTCGACTGAAACGAAAACACAGACCTCCGAATCACAAAGTAAAAGCTTCTCTCCGCCTTTCTTTCCCGGATCCTTTGTAACTAGCCTCGTAATTTTTTAAACTCTCGATTCCCCTGCGTACTGATAGACCTGCTTGCGTGGAAGTCGAGGCCAGTTCGGTCGGGCGGGTTTCGGGGCCTGGCCACCACATCATTACAGCATTGTCGTCTGCTGAATCACGATTGTGCATGAAACCCTCAGTTACAGCCAAAGAGCCTTTGGAGTTTCTGTCCACTATCTGATTGCTCCGACAGTGTGGTTTAGGGAACCCCCACACAACACAACTTCATACAGTTCTAAAAGATTTCATCTTACTAGTTTCTGCTCTTAGAGCTTCTTCAGTATTACAGGTGCAGGAATGCTCCGACATACTGAAGTATCTTTCGCTGCTCCCAAATGGTGCTGCACATGCTATCACGCTCAACATGGAAGATGCCGTTCGGATATGAGGACTGGTATTCTTATAATGTTGAATTATCAACATAAGTGCTTATGTGACGGTGAAATGTCTACTCAGGAATACATGTACTTGTACTTGTCATAACGTTAATCGATCAGATTAATTATTGGAGCAGCAAATGTGGAGTATACATGTAAGTGAATACGTACGTTGTCATGTACTTGTAGGTATAGAGATGGATATGAAGATGATCTATACATATAGTGTACATTGTATAATATGATAAGCCTGGAGTGTTATGAGAGAGAGAGAGAGAGAGAGAGAGAGAGAGAGAGAGAGAGAGAGAGAGAGAGAGAGAGAGAGAGAGAGAGAGGAGAGAGAGAGAGATAGGATAGATAGATAGATAGCTAGAGAGAGAGAGAGATAAAGCGAGAGAGAGAGAGAGAGAGAGAGAGAGAGAGAGAGAGAGAGAGAGAGAGAGAGAGAGAGAGAGAGAGAGAGAGAGAGAGAGAGAGAGAGAGAGAGAGAGAGAGAGAGAGAGAGAGAGAGAGAGAGAGAGAGAGAGAGAGGGAGAGAGAGAGAGAGATAGGATAGATAGATAGATAGCTAGAGAGAGAGAGAGATAAAGCGAGAGAGAGAGAGAGAGAGAGAGAGAGAGAGAGAGAGAGAGAGAGAGAGAGGAGAGAGAGAGAGAGAGAGAGAGAGAGAGAGAGAGAGAGAGAGAGGAGAGAGAGAGATCGAAAGATTTGAAAACTGTCTGGATAAAATTAAAAATGCTAAAATTCATCTTAGAAACATTATGTCTAGTCTGTTCACTGTGTCATGACGAAGCAGATGGGAGGATGCGCGCTCAACGCGACCTTTACATCTCAGTAAGAAATCACATTACGTTAATGAGCATGTCATGCGTGATGCAGTCAAGTGCAAGAGTTACTGCCACTATCTTACTGTCGATTATGTGCTCAAGGCAGAAACTCAAAATTATAAATCAAGGCAAGGGCAAGATGATGCTGTTATTTCGGACGGGTTTTGAAGAAATCTACAGTATACATTATAAATTTAGTTGCTATTGATTTGCTTATGCCAAGTGGTGCAGGTGCATTCATGATGAGCTCACTCTACCTTACCACACAGCCATTCCATTCTATACTTGATTGGTACACTGAGCTGGTGAAGGTTAGATCAGAAGGGTTCGCTTGTAGATGGATGCTGAGTGCGTTGTAAAGCGCAGAGGGTTACTGGGGAGCATCCTTGTCCTCAGCACCAGCAGGGGTTGGTGGATCCGCCGCAAGAGCTTCCGTAGGTGCATCTTTGTCCATGTCTACGGGCTGTGTGACGAAAATTGGGGGCTTGGGAGTCACGGGAAATGCAGGCACGAGAACGGCAGGCTGTTGGGCTTGCACGGCCGAGCCATCATCGCTGTCACTGACATCCGAGCTGCTGCCATTCTCAGAGTCGTCGCTATCACTGTCGTCTTCGTTGTTGCTATCATCACTGTCGTCTGAGGAATCATCACCACCATCACTGCTGTCGCTCTCTCCCATTCCTGAATTCATCGCAGAACCATCATTGCTATCATTATTGCTATCATCATTGTCACTACGGGCCAGAATGTTGTTGCCCACACTCCGGGACGAGACATTGATCACCAGGGCGCACAAGCAACCCAACAAGGCCAAAACAACAAAGCTCTTCATTTTCGGGAGATGGTACTTGGTCACGGCAACGAATATGGACAAAATCAGAGAACGATAGCTCTGAGTTGGAGAAGAAGAGAAAGTTCTTTGGAGTTCTCAAGGGCTACTGATGCTCTAACGTCGACCTGACTCTGTCTTTTATACCATTTATCATGCAATACGCTCTTATGGGCGCCTGTACATCGCCACCGAAATTCAATGCAATCCACAAACAGAAATTGTTAAAAAGTGCGCTTATGGTGGCTGCCTCAAACATTTTTGCCAGGATGATGAAAAGGTGTGAATGCGCGCCAACAATGAAGTGAATGGCATTCGGTCACCGATCTCGTTCATTATTCAGCGCGACCACATTCACCGGTGTAAGCTGAGCCAGAGTACACACTTGTATATGCTCACACGTCAGCACGCCGATAGAAAAGTTTTGTGCAGCTATCCATTCGGCGGGCACCATGAAACAACCTACTGCACTGAACACTGACCACTGGGAATGTTTTGGAGAGAAGGGCTTATCGACGTGATTTGTGCCCGTCATATCCCTGTGCATCATGGTTTATAGTCACTATAGGACGCGCTGGGTTGCACCTACGGAACCCGCAGTTCCTGTCGGCGGTTTCAACAATGCTCCCGCCGGTTTCGTGTCATCCGTCCCGGTCGAGTGATCGGTTCAGACCTTGTCAATGCTCAGTTTTGTAGCGACTAAAGCCAAGATCCCCTACAAAATGTCCACCTTGATCTGTAAGGTCAACGCCACGCGACCTCAGCGCATAGCTCAAAGT